AGTCGATCATGGTGAGTCTCTGCAAGCGTAGCGTCGCGCACCTTGACCACATGCTCTAGCAGCCTTACAGCGTCCTTGATCTGGCCATTTGCCCAGTAGGAAACACCAAGCTGATGCTGCGACGCTAGCCGCCCAGAGTCAGTCTCCGCAAGCGTATCATCTTTCACCTTGACCACATGCTCCAGCAGCCTCACGGCGTCCTTGATCTGTCCGTTTGCCCAGTAGGAAAAACCAAGTTCATGCTCAGACAGCAGGCGATCTGAATCATCCTCGTCCAACCCTTCTTTGCAACGATAGCATTCCTCCAGCCATCTCACTGCTTCAGGAACTCTGCCGTCGAAGCGTAGGCATCGCCCCACCCAAAAAGTCAGCTTGGCTCTGCTGTGAACATCAACAGATGTCTTCATGTCGAGTAGTCGCAGTGCATGCGGCATGTATCCTCTCCAGACGGCCTGGTTGGCGAAATCGTCGGTTGGGAAAACCTCAACAACATGCGCCATAGCCTGTTGCGCCACATCTGCAGCACTGCCATGCTTGTCTACCCAGACTCTGGTAGCCAGATGCACAAGTCGATGCAAGTCGTACCATTCTTCCCCTCCATCTACCTCACCAGTGTTGTTGCCTTCCCGTCTTGACACAAAAGAGTACCCGCAGAGTGTGCCGATAGCTTCTTCTATCCGCTCTTGTGACTGCACCTTCGGTAGCAGTGACTGTGGTATTGCCTTCCACTCGATGCACGACATAAATGCTAGGAGGTCTGCCGCCACCGTGTCATGCTCCCGAAGCTGACTGAACGACACTACCCACGTCGAGGCCACTGCGTTCGCCGAACCCTTGTAGCGTGTTTGGTCACGGAACTCTTTGCTCATTAGGCTGATAGTGTCTTGCTCCGTGTGTCTCAGCAGTCGCAGATATTTTGTGATAGTTGTTCTGTTCATGTTCAGGTACGCAGCAGCCTGAGCAATGGCCAGAGGAAGGCATGCCAACTCATCCAACAGCTCTTCGACTTCTTTGCGGTCCTCAGCGAGGCTCTTCTTGACCAGAGACTTCTCCAGAAAGTCCGTGGCCTCTGGTGTGTTCATAGACCCCAGCTCTAGAACGTCACCTCGTGTCAGCGATACGGCTAGCTCTTGCACCCGTGTAGTGAACACGGTCATGCCCTTTTCGCTCTCCGGTAGGTAGTCGATGATACCCGCACCGTACTCGGTCCCAAATAAGATGTTGTGATCATCTGCGTTATCGAGCACGAGCAGCCACGGTCCTGCCCGATCTGCACTCAGATACTCTTTCACCAGCTCTTTTGCGTCATATTCGCCTGTCTCCGCCTGACTGATGTGCAAAGCAGTTGCAACGGCCACACAGGCTTGCTCGAAGCTTTCCATGCTTAGCGCAGGCATCCAGAAGATAGAGACGGCTGACATGGTCTCTTTGACTGTATATGCGAACCGCAAGGCTAGCTGTGTCTTGCCAGTCCCACCAAGTCCCACAATTGACATCTTTTGGCAACCTGTACCCTCCAGCAGCGTCTGACTGAGCATCTCGAGTTCTTCTCTCCTTCCGACAAAGTATCGGTTCTTGGGAAATGGTATGTAGTAGGAGGGTTTGTGGGCAGCTGTAGGTCAGCGCAAACGGATCAGACACACACCAAGCTAGCTATATGGCTGCCTCTTTACGTACCGGGTGTATTGGTGGTGATGCGCCCTCCAAGACTCCCCGCTGACGCCTGTAGCTGGAATGACTCCTGTGAGTCTTCCGCGATCGCTTTTCGTAGCCTCTTGAAAGCATTGGTCTCACCTTCGCCATAGTTGAGGAACGTGAAGACCCCAAAGATACCCAGCAATGAGTACACCTTGTCTTCTTCACGCGTAGTTTGGCGCTTGTTCGACCAAGACAGGCGCTCCTCGACACTGAAGCTGTCCAATGGAGCTCCCGCAAGGGCGGGACAGGGGATGTTTGTGATCTCGTGAAGAACTTGCTTCAAGTCGTATCGGTCGCCTAGATATGTTCGATCTCCAGAGTAGAAGCTCACACGGCGCGGGGCAAGCAGTTCTTGGAGCGTCCAACCTCGAGTGAACCACCGGCTTTGCCGAAACTGCCCTTCCCAAGCGGGGATGCCGGGTGCACGATCCGTCGCTGGCTCAGCGCTGAATACATCTGTCAGAAGAACATAGCATCTACTTGCTTGTTGGTACCAGCGAAACATGGAGTTGATCGCATGCTGAAGTTCGACAGGATCTGCTTTGTTGATGCAGCACGTATCGACCCAGAAGTATCGCAGGCCGTCTTGCTGAGCTTGTTGTGCGCAGAACCTGATCTTGTCAAAGCCAGCCTTCCCACATCTGACATCTCTAGTGAACTCGTCGAAGGTGACCTCTTGACCGGGCAGCCAGGTGTGCGAGAGTATAGCGTAGGCGGGCACATTGTCAGCGCTCATCAAGTCCTCCGTGAGCGTGATCTTGCCGTCATGTTGTATCTCGAGCAGTCGCATCTCGTGATGGAGGAGCTCCGGTACTCAGTCACATCAGGCTGGACAGCATGGAAGCGCAACGGCCTGTCAGGTTGTTGGTTCGATCGTTGGCGCTCCCGTGTGCCGCCGTTAACGTTGATGGGTGCCGGCGTGTGCATGTGCATACATGAGAGAGGGAACTGACTGCCTCGCTTTACTGAGCATTAGGGTGGGCTATGGTGGCATTGGCCTGTGAGGGCGCTAGGAAGATGCTCGTCTGATAGGACGTGACGTTGCTAAAGATAGCCGGCGTGCGCCACAGCTTAGGCTGTTCTGACTTAGCGCGCAAGTGTAGTACTTGAACGATGTTTGTGGTTCTAACCGGTGGGATGTTCTACCCACAGGGAGGTTACTAAGTATGCGAACCTGCGGTCGTTTCAAGTACAGGATCAATGTGTTCTTGTTCTGTCTCTCCTCTAAAGGTCAAAAGGCTCGACAATCTACACTATGAGCAGTCTTCTCTCTTGTGCCCAGGACTTCGGCAATAGACAGCGCGTCCATATAATCCTGCTTGTTTCCTATTCTCTGATCTGTTACATCTCTGATCATCTTCTTCCGGAAGAAAAATCTTTGTCCTTATGCGGACAACACGCTGTCTGTCCTCCCCGCCACAAAATCTTGTGTTACAGATCTGGTTGCTTGTCACCGTCTCAAAAGTACTAGGTATCTCCTGCATGTCCTGCTTGTTCTTTGGCGCTCGAAAAGACTGAAACTCACTTGGCATGGGAGACTCTTTCCTCTTTCTGAAAGGTCATGACGCATTCAGTTCTGAAATTTCGGACTTCCTGAACGATATTTGACCGTAAGTCAAATTTGATGAGGAGCATGTCGTTGCGTATCCTAAAACAATATGAATTGCGGCAAATGCTCTGCCCGCATTTTTGGAGTAAGAATGCTGCCTCTCGCTTATTGTGCGCAAGCTTTCCTCGACTTTCTCCACGACCAGAGAACACGCTGTCTACTCAAAACAATGGTTAAACTCACTTGTGGAATTTCTGTTCTTGGGTTGACTACATTAGGCGGCGAGCCAACATACGACGCCAACTTCTTATCAGCCGTCTCCTTCCGCCGTCTGAGCGCAAGAACGTCACTGAGCTGCACACCTATGACCCAGCGGTCGCAGGTACGGACAGGGTTGTTGCGCCGCTGCTTGAAGCCAAGGGAGTGTTCTATGGCGGCGACAGGCAGTGGCGGCACGTTGATTGGTATGCGGGCACGAAGACAGAGAGAGCGGTTCAGGCCGTGCTTGATCTGGGTGGTGTGGTGTCTGACTCGAGTGCTGGAGCGCATATCCAGGGCAGTTTCCTGGCGAGAGAAGATACGGCGAACAATCAAGTCATGATTGGGGGCCATACGGTTGGGTTCGGATACTTGAAGAATACGGCAATCGATCAGCACTTCTTGGCGAGGAACAGGCAGTTTGATCTCTTCGATATTATGAAGGTGTACCCGGCATTGCTAGGATTGCTATTGATGAGGATACGGCGCTGATTGTGAATAGAACGATGCGGAGGTGTTTGGGAGTACTTATACTGCGTTCTATGATGGGGATTTCGGTCGAGGGAAGGGAGTGAGCTGAAGAATCTGCCGCCGTCTGAGTCAAGGTTATATCTCCTCAAGGCTGGCAATAAGTACGATCTGGGTTTGAGGAAGGTTGTCGAAGCTGAGACGATAGTCGAACAGAGCGAATTGTAGGAGACTAGTGGAACATTGGCGTCGACCCATGCGAAGCTCAGCTGCTAAGGATGGATTTCTTGAATGACATCTTTTCGATTGTATGAACCTTTGCAATGTGATAACTGTCAATGGGTATGATTGTGATGTATATTGGTGTGTTGTTGCTATCTCAGCAACGGGTTTGTTTGAAGGAAATCACCCTAACTAATTTGGGAGCACTAGTGGCAGATCCAGAGAGAACGGTGCTACGGAAGGTATACCCCGGCATCAACGATAACGATGGATACATTCCAAGATCCCGTGAACTAAGGCGTGCATGTACAACTGGCTGTCAAATAGCCATTCCCTCCGTGATAATTCCAATCCATCAAGGCTCCGTAATCCTCGGACTCTCAACCGCCACAACACGGAACTTGCTCCCATCAGCAAACGCCGCCTGATCCTCATCAATCTCCTTCCTGCGCGGACTACTCGCAAACTTCTCATTGAACGCTTGGAAATGCGCTTCGTCCCTCAACTCAACCGTAGTAATACAGTCGTAGTCGATAGTTGCCGCATCGCCAAAGAAAACAAGGGGTGGAGGGACTTCGTTTCCTTTAGCATCGGCTGGGTCGCGCTTGATGTAGTGGCGAGTGTGGCGGACAGGGGCTTGCTCGGCAAGTACCTCAAGGACAAGTGGGATGTGCTTGTTCTCGTAGTGGTCGACGAAGGCTTCGAGGCTCATGCCTGGTTTGCGGGTGACGAACATAAAGACTATGTAACCCATGATGGCGGTTTGAGATTCTGTTCCGAGGATTGATTGGATTGGTGAAGGGCTGAAGCTGACTACGTTGGACGTCAAATGTGTACCAGAAACCGTCTTATATCTCGCCTTCAACACCGCGGGCGAGTGAGTTTGACCTTATCTTGTGGCGTGATGCTCCGTAAAGATATAATGATACCCACAGTAAACTAGTACCCTTGTCAATCTTACCTGTAAGCTGACTGCCAGCTCATTTCAATTACGAAATTCCGGCGATTACGAGTCGTGAAAGTTTCGTTCTCGGTGACGTGAAAGCAAGCCTGCGATGCCAGAAAGCCTCGGTCATTCGTCATGCAAGGTAAGACTTGATGTATCGGCGGCTGCTTCGAAGATGAGGCACATGTTTGGTGGAGCATGTATTGCATCCGGTATGCCGCTGTGCGAATGCAAACCAGAGTCTGTGCAGCTAGTGTCAATTCCACAGGAATCGTGTATATCCTAATGTTGCAATATCATGTTTGGTGATGTTATCGTCTTCATGGAGCAGTCGCACCGCAACAGGCTGACGAAAATTAGCGTCGTCCACACAAACGTGCCTCGGCATCTTTCGGCTCTAACCGTCCAAGGAAGAGCAGAGAAGCAATCACAACGACTTCTTTGTATCAGCATCTCTCTGATTGTGTGCTCTGTAACAAATCTCAAGATAATCTCAGAAACTATTAATCACCATGACCATCGACATCGTAGCAGTCATCTCGCCCAAGGCTGGCTATGCAGACCGGGTACGCTACTCTCCGATCACAACCCTAACTTCACACAGTCCAGAGATAGACACTCTGACGTGTACCAAAGGTCGAAGAGCTTCTTCTCCAAGCAGCAAAAGCAGTCAAGGCCAATGAGCCCGGCACACTCAAGTACCACCTACAGCGCGAAACAAAAAGCGATGCGCCCGTGTTCGTCATGCTAGAGACGTATAGCTTCCACTCTGCCGAGCCCTTAAATGGAGGCGCTGACATTGAGCAGATACAAAGACCAAGCCTCCATAGCCGCGCACGCAAAGAGCCCCGACTTCAAAGCCCTAGGCAAGACTTTGAAGCAAGAAGACCTGCTCGCTGAGCCGATGAGAGTCATCTTCACAAAAGAGGCGGGCGGGTATGCGAGTAAGCTCTAAACCGTTCGAGGCTGAAGATGGTGGTTGTCGTTCGGGGCCTAAACTTTCAGCTGAGATTTGGGCCGATACATGTGTGTAGCCACAAAATAGTTACCGTGTAACCAGCACAAGTCAAACACAGATAACAATCAAAACATCGCCAACTAAACTGTAGATGTTACGTATGCGTATGCGATTGACCGCACTCCCAAAACCCCCTACAGCGACGCCTCGCACAGTGTATCTACCTCACTGTACGGACAAGGCACATCTCCCAACCTCCACCAATCTCAAGTGGGTCTCCCCGCGGATCATCTTTCAACACGTTCTCATTGGCCTTCCAAGCGCCCCGCAGCATCCCCCAACAGCACTGGTCCACTGGCAATTCACCCGTTTGCTGACAGGGTCCAACTTGGCTCAAGATCGTTGAAAGGTGAACGACTGCCACTTTGCTGTCCAGGAATTCATTTGTTCCTTTCAACGCAGATTGATGCAAACAAATCGTCATCCAGTATGAACACGACCCGTGACGCTCCATTGGAGCTGGATGCTAGGCCATTATGGTCGACGATTCTGGTGACGGGTATTGTTGCAGCGTTGGGCTACTTTGTAGTGAATCTGGTTCAGCGACGACGATTCTATAAAGATCTGGTATGCTCCGTCCTCTATGCTGCAAAGACCCCTAATCCTCCCATCCTTCACACAAGACCCCCAGGTCACGATGCTCCAGTTTGCTAATCCTTCCAGCCTAAACCACCGCACTCCTTCCTCTGGGGCCACCTCAAGTTCATGGGCGAGACCTTGGCCCTCCTGCCCAAGGACTGCCACGTTCAAGTCGCCGTAACAACCATGAGCCAGAAGTACAAGCTCCCCGGGATCTTCTACCTCGACCTCTGGCCGGTCGCTCCAAGCATCTGTGTCGTCACAGACCCCGACGTCGCGCTCCACATGACAGTGACACGGAACCACGAGAAGCACGCCGAGGAAAATCGGGCTGTCGATCCCATGATCGGCAAGGGCAACATTGTTACGGCTGAGGGCGCAAGGTGGAAAAAGATGCATAAGATGCTAGCTCCTGCGTTTGCGATCATGCATGTTACCAACCAGAGGCCGATGGTTGCTGAGACCGTGATGGAGTTTCGCGCCATCTTGAATAAGCTTGCTGAGACAGGCGAGGCCTTCGAACTCGAGAAGTACGTGGAGCGGCTCACACTAGACATTGTTGGTGAAGCGACGTTCGGTCACTCCCTTGGCGCTCAAACGATGGGCAGTTCTGTGATGCAGCATTGGGAAGAGATGAGTCGAGCTAACATGCAGACGCGGACGGGATGGCGGATCGATTTCGTAAGGAACTATCTGGCGAAGCAGAGACGGGAGACGGCGAAGATGAAGCTCGACGTCGCATTGGCTGAACTCGTTGAAAAGCGATTTGACTACGTCCAGAAAAATGATGTCAGCTTGGAGAAGCGGAAAGACAGCATCATCATGGACCTGATTCTGCGAGAGTATCTGCAAGAGACACATCAGGGTAGTCAGAAGCGTATGGATCCGGAGTTCCTGGAGGACGTGTTGACCCAGATACGAACGCTTGTTGTGGGAGGCACAGGCACGACGACGGACACGATCTGTTTTGCGTACATGCTCCTCTCAGCCCACCCAGAAGTTGTCCAAAGGCTGAGAGAGGAGCATGATCGAGTGTTCGTCTCAGGTATCGATGCCTCACACGACATCTTGTGCTCCGAGCCATACAAGCTCAACAGCTTGGAGTACACCACCAACGTTATCAAGGAAACGCTGCGCCTGTTTCCGGTGGGCTGTACGGCTCGCAGAGAGCACAGCGATGGCTTTCTTCCGTACGAGGGCCGACAATACACCACGAAAGGCTTCTTGATCTTGCCAATGCAGCACACGATGCACATGAATCCGGAGATCTTCCCAAACCCGAAGGCATTCGATCCGGATCGTTTCGCGCGTGAGGACTTCGTGCGCCATGCCTGGCGACCATTTGAGAGAGGACCCCGAGCCTGTTTGGGCCAACCGCTGGCTATGGACGAGATGAAGATCATACTGCTCTTGACAGTTAGGGATTTTGACTTCACATGCGTTGATCTCAAGCCAAACAAGACGCCTCGAGTGCTGTGGACAGACTTGGACCTGACATTCGGTGACCGCGCGTTCCAAGAATATGTGTTTGAGGCGAAACCAAGAGACCATATGCCAATGAGCGTGAAGAAGTCAGATTGGGCGTAGTGGTCGAGAAGGATTAAATACTGCCACGATCCATAGTTGCGAACCAGTCGATCAAAATTCTTAGCTCATGCTCTCCTTTGATTGAAGTGCCTCTCAACCGTCGTCGTGATCGAGGCCATTGAACTCAGTCAGGTCATCACTCATGATGTGCAAAATCTGGGAGAAAGTCCTGCTCTTCCAGCGCCCCATACCTTCCATGAGGTCGGCACAATGCAACAAGGTTTTGCGAGCCGCAGCATAGCCTCCCTCAAGAGTGACATTGCCCATGCTGATGGAGCCTCCGCTTTGAATGAACCGTGCAGCTGCTGAGTCCAAATCAGTTGCGCTAGAAGATTGCTTAGCGCTGGTCATGCCCAGGTCATGAACGTTCGTCCAGTCCACTGGCTCTGATAGCTCGTAGCTGGCGCTGTCAGTGTGCTCAAAGTCAGTCGCAGGGGATACGGTGAAGACGTAGAGCCCAAGGACCAATGCGGCGTGAAACAATGCAACGATACTGTGCGGATGGACGATATCGGAGACTTTACGGTCCGAGAGCAGCTTGTAGATATATGCTGCGTGGAGGATGGAGCGTCGTGCTGTCGAGGTTTGCGTCCACGTAGAAATATGTTCCAAGGCAGTCGCCGCTGGTCCGGCACCGGCTCGACCAGCTGCAAGCTCAAAATGTTGCATATTGGCGCCGAGTCGCATGCATAGTTTATGCCAAAGAACGATCGAGTTCAGGTCATGGATGGACCGGAAGCTCACGACGAGTGGCACTATACCACGGCTGCGTTCGTCCTCCGCAAAGATGCGCCACGGCTCGAGATGTTGATGATCGCTTTTGACGCCCAGCCTGTCATTAGCTTCCAACATCCGGAGTGAGATGAGACTAAGCTGGTTACACGCCAAGTCCAAGGATTGCGGGTTTGGCGCAGGAGCTAGATCAGGGTAGGGCGTGATGGCGTCGATGTGTGCTGTGGTTCCGCTGTTAACTAGGCGACTCCACGCTGTCGACGATTCTGCCTGGTATAAGCTCTGGTTTGTCACTGGATATACATGTACAAGCTCGGGGCGGATGATTGGTGAGCTTGACAGATGCCCTGACCACCAGCAATCTGCCTGAATCAAACCGTAGGTAGTCCTTTTGACGCATTCGATGTTGATCCAAGCGTTCCATCTATGCTCTTCATCGACTAAAGACCTCAGTAGTGTGCCAACATCAGTGCCATCGTTGACAGAGAAAAGACCCTGGTTTTGGGATACTGTGAGCAGCTCGATGTACAGCTCCTCCGCCAGGGAAATGCGGTTCTTCCTGCCTGTGATAGAGGCAAGGTTGAGAGCTAAGAGGCCAGTAACGATAGTACGCATGAGCCGCTGTGGCGGGTCCTCGCTTGAGCGCAACGAGCGCAGATCTGACAAGACAAGTTGTAGTAAACTAGGAAAGCTTTGAGTGACAAACTTTACAGCTCCTGCCGTACCAATGATGCTCAGTCCGACGAGGCACATTGAGAGCAGGAGTGGCCGAGGAGCTTTCTTAGCGGAGAACGTCGGTACATGGACAATTGGAAGTGTTGGATGGAAGTAGTTTTGGTACATTTCCAAGGCGATATCCAGGATCTCTGCCGGTGGAAACGGCAAGCTATTTCCCACTGCGGCTATGCTGTTGGCGCCGGCTAGACTTCCCCGATGGTCTAGTCGTGAATTGTCCACAAGATGTGCCTGGGCTAGTATATCTTGAAGAGACTTCCTGCAGAATTCATCTACGCACCATCGCGAGTTTCTTCGTTCATCATGGGACAGGTGTTGTTCGACCATATGCACTGTGTCATCGGAGACGATGTTTTGGCATCCGCGTGATGCAATATCTTGCCACAAGATGGGCATCAGGCGTGTCGTCCTTGATATCTGTGGTGGCCAGCAATTTGCGACCCTCGCAAATCGCTCCCGAGGGATCTTGGATGCTATCGACATAGCATCGGACGGGCTGCCTTGATCAATATTTGCATTCAAAGTAGGTTCATGGTAAAGCGTCTCCTCCATCTCTGGACGATGAGATCCGTTCGGTGTGTCCATGTTGCTATCTGGTGGGAAGAGCCATGATCGCAAAGAATTGGACGGGGTTTGAGCGAGCACCGATTGATGGCTCTGCATAAGATCGAAAGTCCATGGATCGAAGTTGCTAACATTTCCAGCTGGTGTGAAAGAGAGTGATTCCATAGACGGATCAATCGGTGGGCCTAAGTTGCTGTCATGATGTCCCGCTAGTTGGTAATTGTCAGGGTGCATTGAGCTGGGTGACGGCCACGATGGATATGCGGTAGGTTCAAGGTGTTGCGCTGCATTGATGAGAGCCTCCATACGGTGTCCGCTGCTTGCATGGATTGCCGGAGCATTCACGCCTTCTGGCAAAGGAATGTCTCCGCCTTGCAAGGAAGGCGCAGGGGTAGGACCGGCCATTTGCTTGGTGAGGTGGAATTGCGAAGTATGGCTTGCTCCATCTATGGCTTGAAGTGATCCATGGCCTTGCTCCTCATGCTCTTTTCTGCGATTCATCGCAGCCTGGTTGTGACCCTTGCAATGTCTGAACAAAACGTCGCTGTGCTGGCGCGTTAGACGGTGAACAGTAAAAAGCTGGCCAGACATTACCTTCTCGAAAAGCTTTTGTTGCATGTTGGGCACTCATATGGGCGCTCTTTGGTGTCTGTTCGGTTATTAGCCGCCTGTACTGATTCCGTGTACTGACCAGGGCCGGCATACGTGATCTTTCATGTCTCTTGAGATGCTCGAGTTTGGTGAATGTGCGATCGCACATGCTGCATTGTTTCAGCGCCATAGCCTAGCTCTTTCTCGGCTCTGTGAGCGACTCGTTGATTGAATGGCATGAATGGCGCGTAGTAACACGGTTTGACTGCGTAAGACAGTGAAGTCTGGCCTTGAAACAAGGATGTATCCGTGTCTGCAGTAAAGTTCGCGGGCTGAAATCGGATGCGGGGGGAAAGCGCGCTTTGCAGGGCTGACTAGGCCCAACTTGGTCGAGATGCGCTCATCTTTCCTGCCAAATCCCTGAATCCTCGCCGACTTCTACGCAGCACTCGCGCACCCGTTTCTGGACGATTGTCACCTTCATGCGCACTTATTTGAGATTGCGTGCATGTCTGGCCAGTTGACTAGCATTTGACTCTTATCTTTATCTGAACAGAGTTATATGATAGTGGGGCAAGAGCGATGGAGTCTCGAGAGCATGGCAGCAGGAGGATAATGGGAGGCCCAGAGTCTTAATGAGGCAGAAATGTAGTGGTATATGCGATGTCTACAACTCGTCTTTGTACACTTCCTCACTCCCCTCGTGTACTTCATCAGCTTCCTTATCCACGACATCAGCTTGCTCTTGCTTTCCAGACCCCATCCCTTTTCCAGCGCCGTTCTCCTCTTTCCATTCCTTTGCTACCTTGCTGTCTTTGCTTTCCTTTGCACCTTCCTTCCCCTTCGGCGTCTCTTCATCTTGATCCTCAGCTTCAATAATTCCCCTAAACTCCCTGCCCCTTGGTGTGTCAACAAGGTCAAGCTTCCAACCCTTCTTCCCAGCTAGCTTTCGCAGGTTGCCCTTCAGCTTCTCAACATCCTTGGGATCTGGGATATTCAGCCTCTTCATCTCCTCCTTGGACATTTGAGTACCGTCGCTGCTCGCTACAGTGCCTATATACGTCTCTTTGCCGCCACCAACGACGACTGTTTTCTCAATGACCTTGCCTTCGCTACCAACGAGGGCTTGTGCGCCGACTTCGATGCCGTCGATGATGGGCCCGCGCTTTGTAGAGCCTTGGAGGCCATCGGTTATGTCTCGCAGAGGATTTGTGTTCGCCTTATCTTCGGATTCGGCTAGAGCAAGGAGGTCTTCTGTCTCGCGAATCTTGGCTTCGAGGGCGGCAGCGGTCCATTCGTCGACGTCTGCTGCAGGGATGACAGCCTGGCAAGTGATGGGGTGCGCAAGATTCTTCTGCGGAGGCAGGAAGGCGACGTCGTGGCAGAGACGGGGCGTGTCTATGACCATGAGATAGGAGCAGGTGCTCGTCTCCTTGATCATGGCGATTCTGTCGGCGGACTGAGGGTTGCAGTGGAACTGGGTCGATATTAGTAGATGTCTGAAGTAGGCGTGGGAGCAGCTTACCTGCACATCGATCTTGCGCGGCTTGCCAGTCAGGTCGCACTCGGTCCCATCTGACAGGCGCTGCACCATGTACCGGCTGGAGCCCTTCGACTCTAGGCGTGGAATCTCCAGCGCCTTCTCCTCTTCGTCTGGCGCATTGCCCTCGTCGTCAAAGGCATCCTTGCTACCCTGCTCGTTGCCCAGTGTTTTGGGCGTGTCTTCCTTCTTGCGCCTGTCTTCCTTGGAGAAGCGACCAAGCACGAAGCTATGGACACTCGTATCCTCGACAGGTGGGTAGATAGGCACACCGCGGCTTGGAGGCAGCTGATGAAATTGCTTGACCTCGTCCTTGTAGCAGAAGCTGTAACTCCACCACCCGCTCAGGTAGTAGATGCAGCTCCCGCGCATGCCCTCCAGCAGCTCCCACCCTCGGTCTGTTGCGCGCACCAGCTCCTTCTCCTCCTCGGCCTTTGCCTCCTCCGCACTTGTAGTATTGTTCTGTGGCACATCGTCCGGTATTATAGGTATGCTGCATAGGTATCGTTGGCCCTCCAGAACCACAGCTTCGTATGTGACCGGTAGCGCATTGTCGGCGGTTGGTGCATCTACGAAAGGTTGCTCGTGCTTAGAGAGCTCCTGTGTGTGCTGCGAGTTTGGCGTGCCTGTGCTGGAGCTGCTGAGCGGCGTGGAGGCTTGCTGGTTGAGGAGTGCAGTCGCACTGTCTTCTAGTATAAATGTGTCCGGCCATGCAACTTTGTACTGAAGGTTGTGAGCTCGTGCACATGTGCTGGTCTGGGTGGTATGCCGTCATACCTGTGGGAACGCAAGCAGATCGTCAAAAACGCTGAAGGCTTGCTGATGAGCAAGCGCAAGGCGCAAGACCGCCGGTAAGGCCCAGAAGTTCCTCATCATGACTTATTTAGAGGTGCAGGACTGAAGCGTGGAATGAGCTAGAGCTGTAGCTGGGTTGGAGACAGATGTCACTTCCGGGAGCTGACGCGCTAGCCTCAGATTGGTGGACCACGACATCCTGCATCTTGAACGACAGACAATGTAGATTGGTATGTATTGATCGTGATTTACTATATACCCTATTCTCCATAGGCTATACCGTCTCAAGATTCTACATTCTGAGGCTGCGAATGCTGCACTATGCCGCCCTAATCTGGCCCTAATATGGCCCTAATCGTCTCCCTCATCTGTAGATCCCAACGCCAATGCATGCTACATAGCGAACAAGAAGACACACAGTAGATTATGAGAACCGCCAACGCCCGCTAGTAATTCAAATGGATATCGTGTAAAAGTACAAGAGGGATTAGGCAAGGATGTTCTTGCTGCACGGTGCCTTCCAATACTCCCCAGCACTTCGTGCTAGCTTACTGCTTGAGGACTTGGAAGCTATTGTTGGCAGGCCTTGGGTCCTTGCCAGATCCCAAATGGAACTCGCAGCGGAACTTGAGGCATTCCGTGCCACGCGAATCCTGGTACACCTGGACGATGTCGCCAGTGTGTAGATGTCCAAACAGCGCTCTGCCTTTCTCGTCCTTTTGCTTGAGGTGCTTGCCGTTGACCGAGATACCGTGGGTCGCGCAAGTCCAGATGCCCACGTTTAGCTTCTCAAGGCTTGTCCAGTCTTTGTTCTTCTGAGACAGTTCCTGGACTGTCTCGGCACTGTCGCCACCTGAGGAGTACCAGAAGATAATAAAGGCAGTCTTGGGAATGCGGGTGTCCCGACTCTGGTCGTATACAATCGTGTTATTTGCGAGACGTCCCCATGATGTCTTGCTTTTGTCAATGTTGAGAACAAGGTTCGGCGCAAATGAGTCGGGAGTAGCTACCAGCTTGCCCAACCGCCTCGGTGGAGGTCTGATGTCAAGCTCGGCTGGCACAGATGGCACTTCTGCAGATGGCGATGGCACTTGCGCTTCGCCTGTCTGCGATCCACTTGCGATGCTGCTGCTCGTGTTTGATCCCCTCGTTGTATCCTCGTAGGCCGAGGCACCAGCTGTTGCCTCTTTCTGAGCTCCAACGAAGTCGAAGCCGCTCACTCGTGACGCGTATTCTAGATTGTGTGTATTGGGATCAAGGGGGTCATAGTAGTAAGAGGCTGTCACCGGAAGGCTAATTTGACGATTCGACGCAGACGGTCGTGCTTTTGGAGTCGGCTCACTGATTTGGCTGGCAAACTTGGAGGACTGCTCAAGTGAGTTGTGCTGAAGCACGTCCGGCGTGCGAGGTGTGGCTGGCTCGTTCGGACTGTAGACTCCAGATCCAGGCGTTGCTGGTGAAGTCATGTTCATCTCTCGCACAAGCGACTCAGTGCCCAAGAGGCTAGGTGAAGAGAAGCCTCCATCAAGATGTGGAGGAGCACTGAATGGAACCTCGCGCTCAACTCCACTTGCAGTATGACTGAAGATAGGTGCGCTATCGCGGTAGTCGGAGTCGGTAGTTTTGGGTTGCGAGAGTGCTTCTTGTGCATGGTTGTGTAGGATGCCAGACCTTTGCAAGGCAGACTGACCGATCTCACCAAAGAGCCTTGGCCGTCGAGGTGTAGGCATGACCTTGAAGCTTTCTTCTTCGTCGATGATGTGTTCAGATTGGAAAGAAGCATCCACACTGGATTCTTCATCGTGGTCGCGCACCTGATTCCGCGGGTACAGAGGGTCCGCACGTATGCGCTTCGTTTGTCTGCTTTCACCAACAAGCGCGATCAGCTCATCGTCCACGTCTGCTTCGTCATCTGACTCAGGTATCTCGTCCTCTTCAAGCTCGCCGCCGATGCTCAATTGCGACAGTTGTTGTTCGGCTTCCTCTTCCTCTTCCTCGACAATTGACTGAAGTACTGGGTCAGGTGGAATGGCGGCGCCTTCCTTCAACCAGGGGTGGCTGAGACAGGCGCGAGCGTCAGGTCTCTCAGAAGGGTCTGTTCGGAGCATTTGCATGAGAAGGTCGATACACAGTGGAGACACTCCGACTCGCTCAAGCGGTGTAGGCTTCAGTGGAGTGGTGGTAATGTTGTCGTACATCGCCTGGCCGGTAGCATCGGCGATGCCCTTGAAAGGCGGCTCACCACAAAGTGCATACCACAGGACGCCGCCGAATGACCAGATGTCCACAGACGAGCTATACTGGTGGTACTGTTTTGCTCCTCGTCGTCTCTTGGTGCCTTTGGACTCCCCATAGTCAGGGAACACCTCGGGAGCGCAATACAACAAGGTACCGCAGAACGTCTTGAGGAAAGTCTCTTCGTGCTTAACCACTTTCGAGAGGCCAAAGTCGGACAGCTTGACCTTAAGTGGGTCGACGTCAGCGATGAGAATGTTGTCCGGTTTGATGTCGCGATGCGTGATCTGTGAGCGATGGAGGTAGGTAAGGGCGCTCAAAACCTGCTGGCCAATAGTTCGGACCAATGACTCGCTCATTGGGCCATTTTGATTGAGGTAGGCCTGGAGGTCGCCGTGGCGCACGTATTCCATGATGATGTACAAGTAATCGCCTTGGTCGTGATACTCCACAAACTCGACGATGTTGGGATGTCGCAGGCCCTGCATGATTCTCATTTCGTTGTCGATCTTCTTGTCGAGCTGACCATTCTTCATGAAGCGGCGCTTCTCTAACTCCTTCGCTGCAAGCAGCTTGCCTTCCATCTTTGTGGCCAGCTGGTGGACAGTCGCGAAGGCTCCTTTGCCAATTATACCTGATACAGATGAGTACATCACCTGAAGAAGGGTTATTCAGCAACATACCAACAATGTTGTAGTTCGTTCCACCGTCCCACTTCATCGTTGGGCCGCCGTAATTCTTGCCAATGCGCTGAACAGCTTGGTAGCGTTAGTACTGCATCGACGGCAAAGCGGGTACAGACTGACCTTTGGTCTTGTCGTCGCCTTTCGCGCAGTCGGCAATAAATTCTCGTAAGTTCTCCCGGAAGCGATCGATGTGTGACACACGCGATGGTACGCGCACGACAAACTTGATCATCTCAGCATCGTTGGAACTCTGAATGCATATGATGGATCCTGAGCCGATCATGCGTATTCTGCTGAAACGCTTGTCCTTGTGTTTCAGCAGCTGGTCGTCGACAATGGTACCATTAGTCGACAGATCTTCTATCATTAGTATGCCGTCTAGGTTGAGATAGATACGAAAATGCTGGTTGCTGATGCGCTTGCCGGAATCCTGACCAAAAACGATGTCGGCACTGTTTGGGTTTCGCCCAAAGATGAAGCCTAGGTCCTTGAATCGCAGAGTCCGCGCAGAAGACATACGCAGAGCCAGATCAGCACCTGCCCTCGAGCTCTGGCCTACCCTCTCTCCGTTTCCATTTATGATGATTGTCTCCTGTTCCTCAATGTTGGTAAGAGATGCGTTCATCGAATCAGGGTCGAGAGAGTTGCGGAAGAGCACGTGCTGAGGACGGGACTCGGCAGTGTTTTCAACGATTTTGATCGCAGAAGGCGTCGCAGGATGCAGTATCACGAGCACATCAGCGATGTCGCCATCGTTGAGCCCTGAGTTATTCCTCCCCAATCGACGTGGGTCGAGAACCTGCTGTGTGGACGGTTGTGTCTGCGACATGGTGCGTGAATGATGGTATGGCGGCTGGAGAGCGACGGAATGGGTCGAGAATCCCGTGCGACAAGTGCTATGGAGCGTTGCGACAAATTGCTGTGTCGCAGTATGGTCGATCTATGAGTGCAAAGTCTAGGTGGTGTTCGGCTTGCGCAGGGGTGGGTTTGGGGGTGTGTTGACAGGCAGTGAAAGCTGCGGCTGACCGTCTCTATGTCTGCCTGCGCCGAGTTTCCTTGCAGTCACTCTGACCGATGGTTTCACGCTGTGTCTTCCAAGCTAATGGGACATAACAACACCGCCAATGCCTGCAGCACTGCGTCGAGCTCTTGACTTAGAGCTTTCCTATGCAGTACGATCCCTGGCTGACTGATAGGCCCGTCCCAGCTTCACCAAGACCCTGACCCAAACAATTCACTGTAGACCACCAATGACGTATTTCTCTTTACTGCTCTATATCGTATATTCTCACAGCGGTTACGGTCGTATGAGATTTGCCTTATCGCAGGTGAGGTAGCTATGGGTTGGAGTTGCGCGGAACTTTCAAGACGTCGAGCGAAGGTTTGGCGTGGGTGTAGCGATGACTTTATATGGTCGAGTGTCGCGAGGCAGACGTTTGCCTTGTCTAAGAGAACGTGTGGGGGGGGGGGTTCGACGCGGAGGGTTGCCCTGGGAACAAGAATGTCGCTGCAGCTTCAATTGTCAGCAGGAGCGGTCCTGGTAGAGCGTTTCAGGTAAGAAGCTGCAATTGCTGCAAGAGCAATGACGTACGATGCGAAAAACAGCAACAAGAACACCGCGGCCGTCGTAGGGAGTGAAGGAGAGCAACCCTCAGTGTTCGGTGCCGTGAGACATTCCAGAGCTACTCAACGCTGATTGGTCAGCTTCGAAACTTTATCTCAAGCAAGGACCACGACAGGCAGCACCCATCGCCACGCAATCACGTTTTTGAATGACTCGCGGCGTACCAACGCGTCAAACTGCAGAACGACGCGTAGAATCCTTCTGTCAAATTGTTTCATACGCCACTGACAGATATCGGTGTTGCTAACGGCGTGGCTTCACCCATGTCACGACAAAAGCAAGGAGCATACTCATGAGGTGTTCGAAAGCATGAGATGTCCAGCCAACCTACAGACGCACTCAACTCAAAGATGGACAGCAGTTCGCGTTGCACAAGAGTTCTATCGCTGTGGCTAAACGAGCGTAACTTCTTCCCACTCTCCATCAAGCTCCACATTTCCACGGTCCATCATGCCCTACACATAGCAATCCCCCACAATCTCACAGTCATTTGGATTGCCACCTTCCTGTTTGTGCAGAACGGATGGCGTCCTTCCAGCTTCTAGGAGATAAAATCGATCCCCAACTGCAGTTTGCGTCGGTCCAAGACCTACATACTTGTCACTCATGATCAACCGCCGTGACAGCGTAGCCGCTATGACTGAATCACTTGTCATCCATGTGTTGTGCCATGGGGGAGGGTAGCAAGATGCGGGAAGGGCACACGTCTCGCACAACCTCTTTCTGATCCTTTCGAGGAGGTCCTCCCACTGTGCATCCTTCCAAGATTCCCCTAGGTCGTCAAACCATACTTCGCACTCGACACTGTCCTCAACGACTTCGTCCTTAATAGGGTCGGCGAAAACTCGGGGCTCTGCCACTAACTCCTCACACTGGCTAATCCCGCTCTGGCCCTTGTGTGGTATTCCACACGCACATAGTTCCTGCCGCCTCTGGTGGTTGGTCTTGTGGGGGAATCCAACCCATGTATCTGGGGCCATAGCTTCAGGGCGGCCCTGTAGGCCCTCGCAGCATCTGACCAAACAGATCGCTCCATGTCCAGCGCTCTGTTGCTTTGAAGACTCTATGCTAAGAATAGTAGTTCGTCCGCGTTTTTCGCTCGTCGAATACCACCTTCTGATGGATGTGCACAGATCACATCTGCGCATATCAGCCTGCAAAATCGCTCGTCCATCCCCGGTGCGATCAGATAAAGATGTGTGACATAGTCAGACCACCACTTGCTGAGTGTGTCTTGACAGCAGTCTGCATCATCCCCCCACATGACTTCACCAACATATATGATCTCTCCGAAAGCAAGACCTCGGGTTATCAACTTAATATCTCTATCTCTCCGAGCTCGTTGGCCGATACTGTTGCTCGCCGGACAAGTACTGTAAAGGTTTACGGTCGGTGCCCGGATGTCGTACGTAAAACCGCCCGGAGCACTCCAGCCGGAAGCCCACGAGGGCAGGTCGCAACGAAATTTTCTGCCCAATTCTGTACTGAAAACGGAAAAAGATTTTGGTGTGTGGATACGATGCACTGTCGCTCGGCAAAAGGCTTCTCGCTCAATGTGTAGTCCGGCAGCATGGGTACGGGCCTCTTTTCCAGCAGATCGACTAGACTCAGCAATGCATACACCTTGTCCCTTAAGTCTGATGCTTGCCTATCACGGAACTTTCGCAGCCAATTCAAGAGTAAGATGCTTCTCTTACCGGAATTGGGGTTATACCGATTGTGAAAGCGAAGTTCCTCGATGTCATCGATTCATTGACCGAAATTGTGTAGCACCTTTGCTTGGTCTCGTGGCAGTGCTGTAATAAGATCTGAACAGCAACCTTTACTATGTTCGATGTACTGTCGTGCAGCCCTTCTGAACACACTCCAAGGCGCCGAGAACGTCCCGTAAACGATATCTACATCGGGTGGCAAAGCGATTTCTTAGATGACCCAGATTCGATTTCATCATGGAGTGGATGGTGGATGCATGAACCTCCTCAACGCTTCAATCAATTACCTTTGCTCACGCTCCAGTTTGAAAGAACCGGCCAATTCTTTGTGTCGACCATTGTCTTCCTCCTCGCATCTCGTTATGTTCAGTCCTGGAGTCGAGCTCAGATGTTCACCCAAGCTCATGTTTTTCAAGAGCATGAACACATCAAAGGCGCCATACTTCTGCCGCGACATATCATCGTTTGCTTGTATCGCCTCGTTCACGAGTGGGTCATCAGTCCGATCGAATCCACGGGGGTAGGAGGTTCAGCGACTGTTGCTGGACCGTCTAGTCGATCGCTAAGATAAACAACGCCTTTCACGCACTTTCTTTGGATATTGCCCATGAGCTTCACCTGCCCAGTCCTTTCTACCACATCTTCCTGGTTGGTACACAGCGCGTCAACCCACAATATCAGTCCCTCTGGATATCGTTGGTGAAGATGTCTCAGCGCGCTTTCGAGGTTGACAGTTACGCTATAAGGCTTCCTATTTACAGTAATGATTGGGAGCCGTTTAACGTTCCTGTAACCCCAAACATATGACAAAGCCTTGTAATGCGCATTTTCATGATGAACATTGACTAGTCTGCAACGTATCCGATTGCTCCAGGCACCGGGCAAAAGCTCGATCAATCGGATTTGATCAGGCGGAAGGGATCTCCAGGATATTCGACGCGCGGGGCATTTTCAGCTCTAGGAGGCGTAAGGAGCATCTTGGAAGCATTGCGCGCTGGCCGAACAGACGCGTTGGGTGCACGAGCGCTGTACCTCACATTAGCCTCAAGATATGCTTCGGCAATTGGGTTGTATCAAACTTCACACCCTTCCAGCTGGAATCTGTTCAGGCTAGTTTAAAGGGTGAACTACGTTTGAGGCCACATTATACCCCAAGCTAGACTAGTCGTGACATACCCCTCAAGCCAACAGCAAAGCACCGATAGAAGACGGACTGCAGCCCAACAGTAAGCTGCGCGTGCGAAGATGGTAGGAAGAAGCAGGAAGGGAGATGTCAAAGGGATTAACACACTGGTATGCTGAGCATGACCTATGTTTATAACTCATCCTTCTCCTGAGCAACTCCAAACGTCGCCCCTCCTTCAGACATGAATTTGACTTCCTCCTCAGTACTCTTCCGCCCCAATGCACCATTACGATGCGGGTATCTCCCAAACCTATCAATGATCTCCCTATGCTCCCTCTCCGCCTTGAACTGCCCTTCTAACAGCTTCTTCGAGCCTGCACATCCCGGCTGCACATCCAGATCCCTCTGCAAATCCTCCATCAGCCCATCTAGCTGCTTATGTACCTCGACGTCTTCCGAGTGACACAAGGGCATATAGAACCACATCCTATGCGCCGTAGAATTGCGCCACAACGGATGCTGATCTGGTCGCGGTATAGGACCCGCCGGCGAAAACAACGTGCGTATGAAGGCTTGCGAGATCTTGTCGTAGTGCGTGTATACTTTGACCAGGCCTTCGTTTGTACGGAAGATGTTGCGCGGCATCTGGTCGAGGAGGATGGCTATGCTCAGCGCTGCGGAGGCTGCTTCTGCACCATCGCCTTTCGAATCGTTTTGCGCAATTTCTGTTAATTGGGAGAGGAAGGGTTGTGCGGTCGGTGTTGTGAGTTTTGTGGGGCCGATTGCTTCGAGCGCGCGGAGGAAGTTGTCGCTGCATGTCTTGTCGAGGGCGAAACGTTCATCTGGTGTGCCCATAAACCATCTTCTTACTACGTCCATGTTGACTTCTTCGCCATTGGGGTCCACGCCGCTGAGCCAGACATCTTGGACCCTCTGGTAGAGTGCTGGAGTGAAGATGTTCTTATCTAGTGTGAACGAAGACATAGCGCGGACGTGCAGTGAGGTTGTGCTGAGAGCAAAGCAACGCGTGGCGACACGGAAGAGAGGACGAGTGAGCATTGTTGGTGAGTGACGACAAGCTACGGCTTGGTAGCAGTTTCCACGCGTCCGTAGCATGAAGAAGTCTAGTCAAGCTCGCGCTTTACGGCCTCCGGCGCTTGCTCAGCATTGTCTCGTCGTTCATGGCCATAGCTTGACGGACGAATGTCTGCGGGTAGTCTTCTGGTCAGAGTACATGGCAATGTAGCTATCCATATTAATTGTCAATATTTGTAAATTTGGTGACTGGTGAAGGGTTGAAGAGCTCCTGCAAAAGAGATGCTCATTGAAGATGACGTAACGTTGCGACGCGGAAATCTTTCGCCCCTGGCCTCACTCCGCGTTTATCCATTAAGGTACTTTAGACATCGCAGTACTCAAGTGATCCACCTACAACAACCGATCACTCTACGACATTGATTATGCACTCAATGCGTCCAGTAGCCGCACGAGGGCTTCACTCTGCTTTGCACGTTGTAGCCTCCAGGACCGCAAGATCAACTACAACACCATGCCTATTCTGCGCGCACCGCGCATCACCGCAGAAATCATCGCGCCGTTACCAGTCAACGTCAACTGCTCGCGAAGAGCCGTTCAAAGCTCCGTCAGCATCACAGTCATCGCAAACGCATTACTCGTTCTTTCCTAAGTCTCTGTTAGCTGGAGCACCGCCGGAGGGACCATTCAGCATCGACCTAAACGCTTTGAAGCGAGAATTCCTGCAGCTCCAGGCAAAGGCGCATCCTGATATGCATCCGCAAGAAGACAAGAAGCGAGCCGAGGCCACCTCTGCACGAATCAATGAAGCCTATAAGACGTTGCAGTCCCCATTACACCGCGCACAATACCTTCTTTCGCAGCGCGGTATCGAGACCGCTGAAGACGAGACAGCGAAGGTAGACGACCCAGAGTTGCTCATGGAGGTATTGGAAGCAAGAGAACAGATAGAGGAGGCAGAGTCAGAGGAGGACCTTGTTGAGATGAAAGATGAGAACGAGGTCAGGATACAAGAAAGCATCAAGACGCTCGAGCAAGCTTTTGCTGAAGACGACATGGAATCGGCGAAGAGCGAGACAGTCAAGTTGCGGTATTGGATGAATATCAGTGAGAGCATTGCGAACTGGGAGAAGGGCAAGCCGGTTGTGCTCGAGCATTAAGCGCCACGGTCCACCACCAATTTTGAATATACCCTACATCACCTGAGACATCTGACCACAACGCCGAAACCTCCTCGAAAACCGTGATGCTTTCAGCATTTATTCGATAGTGGTTCGGCGTTCTCCGACCATCCAACCAACAAAGAAAGCTCCCCGCAGGCAAGCCTCGGCCGGGCCCCACCAACTCCATCATCGATAAAGCTTCCCGCGTCGTCTCGACTCTCGCTTTCCTTCCTTTCCCTTCACGATGTCCACAACCTCTTTCAAGCCCGTAGCTGCGGAGCCCGTCAACGAAGAACATGGGTTGATCCATGGTGTTTCCGCGCAGGAGCTACAGGTTATCGGCGAGCAATGCATTGACGCAAAGTCCAAAGCATACTGTATGTTCAGTCTTTGAATACGCAAAGCGCAGGACGCTCATGTGACTGCGCAGGCCCATACTCCCTCTTCCGCGTCGGCGCATCCCTCCTCCTACACCAGTCGACGTCCTCCGAGCCCTCCATCATCGTTGGCGCAAACGTCGAGAACGCCGCCTACCCCGTTGGTACCTGCGCCGAGCGCGTCGCCTTCGGTACCGCCGTGGTTCAAGGCCACAAGCTTGGTTCTTTCAAGGCCGTTGGTGTCGCTACAGACATCGACGACTTCTGCTCCCCGTGCGGAATGTGCAGGCAGTTTTTGAGAGAGTTTCTGAGCCTGGAGACACCGATCTTCATGTTCAACAAGGAGGGCAAATACATTGTGAGGACGATGGGTGAGCTACTGCCGTTGAGCTTTGGGCCGGATGTTCTGCCGCCGAGGGAGCAGTTGAAGAAGGAGAGGGACGGGGAGAAGGCGAAGGCTGCGTGAGCATGCTGGTCCACAATACCATATTGGAATGACGACAGAAGAACTATAAGTTCAGAGCTACATTCACAAACCATATCAATGCAAAGTTCAACCAAACATTTGAAGATTTGAAGGTGTGTGACACCCATGTTTTTTGAAGCTTCCTTATGTGGCATCCCCGCGGCGAGCCCTGGCGGTCAACAGCCCACCACGCATGTCATGCAGCCCTTATCGTACCGTATCTCACTCCACAACCTCGACCAACAATCGCTCACATATTATGCATCTCCGCGCTCCGGAGATATGTCGAATGACATGATTGCTTCTTCTGCTTCTTGTGTATTTGATCTCAAATCAACAAAAGCAATGGCTACCCCTCGTTGTGCCGTGCCGTCTCTGCGAACGCCAGATTGAGGGGTGAAGCTTTAACATGGCAGCAACGAACGGAATGAACAACTCGGAGCACTTCTCACCGTATAGAGCGGATGGCAAACTGGTAAGTACAATTTAATCTGAGTTACAGAGGGGACGGGGTTCTGATTCAAGAATTCTAGTACGGCTTCGTGTGCGTTGTAACTGGAGCAACTCAGCCTGTCGGAAAGGCGATTGTTGCTGAACTTGCTGGTACGTCAAGATCTTTCTCGGAGTTGACCCTCTTCTGGTTGTGGCCGACATTTGCTTTTGACTTGAGCTTCTATTTTATTCCTTGTAGCCCTCAACATGAGAAGCTCGACCAAATTGTGCATTTGCTGGACTCACTCGGATTAGGGCTCCCTACTGACGAAAACCAGCTCACGGCGCAGCATGCATTTATGCCTGCTCGTCCCTGCCCGACGAACCCTACGCTGAGCTCACCTCCAGCATCAATGCCCAGTACCCAAACACCAAGGTCATTGGCTACCCCTACAAAATTACTTCCGAAGAAGACACCCTCGCCCTAATCGATGATGTGCTCAATTCCTGGGGCCGCCTCGACATCTGGACGTCTTCAACCGGTCTCCTCGGCCCGCCATCCATCACGACCACCGGTCCCAAAGATCTCTACGCTGCATTCGAAACAAACGCCATGCCTGCATTCTTCGCGCTCAAGTACGCGCCAGCCGCTATGCAGAAGACCACACCTAAGGGCAACTATCCCAACGCCGCGCCAAAAGATGCTCCATACGGATCCATTATCGTAGTCACCTCCGTAGCCGGCACATACGGCGGATGCTGGGCACCAGCATTTACCATGGCATCGCATGCCGCACTCGGCGTAGTGAAGTCCGGCGTAACAGTCCTCAAAGGAACAGGTGTACGCATCAACGCTATTACAGCTGGACAGATTGACGTGGGTGTAGATCTGAAGGGGAGTGGGCTGAAGGAGATGGAGAGCGGACAGTTTCCGCCTGCGGCGCTGCAGGATAAGGAAGTGCAGAAGAGGACTATTGGGCTTGAGAGGGCTGGTAGGCCGGAAGAGGTGGCGCGTGTGGCTGGGTTTTTGGCGAGTGGATTTAGTAGCTATATTACGGGGGCAGATATGAGGGTTGATGGAGGTGCTGGGGTCATGAATCCGCTTACTGTGCCTGTGTAGGAGTTAATTGTTGCCTTTCGAGTGATGATGGACTCGAAAATGTTTGCATTGCGTTCGAAGTGCCGGCGCAAACCTTTTCACCCGGTCTACATTCAACTTTTTCTCATCTGCTCCCATACCCCCTCACCCACCTCAATGGAACACCAAGTGCATCTCCTACTAAGCTGCTTCCAACTCACACCAGGACGTACTGGCCGATATTGTAGCATGGTATTCCCATTCCGGCAAGCCCCTCTTTTACAGTGCATGGCGCGCCAAATCCGGACATGAATCTCCAGAATGAAGACATCGACCTACCGTAGTCAAATACGGAGTCCGCGTAGCCTGCTGGCCCAGCTCAGGCGGGGTGTGGATCAAGCACGCCAAACTCGTGGACCTGGACTTCCTCGGTCTAGATTGCTTTTCAAACATGCTCAGGTGATTCCCAATTGACCAGACGGAAGAAGATGAGCTCCGTATGAGGCTGAAAATGGTCGGTGCAGAGTGGTGGAGGCTGCCTGCACCTTTTGACGAGCGAGAGCATCTCGGCAAGGAGCGGTTTGCGTGCGATACCCTGGAGTGCTTCGAGCCGGACATCAGGAGGGACTACCTCATCGCCTGGCTAGAAAACGAGATGGTAACCTGTTATATTCCGATTGCGCGAGCTGAAAAGAAGGGTGGAGCGGCGATGAATATGTACTATAATGCCAGGACTATGAAGAGCGCTGTGATGGACGCCTAGATCCGCCGTTTCAAGATCCACCACCAACATAGAGTCTTATATAAACTGAAGCATGAGTGCGCATAGCAGCGCAGAGTTTTGCATTGCATTATATGTATGAGCCATCACTCCTAAGCTTACACAGGTGACAAAAAATTGAGCCCCAGACGACCATTCGTCTAAGGCGTCAGTAAGATAGATTTTGCAAAAAAGGGGTCTTGCCGCGACTCGAACGCGGGGCCTCTCGCACGTTTACTTAGGTACCCTAAGCGAGAATCATACCACTAGCTGGATGGTTGTTAGCAAGAGCTCGAAGGCTGAAGATTTGTGGGTTGAACTTACACCACAAGACCGTGCTGTGATAGCTATTGATGAAAGTTTTGCTCAATGGTAACATTATATTATCAGTGATCATGAGCATGTGTGGTTTCGCTTAAGTGGGAATACTCGATTGCTTCGTCTTCACAGGCTCGGAAGGTGTCATCCATAACATGACTCGACTTGCGGAACACCATTTAATACCAAGGATGAATATGAACGAGCCTTTGATGTGTTAAGGCCAAAGCGCAAATGCTGGAGGCAAAGCATCTTCTTATCACAGACTTGAATCGCCACAGGACCATTGCGCGATCGCGATGGCAGTTGCGCTAAAGTGTGGAACTGGTGGAGCTCCCTACGTCAACGCGTCGAGCTCCATACCCGCGCCTCAAACCCTCGGTCTGAACTACTACAATGGTTTCTGAGCATCTGTTGTCGCATTGATCACTATTGGAGTTATTGACAGCTCAACATGGTACGCTTGTGTGTGCCTGCTGGTGAGCGCGAGTTTCCTAGACTGTACGCATGCAAGTAGCTAACAGCAAGCAGGCGACGACCAGCATGCCCTCACTCGAAGACCACGCCTTGGCTTCTCCGCCGCAGAACCCTCTTTGATCAATTCTCCGTACCGGGCCTGCCTCATTGCCACTGGGGTGACTGCTTTCTACTCCATTCTTGGGATTGCACGGCCTGGCACTTTCCTGAAGAACGCCGCGTTTTTCGGGCTGGTTGACGGAACTATAACAGCATTTGATATCTATGGGAGGCAAGAGCTCAACCGGGCGGTGTTCAAGCTGGATGGGTTAGATAATCCCAAACCCTTCAAGTTGTGGGAGCGGACAAAGCTATGGACCTTAGAGGATGCTTCCTTGTTTGGAGGCGCAACGGGACTTCTTCTTGCGTCGAACCCACGACTCTTCCCGGGTGCCATTGGCATGTCTCGGTTCTTTGGTGTAATCGTCGCCGGAAGCGCCATCAGCGCGAAGACTGCAGAATGGGCGTTGGGCAGGGGCGCGCCACACCAGGCGAAGCGTGTGGAATGGGTACTTGCAATGCAGCGGCGTGCAATGTATCAGCGACTTTCACAGGACGAGACTGCAAAGGCTTCATTATCGCGATTCGGGCGGTCACTGCTCATTTCATACACTGGAGACAGCCCCCTCATGCGAACACTGAGCAAGCCCTTTGGGGGACTATCTGGTATGGCAAATCCTGGCAGTGCTACAGTTGTTGGTCATAGCCACGGCCACGTTCATTCGGATGCGCAAATGGAGGCCATGCGGCAAATGCAGATGCAGCAAGCGCATACAAAGCAACCTGTCCTCATGCTGACTGAATTCGAGAAGGAAGAGCTGGCAGCACCTGATTACGACGGAGGTTATCGACAGTACCGTATGGACCCAACAGACACCGACCTGGAGACACTGCAAGAGCATTTGGAACATTTGAACAGGCTTCGCGATTCGGAAGTCAAGGAACTGGCCTACGTATGGCAGGCATTGGCACCCAAGGAGTACAAGATGCACCAATTATTCCAAGAAGATCCTGAGAAAGACCTGTTACGCCGCGAATTACAACTGCTCAACAGCATCGCTACTCACTCCAATACTCGACTTGCTATAATTGCTTACGCGCAAGCTGATGCCCGCAAGCGACTTGCGCAAATAAGAAACGAGGACCCAGCTTCTGTTGCTAAGGTACCCTTGCCTACGGCAGAGGAGTCTCCTCTTGACGGTGACTGGACAAAAACCCATATACCACGCAAGACCGCCGAGCGCATTCGGGAGCGCTGGGAGAGCGCTAGGACAGAGGCGGCACAAGTGGAGCATGTCCTTTCCCAGTTCGACCGACTGAAGGCTCAGGGCAGTACAAATAGCCACGCCGATGAGCAAGCCGAGCAGCTTCGCAAAGAGCAGGTGCAGTTGAAATCAAACGTAGTAGCTACTGAGAGGCTGCTGAAAGAGTATGAGGACCAGATCCTAAAAGCTGATGGCAACACCGGAAAATGATTATGCAGATCTCATTAAGGTCTAGTAGAGGCATGTTGCCTACGAAAGACCTTCATATACCCGCCCTAGCTTCTGAATACGTTCTCACTGTGGCATACTAAAAGTCATCCGTTCTATAGCCATTCCAACTATCGCAACGTCGAGCCCTGGAGCTCACACTATCTAGTACATCTAGTGCTACCAGTCCATTGAGTTGTTGGCAGACACCGCAGATAGACAAGCCGCGTGGGTGATAAAGTATGTTGTTCATCTGAATTGAACGAGAGGCACGCATGACAATCAAGATGGGTTGTGGTATGTTCATGGTCGATGACAACTCAGTGCACCTAGCTGACAAGAAAAACGAAGCCGAGGTATCGGTCTTGTTGTGGCCACACTATTCATTTCACCAAATACTATGGTCTGGCTGCTACCAATTGTGCGTGGGTTCAGCGAAGTGAAGGGTTGCGCTATTTGTTTGTTTGTTTGCATCCTTCCCATTTCGCCACATCTGAGCGGACTCGCGCCTACTTCATCTTCGCCCACCTCTTCTCAACACCTCCACTCCACAACCGTTCCACATCGCCGCCATGGCCAAGCTAAGTCACCCAGCTGACTCCTCGCACGCTACACCAGTAGCAGACCGCACTCTCGACGCTACCACTGGCTCGCCTCCTGCAATGTCTTCACCTCCGCCTCGCTCACTCTCTCTAGAGGCCAGCCTACAATCACACGGAAATGATAACCTGCCGCATTCCCCACCACGTAGGGGCTCTGAGCGATCGTCGTTTTCGCCAGCCGACTGCCGTACGCTCAAGAAGATCTTGCGTGATGTCGGCAACAACTCTCCTCCACCCACTCCAAGTCCATTTGGGCCCATCGAGCAGCTGTTTTCCAACACTGACCGCACCAGTAGCACTGTACAAGGTCGCACCGATGAGAATGAGGGCTATCGTTTCGTGAGCGACGAAGCTGCTGACACCGGCTACGAGGACGAGGACGACAGCATGGAGCTGAGTGAAGGCATGGAGGGTCTTACGTCCAGGGACACAGTCAGCTCACTCGGTGACCCTGCCTCACCATCCGTTTCTAAATCTGACCGACGGTTGCAAGACAGCATCTCAATGCATGACGAGAAGGACAGACTGAAGTACACTGGTCACCGCTCATCAACTACAAAGCATTCAAAAGCCAAGCGGCAAGAACAGGAGCACGACGACCTGGCTGAGACCACAAGAGGAGATACTATCGAAGATGTCATGAACTTACCCGGCAAGCGTGCTCCGCCAGCATGTCCGCTGGACCTGGGCTGTCGCGACTTAGACCGCCGACCCATACCTGATGACATCAAGCAGCTGAACCGGATGCGCCTCTCGATGGAGAAGGTTCTGGAAGATGAGCGCGTTGAGCAGGAACGTGCAGAAGGCGAAGAACCCGGCATCTTCATTCCAGGTTTCAGTCCACCGCACGACATGGCCACAGGCGTTGATGAATCTGGTCTCGACGAGTTCGATGCAGATAAGGAAGACACCACTGTCCATGGATCTGGAGCTCAACGCAGAAAGGTACGTCAAGATGAGTCAAGCCAACACTTACCAAATCATTTGACCATGCTGGCAACGAACGATCATAGCTCGCAAGGCAATGTTTTAAAGTCTGAAGCGCAGACCTCACCTGTCGTTCCATCATCCCGTGAAACAAAAGACGCAACGATCCTAGTCTCAAACACGCTAACCACTGCTGCGCAGACTCCGGACCGAGCCCATATCCAGTTCACTACCAACCAGAACGTTCCTGAAACACCGTTCACTAAGACTTTGAGCTACTTCAAGCAGTACAAAGGCACCGAAAACTCTCCCTCAAAGCGCCGTCGTAACACTGCCCTACCTCAAGAGATCGCTGACGTCGCTGACGTCGCTATTGATGCGGAAGATAAGACAGCTTACCCAGACCAAAAGGAGTTGCAGTCTGTGGCTCCAGATACAAGCGCATTGCCTACGGTGTCTGCTCTAGCCGACTTGGAAGGCATAGTACCGCCCAAGACCGGCAAAGCCACAGTAAGCACTTCTCACCCTGTCGACGAAGGGGACGAATCTCGTAACGTGCCAGCGTCTACAAACGCTGTCCCGGAGGAGACTTTCAGCAAAGGCAAGGCTGTCTCAGAGTCAGCACCGAATGACACTCAGAAGCAGCTCATCCTCTACCCGCAGCACCCTGCCTTCATCAACGCCATTGGTATGATTCCAGCTACCATGTTCTGGGCGACTGCCGCCCCGATAGTCAAGTACACCAACATCGCCGTCGACTTGCTCACCGATAAATTGAGGGATACATACCTCTGAAAATCAACAAAGACAAGCTGCGGCAAGGATGCTCCAGCTTGCTAACAACGTAGAGCTTACAGGGCCCTCAGTGAGCGAAGATATACGAAAGGAACATGCGAAGACCGCAGAATGATATGATGCTACTTCATTGGCAGCAAGATGCTGAAGGGATTCTAGATCTACATAAAGCCGGAACGCCAATGCTATCCATGATACAAGATGCTATATTTTCCCATCCAACCTAAATGTTCATCTCCTTCAAATTCTCAGCGACTTTGAACGGCGCCTCAGTCTTCGCCTTGATCTCATTCACAGTGACACCTTTAGCATGTTCCCTAAGTGTCAGACCTTCAACACGGTCGACGTCAAAGACCGCAAGGTCTGTGATGATAGTTGACACGCACTTGGGCCCTGTGAGAGGGAATGTGCACTGGTTGAGGATCTTGGGGTTGCCCTTCTTGTCGACGTGTTCCATTGTAACGATGACCTTGGTTTGTGTGGGATTCGCGACAAGGTCCATGGCGCCGCCGATGCCCTTGACCTTGCCGGGAAGCATGAAGTTCGCGAGATCTAGATAAGTCAATCACGTGATTCGGGTCGGAAAAGAAGTGAGCACATACCTCCGTACTGGTTGACCTGCATAGCACCCAGCATAGCAACATCGATCCTTCCAGACCGAATCATACCGAAGCTCTCGTGGCTACCGAATGTGGATGCACCGCTGTTAAGGGTGACGGTCTCCTTTCCGGCGTTGATGAGATCCGGGTCCTCCTCACCAGGCTTGGGGTAACGACCCATACCCAAGATACCATTCTCGGACTCGAGAATGATCTCAGTGCCCTCAGGAAGGAAAGCAGGTGCAGCAAGAGGCATACCGATACCGAGGTTGACGTACATGCCATCCTTCAGCTCCTGCGCCGCGCGCTTGATAATGCGCTCGCGCTTCTGGCTTGCCTCAGAGCTGCCCTCAGAGATGGCCTTCTTCTGTTCCTCAGGGCTCTTGTAGAATACTGTGCGCTCGATCTGCTTGCCCTCTGTACTCTTGATGACCCTCTTAACGTAGATACCCTGGAGGTGAATATCCTCTGGCGCGATCTCTCCATCCTCGACGATCTCATCGGCCTCAACGATGGTGATCTTTGCGTTTTTGCCCATTGCTTCGTTGAAATTGTTTTGCGCTTTGCGGAACTGACAGTTGCCGAGGCGGTCGGCTTTAGCAACCTTGACGAAGGCATAGTCGCCAAAGATGGCCTCTTCGAGGACGTAGGATTTGCCGTTAAACTCGCGGGTCTCTTTGGGAGGGGCCATCTTGGCGATGGTGCCGTCGGTGTTGTAACGGACGGGAAGCTCGCCGGTTTGCACTGATAGATGTAAGATGGTGTATGGCTGTGGAGAGGGTGATTTTGAACTTACCTATTGTGCCATATGCTGCTGGCGTGTAGAAAGCTGGGACACCAGCGGCACCAGCAGCGCACTTCTCAGCAATGGTGCCTTGAGGTGTCAACTCCAGGCTGAGCTGACCCTTCAAGTACATCTGCTCGAAGACTTTGTTGTCACCGATGTAACTCGCGACCATTGTACCGATCTGCTTCGTCTCCAAAAGCTGACCGAGACCAACACCCGGCATACCAGCATTGTTACTGACAACTGTAAGATTTTGGATATCCGATCGGTCGCGAAGCTCGTTAATCAATGTATTTGGTACGCCAGAGAAGCCAAAGCCACCAACCAGTAATGTGGAATCAGACTTTAGGTCCTTGATGGCTTCTTGTGCAGATGGGAAGATTTTGTTGATTGCAGGTCGTGCTGCTGTGGTCGAGAAGAATCGCATAACCTTGCCATTCCGGCGACCCGCGAAGTGGAATGTGCGCTGCATTGTGAGGGGTGTGAATTGCAATTGAGCGAGAGCTGAAAGTTACTGGCGTAGAACTTGGTAATGTTTCGACAGTGTATGATTTGTTCTGACCTTGAAGTTTCGTTCTCTGGGGCTGTCAAGATGCAGGATTTCGAGCTTCAGCTCCACGACAAATGGCAAACGGGGTATCTGGGGACGCAGCGCGACAATGGGCGATTCCTTCTTTTTGTTTCGCGATCTGGAACTCCCCACACGAGCTATCGGAGAGTTGCATCATGGTGCTAACTGTATTAAGACCACCGATACACTTGCCGTGCCGACGCCGGTGGAGCTCTGCGAGCCGGAAAAAGGTCGACACTTGGCGTGGATAAGCATTCAGCCGCACACTGCTCGGAAATGTACCGGCACAACAGCATGATTGGCTGCTTGCCGCGTCGGAAGAAGAGAACGGGCGCGGATAAGGACATGTTTTCCAGGATTGAGAAAAGTTCATGCTGCTGAAACCATGTGACACCGTGTTCTACTTCGCGTCTCATCGCACGCGTGTGCATCGCGCCTTTATCGTTGACCCAACAGGCTTCAAGGGATGCTCAGTAGAGGCTCCGAATAATATGTTTTACTAAAGTCCAAAGGTCAGTCGTCAGGCACACGGACATTCATCGCAAGCATCTTACAGTTCGCGAAGTCCTTGTGGTCTTTGTTTCCGTGCAGAGCTCGAGATGCAATAGCATCTTCTTCCTCTTCGCCAGTAGGCACATTATACTGCATCATGTCAGTTTCTTGCGATGTCAATAGATGAATAAAGCCTACAGCTGTCAACGTTGTCTTCAGACCAAGCTCCTTGACTAGGTCTGCGATTGCATCTGCGACCATTTGCGCATCTTTGCTAATGTCACCAGTGCTTTGCTTTTTGATGTAGGGAATAATCCGCGCAATTTCCTTCGCTTCGTTTGGGTTGCTCGCCTTCAGACGCACAACTGGCGCGAGGCTCAGACAACTTGTGACTCCGTGAGGGATGGCATAAGTGGCTCCGATCGCGTGGCCTATGCTATGGCTCAAACCAACACCGCCACTGAACAGGAACGGGAAGAGAGAGGCATAACATGCAAGAAATAGCTTCGTGCGAACCTCAGCATCGTCAGGGTTGGCTTTCGATTGCGGGAGGTACGTGAATAGGTCTTTAATCGCTTCGAGACACAGCCGCTTTGTTGGTATCTCGGACGCAAGAGGATGATACATCAGCTCGACAGCGTGATCAAGCGCCCGCATCTATTATGTTATCAGCAGTGCTCCTTCAACGTTTCAACACGTGCTTTGACGACCTACTCCAGTGCTCAGCCAAAGGTTCATCGGTGTATGTAAAGCATTCTCACCATCGTAAATGATCGCTAGAATGAGACTGAAGATTAGCAGTTGTCTCGCACGAATGAGGAAGGTATGCTGACCTTTCGGTACCTGTTCGGGGTCGCTCACGGCTATTTTGTGTCCCTCATCAGTAGTGAAGCCGGCATTCTGCGTAGTCTCTGCTACACTGAGGGTCGTTGGCACCGCAATACTGGGAATCCACTTTCCAGTCTCTTCGTGAATATTGTGGGCAATGGCCTTCGCTGAATCGATTGGAGAGCCACCTCCTACAGACACAAGTATGTCGCAGCCTGACTTCGACATCATCGCGGTTGCTTCGCGAATGAGTTGAATTGGCCTGCATCTGATCAGCTTTGAAGACCACTTGTATTGCCTGATCAAACTCACGCATGTTGCCCAATCTTGTAGAAAGTGCCTCCATGCATATCATCGAGCTGTTTTTCGACATTTTTGAGGACGGGTGTCTTCTCATAGAGTGATTGACCGGTAACGACAAACGCCTTCGTACCGCAGAGCTGTGTTACCACACTTCTTAGCTGGCTAGTTGTACCTGAAATTGAATGTCAGTAGTGTCTACCGTATATAAGATTGAGGACTAACCATTTCCATACAGCATCAGTTTGGCGGGCGAAGCTCGATACGTGCCCATGGCCGAGGTGTCGCAACTGGGCCCTTGAGAGTGATCTGGGAGCGCCATCTTGTGCAGCAAAGCTTCGCTAGTGATGTTAGAACTTTAAGGTTACTGTGTTTTTGACTGGATGTTGGCGTTGGTCTGCAATGACGACCTAGCCCCGAAACTGGCAGGCACGCGGGGCGATTGTGGAGGAGGGGCAGCTACGCGTCACCCGCGAATCGCCCCATCTTGCGTTTACCTTCACCATCTCTACACTCAAGTCTGCGGCCCCTGTCTCTACAAGCCATGATATGCGACAAACGTCCGGTAGATGACGATTGGGCTGTTGTCTTTCCTAGATTGCTTCAAGTCCGGGCAGCCCGCGTCAATAACACGCAAATGACGCGATTGGTGACGGAAACGGCAACGACCATGTTTTGAGATACAGAAGCGCATGATCTGCCCTCGTTCGACGAAGCGAAACCTTGGCACCAATTACTCTTCATGGGTGCTTTTGCGCCTCGCGTCGGAGCTGCTACAGAACTACAGCAATTCTCGCTACTGAATTAGAAATTTTGACAGGAGAGATACATCGACTGCCAACCCTTCTCGCAATATCGCACACAGAGTGTCACATCATCATTGTCCACGAAAAAAACATGGGAATGTAAGCATAGCCCCGGGTCAGTATGGTTTGGAATGTATAGTGCTAACTCCTTCACAAAGGGTACAACGGGTACAGGAGGCTTCGTCGTTCCTATCCCTCCCGGCCGAACTTCGAAATCAGATCTACGAATATGTCTTTCAGGGCTGGGTGATCGCAATCAGACCAAGCCTTCGACGACAAGATAGCCTGGAGGCTGACTTCTGGCCAGTCACCACTGACCCTTACCAAACCACAGGGAGACAGGCAGTCCGTCGAGCCGACAAACCATCCAACTTTTTTGCCTTACTGTACACCTGCCGACAGACTTATGCAGAAGCGAGGCTTCTACCTTACAGCATGAATACGGCTTTGTGTGGGGAAATGCCGTTTCCTCGCGCGTGGCTGGACGATTTACATGAGCAGCTGGCCCAGATTCGTAGCCTACAGCTTTGCTCACACACACCAGCCAATATTACTCTGTCAAGGACGTGGCTGGAGGTTCTTCCATGGTTCAGTCATCTGAAGAAAATTGAGGTCTACTGGCAACTGCGTGTGCCGCCATGGGGATCGGAAGAGGAGCACTTGTCAACAGCGACCAGGGATGAGGCCGAGATGAGGCAGAAGATTATCAAAGCTACTTCGGCCGCATGTGACATCATCTTCCATCGTGCTGTTGTCTGGGAAGGATAGAAGGTTGTCCAGTGAGTGCGCCATCGAAGACGACAGCGCTCCATGCACTTGTCAAGTACGCCTCGAAGCCCAAGTCAGAATGAAAGACCAGATCTGCCATCCGCCTGGAAGAAAGAACATTGCAAAAGCTGGAGCGATGCCTGTTGACGATCAGGTTTGCTCACCACTCAATGCGCACAGCCTGCGACATGTGAAGATGCCACTCGGAAAAGCGCAGAGCTTGCATTGCGACTCAGGAAAAGCTTGATGGCCCTGAAGGATAACAAACACCCAATTAATCTGGTAGCGCCTAGTCAGTCCAAGTACACGTGGGCGATCCGGGGCCAGCGACATGTTGAAAACAGATCTGGTCGCGGTGAGCAAACGTCGAGCAAGGCTGCTTAGCGTGCGACCGGCGACACATCAGCCTCAATTGCAAGACATGAGGCTGAAATGCCTGCATTCGCCGCGCCCCGCTGATCGAATCCAAACATGTTGGGAAGTTGCGCGATTCTTTCCATTCCAGGACTTGACTTGATCTCGATAAGGTCGAAAAATATCGAGGGCATCGGCGAATTTCTAGCAGCAATGGTGTTGGTTTGTGGCAGCTTGTTCAACAGGTGGAAGTTTTGGCTCTGAAAATCCTTGAGCGCTTGCGGGTAAAAGTGGAGCAAACACGTTAACATCACTCCACTTAGCGTGTGAGGCAACGGCGCCACCGACATTCCACCATCATCGTCATGTCGTTCGATCAGAGCTAGGGACAAGCCGGAATGAATTCTTCACGAGATTTGTCGCCAACTGTGACACTTTGCTTGTATCATAGAGGGCAAGGGAGGCGAGAAGCTGTATAAGTAGGACATCTGCGCATCTTGCATCTGGCCACTCCACAGCATCTGAGATCTCAAGCCATCGAGTCCCCCAAATACACAAACTCCCAGACTACCTTCCTCAACTATCAACTACTTCACCATGCCTTCTTTCAAGGGTGAGCTTCGCCTCAGACTACATCTTCTCCAGATTTATACTAACGGCTGCTGTAGACTCCATCTCTTCCACCCCTGCGGGCCCATCGTCGGCCCCTACCCCTGCTTCGACTGTCCCCACTCAGTCTACTCGCGAGACTCTCCACGGAGCTACCGCAGCTTTGACCGCACAGGGCCTCAACCTTTGCCCTCACTGCTTCCGTGAGATGTCGCACTGCAATGAGCGCTTCGAGTTCGCTTAAATGCTTCTCGAACCAAACCATCGCCAGGAACGTGTGTGATAGCACTCCGGCTAGAACAGAACCCTTCGAACGCTGCTGAAGGATGGCGCGCTATTTCAAGCGAGACGTTGGGGCTACGAATTTCTATGGATACAACTAGGGATGGGTTTTGGAAAAAAGGGTCAGGAACTAGGCATTTACAGGGCGTTTGGGTGCTGCATTAACGCTTCAACTTTGTTGATGCCTACTCCACTTTGGTCGCCCTGCATGCATCAGCAGCATCAAAGCATCGCATCTCAATCTTATCACGGTACATGTTAAGGCTTCAAATCACCACTTCGTAATATACTCAGTTGCTTGCGCACTTTTCCGTCTTCGCTTGTTCTGCGCTTTCCATGCCGGCTTTAGGGTTCTTAAATCGTAATCAAGCAGGTGCTACCGCTGCCTCACCTTCACTTGCCCGCACACCATGTTCTCCGCACTCGACCGCCGTACTTGACACCTTCTTCTTACCTCTCAACAGCCTGCTTGCTCAGAGTGCTCACTATTTTCGCATTCTGTCTGTTTCGTCAATGCCAGAATGGAGCGCCAGCTGGAGGGTATTGCGGAAGCGAAGCCGGCAAAGAAGCACGGTGATCTCGGGTGCTTCCAGCATGGTATCGAAGGAGATGCACATCATCAACACAGATTCCGGGACGAAGACGTCAATGTTTAATCGTATGCTAGCACCGGGCGCGAGTTGACACGACGCATGGAAAAACAAATCCAACATCAACATCAAACCTGTCTCACCTAGTCGTTAGCTCAGTGACATTGGTGATTATTCGCAATCTTGAGATCGAAAGTACAGGCTCATTGCATAGCAAATTATACGAAACCGAAATCTGGCTGCCCTGACTTTCGACTCTAGGGTGGTTGGACGCTTCCCTTTCGATGAACCTTATTTACTAGCTGAGTCATTCCTCGCTCACTTTTTGAGCCACAAAGTTGCCCTGACCTTCAACTTATACCCGTTGCCTCTCCAGAAACTCAGATATGCTAAAATATCACCGAGTCGCAATATGTCTACTTTCCATCTCTACCTAATAGCATCGCTTCTGCTCGTGCTAACAAGAAGTGTCAGCCCAAGCGCAGAGCACAAAAGCAAGTTACTGGCGAAGACAAGATGAAGACACTCAAGAACGGCATGCTCGATGTCACGCCAACTGGAAGATACCTCGCAATGTGAGTACTACACAGCGATCTTGAATATGTTTCTGACAGACTCTGCGCAGTGTCAAACGAAACGCTCAGAAGTCACCGCTACTGCGCTTACCTCTTGAGATTTGCAACAAGATCTGGATGTTTGTCCTGAAAAGAGACCGGCGGCACGAACCTGAAAATGTGCGACCATCATACTGTTATGCAGTCTGTTGGCACTTGAGTATCATTCAAGTATGCAGGCAAACCTATGCCGTGACCGCGCTGCTACCATTTGCCATCAACTCCTTCCACGTCAACTCCCGTATGGACAGAAGAAATTTGCTGCAGTTACTCCCTGGTCAAAGAGATGCTATCCAAGAGCTCTTTGATATGGACTACTTTCTTGACGAGAGGATCGAATGGCCTATACATCGCTTCCATGGGTTGAAGACATTATACGTGGAATTTATGGTCCTACCGGTACTGGGTGAATACCTAGGACCTGATGGAGAACAGGCTGTTGTCAATAAGATCGGAGCGAGATCTGAGGTTCCTGATCTCGAAGTTCATGTTCGCCAATAGAACATGGACGGGTGGGGTGGAATCTGAAGGCAAGCGAGACCATCACCACTATGGCATCGTTCCATCTGTTTCATTTCTTTGCAACAACCTCGCTAACAATGGCCGGTGGCAGAAGTTGGTCTTAGTAATTCTCTCGGCTTGTCAGGTATTGCAGGCGGAGTGTTGATGATAGGAAATAAGGATCGCTTCAACACAGCAAAATGCACTTACCGCTAAAAGAAAGACTAAGCCCAAATCGTGCTAGACCAATTCTTATCTTATCTCCAATACGTCACGCGAAGTTGCATTAGTGACGCGACAAAGACCGCAAGGGGCCGATATCCTGCAGTGATACACCGCAAAATGGCTCCTGCGGAACCCCTCTCTATTCCACTCAATTGCTTACCATCATGTGTGGCATCAGCTGTATCATCAGCCTCGATCGCGCCCAGGGACACGCGGCCAACTGCCTCGACGATCCGAAGACATTGGCAAAGCAGCTGAACGATAGTCTTGAGCTGATCAAGCATCGTGGTCCTGATTCGAGAGGCCAATGGATCAGCTCTGATAACAAAGTTGGTACTCTGTCCTTGCAACCTTCTCAAAACTTGCAGCATCACCCATCGTACTCGAAAGCATTTGCTAACGCTCAATGCAGCTTTTGGTCACGTCAGGCTAGCAATCAATGATCTTTCGCCCGATGGTGCTCAGCCGTTTCACAATGAAGACAACAATATCCATGCAGTCGTGAATGGCGAGCTCTACGACTACGAGGCTATTCGTGCATCATTGATCGAGAAAACAGACTACAAGTTCAAAAGTCGCAGCGATTGCGAGATCGTGATTGCGCTGTACAAGTACTATGGATTGTCCTTTCTGAGTAAAATTCGCGGAGAGTTCGCGTTGTGCATCTATGACGCACGCACTCAACTGTTCATTGCAGCGAGAGATCGTTACGGGATCAAACCGCTGTTCTACACCTTTGTCGACAATAAGCTGTTAGTTGCTGCTGAATCTAAAGCCTTCTTGCCACTGGGTTGGAAGCCGGAATGGGATGTCGCAAGCTTGAAAGAGGCAGGATGGAATCATGATGCTCGCACCATCTTCAAGGGCGTCAGAAAAGTAAAGATATGGCAATGCGTGAGTGATGGTGGTACTAATTCGTCCAGGTCCGCCCAGGCCACTACATCACCTGTCAGTCCTTCGACAATATCGAGTCACGACCGTACTGGGATATCGAATATCCCTCTAAGGTACGACTCTTGCGCGTAACTTACATCTCAGTGGACTGATGCAGCCATAGACTCTGAAAGAGCCACGATCCGACCAAGAAATGATCGAAGGTGTCAGAGAGCTAATGCTGGAGGCAATTCGCGTGCGTCTTCGAGCGGATGTTCCTATTGGCGTCTACCTGAGTGGCGGTATTGATTCTTCGGTCATCGCTGGTATGGTCACTCACCTTGTGAAAGAGCAAGGCGAACGAATGGGCAACGACAAGGAGCCTGAGCGCATCAGCTGCTTCAGCATCGGTTTCGATGAAGACAGTGGCTTTGACGAATCCGCGATCGCGAACAGAACCGCCGATCACCTCGGCGTCAAGTACTACAAGAAGCACATGAAAGAAGCCGAGCTTGCTGCTCGCTTCGAGGATGCTACCTGGCATTGCGAGCACCACAACCCTGATCTCAACTACGTCGGGAAGTACGCACTTTCTGAAGTGCCGCAAGAGCTTGGCTTCAAGGTTGTCTTGACTGGTGAGGGCGCAGATGAACAGTTTGGCGGCTACCCAATGTACCTGCCGGACTACCTCCGCGAAGCAGACCTCGCATACTCGCCGAACCCACTTCCAGAAGATGTTAGAAAGGCACAATGCATTCAAGCTGATGAAGAGGCCAGCGCGTACTACGAATCAATCGGTGCAGACGGTGCCAATCGCGGCCCATCACTACCTCGGCGAATGCTCAACGACATCACTACTGTGTCTTCCATGACAGCTTTTTCCGCCGATACGCTGTTTGCAGACTGGACTGCCTGCTACGGGGCATGCGACCCGCAGCTCACCATTGCGAATAACGTTGATGGTCGTGTCAAAGATGTGATGATGTACAAGTGGCATCCGCTCCACACCGCACTGTATGTGTGGCAGAAAGGCCATCTGTCCAACATCTTCTTGTCATGTTTGGGTGACAGAACAGAAATGGCACATTCGATCGAAGCTCGAACACCCTTCCTCGACCATCACTTGACTGAATACGTCAACGGTCTACCTCCGAGTGTGAAGATTAGGTGGGACATAGAAGAGAAGAGGTTCGTGGAAAAGTGGATCTTACGAGAAGCAGGTAAGCCCTTCATTACGGAGGAGCTATACAAGAGGAAGAAGCATGTGAGTGATCCGCTGTTGCAACCTTATCGGCAGTCCACCGAAGGAGTTAACAATGATCAGCCATATTCTGCCCCAACTACATATCCAGAGAACGGTCCTCTGCAGAAGTTGCTCGCCAGGTTGCTCACCAAGGATAGAGTTGAACAACTCGGCTTCATTGCATGGAACAAGGTCCAAGACCTTGTTAACAAAGCGTTTAGACAGAAGGATGCGAACGCAATGCGCTTTGCGTTCACTATCGCTCAGTGGGTTGTCATTGGAGAACGCTTTCAGATCAAGAAGGCAGGGCCGCAATTAGTGGAACGTCCTCATATCTCATGAGTACGGAATTCGACTAGAATCAAGATCCCTGGTAAGCATGCAATACCTTTGTCGTCCGCTTTGAATTTACAACCGTTGTGCACATATCAACACATTTCCTTCTCATGATCGCACGTTGTGCCATAGTCGTGCAGTCGAGATCTTCTGGGCTACGAACCGACCCAAACTAACTCTAATCTTGCGAAGCGTCTGCGCACACCTGACTTCGAGCTCAGACGCTTTTAGCCACCCATTGGTACGACTTGCACTGGGTCAGGCTTCCATTGGTGCCATCAACACCGGCTATTATTCCTCGCTCACGTCAGCCACTAAGACGATCATCATACTTCTTAACAACAACGCGCATGCTTTTGGAAATGCATTCTTGAAGCAACTGCATGTTACGTATCGCAGGAGTGCGCAACATCTCCAAGATGAGCCAGCTAACACTAGGTACCGTTGCAGTCATTGGAGCTGGTGGGTGCTACAGATACTCCTAACCTACAACCAACATTGACGACATTGACAGGCACATGCGGAGTGTCTATGCTGAAAACCTTGCGCGAGGATGGCTTCAAGGTCACCTGCTTCGAGCGACGCAAGCAAGTCGGCGGTCTTTGGGCATACACCGACGATCCAACAATGACCTCAGCATTACCATCAACACGCGCGATCATCAGCAAATACACATGTGGCATGACCGACTTTCCGATGCCGGACAAGTATCCGAGTCATCTGTCAACCGCCGAGTTTCAAGAGTACATTGAGTCTTACGCAAAGCACTTCGACTTGCTCAAAGATGTCGTGTTCGGTGCTTTGGTACAACGAGCCACGCGAAACAAAGACAACACGAAGTGGAATCTGGAGATGCTGGTCAATGGCGAGCAACAGACGCATGAGTTCGACAAGGTCGTTTTCTGCCATGGTTACCAAACTCAACCAGTCATGCCCGCTTTCGTAGGTAAAGAGCTGTTCGAGGGACAGCTTATGCACGCACAGCAGTTCAGAACGACCAAAGACTTGGAGGGAAAGAACGTTGTGGTTGTTGGCATGTCCAGCAGCGCTTCCGACATCATCAACAATATCCTGCCCGTCGCATCCAAAGTATACATGTCGCATCGACGAGGAGGTTATATCTTTCCAACATGGCGCAAAGGTGTGCCTGGAGATCTCATGGTGACATGGCGGCGCAGGCAGATTGTTGCTTTCATGCAACACTACTTACCAGGAATCTACAAGTGGAGCACAGACACGGCGCTGCGACTCTTGATGCGTAGTCACTGGGGTAAACTGGATCCGGAGTGGCGTATTCTGCCCTCGCCTTCAATCACACTTTCTCTGCCTGGTGCCTCGAACAGTCTCATCCCGTTACTCCGTGAAGGCAAGATCACATCAGTACATGGCATCAAATGCTTTACTGGCCCGCACTCCCTAGAGCTGAACGACGGGACTGTGCTCGAAGGCATCGGTGCCGTGATCTGTGCAACTGGGTACACTGCCAACCTCCACGCCACACCTTTCCTCGAACAAAGTCGCCCGCCCAACTACGGTGGTCCCGACCTCGTCAGGCTATGGATGAACGTATTTCCTCCACAATATGCTGACTCCATGGCTCTTCTGTGTCATTCAGCTTACGGCAAGAACAATGGATTCTCATTCAATGACGTACAGTCCATGGCTGTCTCCAACGTCTTTAAGCATACGCACAGCCTGCCCTCACAGGAGGTCATGAACAAATGGATCGATGCCCACCACAACTGGCTCGCTACTCGTTATCGCCAGGAGCCTCTTGGATTCGAAGCATCTGCGGTGAAGACGTGGGAGTTCCAGCAGTTCCTGCATGACGTGGCGGGTACCGGCATGGAGAACCTGGGGTGGGGTTGGAAGGGATGGAGGTTCTTCCTACAAGACCCCAAAATGTCATGGCTGATGAACAACGGCGTCGAGACTGCACATGCGTTTCGGTACTTCGAAACTGGAAAGCGCCGGACGTGGCCTGGCGCCAGAGATGCAATCATCAAGGCGAACGAGGCGGTCAAAGTGTTCCCGGTGAAGGATGAGAAGAAGGCGATCGAGGCTGGTGCATTTGGCGTCGAACTTGAAGCTGCAAATTGATACACGCTGTGCGATTCGATGTGTTTTCTAACTCCAAGGCGTTCAATCTACTCTGTATACCTGTTCCATGTGTTTGTGGTGACATAGCGACAAACAGTAGTCGAGGTAGGCGCGCCAATGCGCGCTTTGAATGAGTCTCGTACCTCACCCACTCCAACCCACTTTATTCCACCAGCATATTACCAAGCACACTGTATCTAGAGCCGCATGAGAGTATCTACAGCTGGATGCGCGATGAGGCAGCCCGGCGAAGCTACAATATCACCTGCAGCACGCCATGTTCATGTACGCAAGCTCGCAAATGGCATTCTTGACTCTCAGCCAACTGTAGCTCAAGCGGACATATAAGTGCGACTGTCACCTACCATATTCGAGCTCATTAACATGCTCGCAGCTCTGAGCGCAATTTGACAAACTCTCCACTCTTACGTCTACCTCCAGAGATCAGGAACCTTGTCTTTCGATATGTGTTCACGAGGCCGGAGAGAGTGTCTTTCCACGGCCAAGAAAGGGGCGCTTTGCATGTCCAGTCCTGGCCGGACCTCCAACTCGTGTGCGTCTGCCGACAAGTCTACGTTGAAGCTGCGCCCCTTCCTTTTTCGCTGTACACATTCGATTTTCGCTGCGGCACCTCCGGGATCAACCGTGTTCTCAACGCCATGCTATCTCCCCAGCAGGCAGCAGTATCGCAGTTGAGGTCCGAACGTCTCATTTCTACTAGGCTTCGTTCAATATCCTAGCGGGACTGTTGACAGGACTGAAGACAGTCCGTATCAAACGTTCCTTCGACATGACGAGTTTATTGGGGCACTTGCTCGAGGAATGCGTTCCATCTTGGATTGAAAGTAGCGGCTGCAAGATTGAGTGGGTCAAATGTCGTTGACGACAAACAATTTTAACATGGGCTTAATGCTGGAGCATCTCATGACAAGGAACCATATCAAGCTCTGTTTGAAGGCTGTCCCAACTTTGTGGTCTAAGTAGTGATGTGATCTAGTATACTGTAAGCCTGGGATATTCGGAGACGGATCACACACATATATGCATGAGTGGTAATTGAAGTGCCTATCTAAATATGTGCGCCGGGGACGTAAGACCAAACGGTGCTCTGGAAAAGGCACGATGCGCGCTGCTCACCTTTCACCTACTCTTCTTCCCTACTCCTCACCAACACAATCCACACTCCATAGCGTCCGAGACTATGCACCTACAACCAAGAGTACGACGAAGCAACCCGGTAATCTACAACACACAACACTACCTCAGCACACAACATGGGTGTGCACAAACTCGACAGTGGCATGCTTGACTTAACGCCGAATGCCGCTAAAAGAAGATGTGAGTTAGGATCTCTTGCCGCAGTGTAATTGGTCTGACCTCTATGCTTGCAGCGCCGAACGAAACGCAGCAACCTCGCCACTTTTGCGCCTACTTGCCGAGATCCAAAATCTCATCTATCGATCTGTATTCGCCGGGTCAGGCTGCGAATACTCTTACAATAATGAGGGCCGCATCATTGTGAGACCTCGGATTCTGCTGGCTACTCTCTTTATCTGCTGCTAGGTCTGTGCTGAGGCTGCGCTTTTACCCTTTTCGCTGTTCACGTACAGCTTTTACTATGGCCCAGGAACAATCAGTCGCATTCTCAACACCATGCTGCCGACGCAGTAGGCCGTTACATCGACGCTCGTATTGCGCTTGGGAACCTTTATGAGATACCTTTCGAAACCCTGACGGGGTTGAAGATTGTTCATCTGCGAATCTGAACGAAATGGGAGTCCAGAAGCTGGGAGTCGGCCAAGGCGCACATCATGGAAGGAACTAGAAGGACGGACATAGATGTGCAGGCACACGACTGTCGTTGCGAACGACTTGTGAACATGCAGTGGTAGGACTACACTAGCAATATCATGCAGATTCTGCGGTCCCTCATTGTGTCGATATGTTGTCGATGACAAAGCAGATATAATGACTTTCACAAGTTCCTGACCCCCCTCTGTCTGGAAAACCATGATGTCACCTACCCACGAAGTTGTTCTTTGGGCCAAAAGCTACATCTCATCATCGTTCCAATTATTAAGGAGGGGTCAGCAACTTGTGAAAGTCACCGGTAATTCAACGGCTCACTGATGATCATCAGGCGATATTCGCAACGGCACACATTATTGTAACTTACCTGTATTATCCTCAGGATGAAGACGCTCCCACTCCCAGATATTGTTCGAAACATACCAACGCCGTTCTTCACCCACCATACCAGTGCGAAGCGTATTCCGGACCTTCCGCCCAATCTGCGCCTCTCTAGAAAAAACATACCGGACATACTCTGCCGATGCGATCTTGTTGAAAATATCAACCAGCTCCGACATACATTCCGCAATGGCCACATCTTCGTCACTATCCAGCATATTCATAGGGGCTCGGTACGCGCAGAATTTCGGTGCAAAGGACGCAAAATCCCAGTCAACAACACCAGTGATCTCAAACGATGACCCATCCACAATCTCAGCGAGGATATTGCGCGGCGCCAGATCGCCATGTGAGAGGTGAAACGTCTCACCCAGAAAATCTCGCCGCTGTAATGAATACAAAATCGCCCTGATCTTACTCCACGACGCAAAATATCCTCATTAGGACAATTCTCAAGCTCATACTCCACCCAAAGATCCACCAGCTTCAGCGTGATTGTCAACGGCCTGCGATCCGGCAGCTCCGTAAGAGCACCCGCATCAAAACGGAAATTTAAACAGCCTCATTGGTATCCGAGACGAACACAGCCGTCTATTAATCCCCTCTACAAACTCCTCGGCAACCCAGCCCGCATACGGCGCCTTGACTTGTGCCAGATTCTCCCCCAACTGGACAACCTGCTTGAAAATGTAAACATTTTGTTCGACATTGGTGTCCTTGCCAACCAAGTCTTCCAGCGAACGGCCGCGCAGACGACTTTCAAGCGTGTATGGAGCATCTAGGACGTTGTTCTTGGTGAGATCGAAAGCGATGACGCGCGGGATGGGAACGTCGAGTTTGCCTGAAAGACCGCGAAGGACGGCAATGTCGCGCCGCATGTCTATGTTTGAGTCAACGACGTCCGAGTGTGGGATACGGATGACGTACTTTTTTTCCTCGATCACAAATCGCCCTGAGCTTTCCGGGTTCGTCTGATGCAGAAACCGGGGTGTAAGGTCACGCAACGGGGAGCCAGTAACCTTTTGACCACGATGCTGTAAGGCTGCTGCTGTACAATTGTCAGTATTGCGCATCAAACTTGCTCTTGGATAAGTGCTTACATGTCACCGAAAGATCGCTAACATCGGTCTCGTTGGGCAGTTTGAAACGTAGGAGTTGTGTGTTGTGGTTGAATTGCTCGCTGCTTTCGAGTGGTAACGATATCATCGCTGGTTCTCTTCCAAATGCTCTTGCTGGAGATTCTGTGTCTGCGTGGACGTTGTGGACGAAAGCGTAACTGGCACCACCTATCGCAACGCCAGCAAGGATCGTCCTTGGCCGTACATGCCGAATCGGTAGAGCAGGCAAGATGGAATGAGAGGAGTTGTCCTTCAGTTATACCGGCCCGTTTTCAGTTATCGTAAGTTGAGATGTAGAGTCCTTGAGGTTAGAATCGCTGTGATCGTGAATGGGAGTGCACAGGCAGGGGCAAGAGCCCGTTCACATACTTCCCACTCCATTGTAGCATGCCGGAGGTTATCAATACCTTCGCCATATATGTGGGTACTAAGATGGTACCTTCACAGACTGCTACGAAGCTCGGAGTCGCGGTTCTAAGCGCCCGCAGTTCGTTGGTGCAGCGACCAGCGCATTGAACTCCCAGTCCCAGCTCAGGCCCCCAATCTGGCTAGATGGCCATCCATGGATGTACTTTCGGGTACAGAGTGATTATCACTCGCATGGAGAGCTTCGCAAGGCTGAACTTGACCAAGAGCCAGTTGTACTCTTAGACGTTAGCCCGTCGCCGAAGAGCACATGTTGCGGTGTGTGCCACTGTAGAATACTGATAGCTACGGTAAACGATAACGTAGGACTATCGGGTCAATGGAATACTGCGCTGAATTGCTATCTAGCTGGGAGATGACGACTATATGCCTGACACCAGGCCAGTGACCTGTCACACACTAGACTAGGGTAGTCTGTCAGGAGTACAGTCAGACCTTTTACAGACTGACCGATACCGCAACAGCACAGAAGCTCATCTTTGAAGGCGACAGACGTTGCAGCGACATATGTGGCTTCATACACCTTCTTCACTATGGAAACTACTGTGGATACCGCGGAGCGCGAAGGATTGCGCGCTGCGCGGTAGTCGAACGATGTCGGTGTGAAGTGTGTTGGTTGGGTGCGCGCCCAAAAGGCGCAAACATTCGAGATCTCGAATCTTCGGGTTTTGGAAGGCTCGACCACAGTACAACCTTGACATGTCTGCAGTTCCACTTTCTCTACTAGAATACATTTCTGTTTTGACACAGAACATGCTTCCAACTAAGAAGCAATGCCACGCACGCGAAAGCCAACAAGGTTTACGTCCATAAGGCTCACTTCCTATATCACTCATCATCACCTAAACCCCTTCCTCTCCCAAAACTGTCTCGCCTCACCAGTAACATCCATCTGCACCCTCCCCTCATCCCAAACATCGCCAACCCCTTCAAGCATATCTGCCCACCCATTCAATGCCTCATCCTTATGTTCATTCCCTGCGAAACGAACCAACCAATCCCCCCTTCTAGCATGCACATCCTCCACGCCCTCTTCCTTGGTATCATTCCTCTCCACAAACTTCTTCGGCCCACTATGCGAATACGCATTGAAGCAGCGCTGCAGCACAAACTGGACTTGATCCCTGAAGCGGTCGTCCTTAAGAACGAGCTCCATGGCAGATTGTTCGGTGAATTTCAGCTTCAAGGTGGGGTTGTAGTGCCGGCAGGCGAGGATGGTGGTGAAGACAGACACCGCCCAGGGCGAGACGCGTAGAAGGAAGATGCCATTGCTCAGGTCATTCCTGTCGTTTGTGGCAAGGAGGTTCATTTCGAGTGGTGGTTTATTTGGGTTTTCGCTGCGAGCGTGCTCGTTCCGGCGCCACCACTTTGCGAGGGGAGTTTTGATGTGCTGGAGGGTGAGAATGATGTTGCCGGCCGGCATTGATTGAGGATGAGCGTGTCGCGGTCGACCCAGACTAGCCATTCGAGACGCTTGCTCTCGGGCTTGATCATCTCTCGGGGCAACAGTTTGAGGATGAAGGCAGGCTTGTTCCACAGATCGTCTATCATCTTGTCACACAGGCGTGTACTTCTGTGCCATGCACGAGCGCATGCTCAAGCTGTGTAGTGAAGGCTTTGGTGTAGTGTTCGTTCCCTTCGAGGTCGCCAAAGTGCGCGGTCACCGTTGCTATACGAGTCCGAGGAGCGGAGAAAGGAGAGTACATTGAGCATGTGGCGTGCTTCTCGACCTACTTTTTCAGAAACTCCAGTGAGATTGGTGGATTGCATTGCGTGCCGTCGTAAGAGTTGAATTGAGGGATAGGTAGGGACCGTGGCCTTAGAAATGGAACGGATAAAGAGGTGGAGAAGGAGTGTAAGTGTTCTACAGGTGGTAACTGTCGCGGCCCCGCAGCGATAACAAAAAGGCCGAGCTTTTTGACCTCGGATCCTAAAGGTTATATACACCGCAACAGTAACGATGGACGTGCGAGACTTGCGAGCGAAAAAACAAGGATGAAGACAATCGTCTCAGCGAAGATCTTGATGCATGATGGTCGAAGGATGCTGGATGGTAGGGGCATCATTTTCGGAGAGAAGCAAAGGGAAGGGGCAGGAGACGACAAAGGAGAAAGGAACGTTTCGACGTGTAGCTTGGGCAAAGACATGAGGTTGTTGTGTACGCCTCAGAATAAGGCTGTCAGCTGCTTCTTAACTGTGGCATTATGTCGTCAGTGCAAATCTTGATCGTATGTAGGGTACGCATCTGGTTGTCTTGTCATGCTTATCCAAGGTCTGAGATTCTTGTGCATGCCTCCCTAACGTATTGTGCCCACAGATGTGGCTTGTGTAGTCTAAGCACGATCACTAAAGTATCTCTGTGCCAAGATGATAGTCGTGGCTTCCCATTTGCTGTGGTACAGCTGGGTGCATGCTAGACTCTTCACTGTGGCATTTAGCTAGGCATCGTCAACCCGGTCTCCACAGTGTTAGGATTTGCTCCTTGTCCTATCTACTCTATTTTGTTGAATTGCACACTTGAGTAGAAATGATCATGATGTTGGTGTTTGAAAATAGAGTGAGGTGTAGGTCGCTGCCCTGGGAGAATCGAGAGTTCTTGGGTTGTACTTGGTCTTGGCAACGTTCGCGTCATGCCGAGGACCGTGAAGACACACTCGCTGTAGCTCTTGGCTCTGGAACAGCACATTTGTAGCATTGTCCGAGAATATTGTTCTCTCTTGTGGATCGTCATTGCTCCGGATAAGCCGCTTTTGAGCCTCTCTAAGGTGCCAAGCATGCGTACTGCCCAGCCGTATGTCGTAATCGGAAATGGTGGTCAATACTATTGCTAATACTATGTTGGAAGTTCGTTTAATGGTGGTCAATATTATTACTATTACTATGTTGGAAGTTCATTTCGACGAGTACTCTACCCTCGGTGCAGAATAGTATCCAAAGGGTTCTTCTTCTTCTCGCCAATCTCCTTTTGGATCTGCTTCTTCTTCTCTTTGGAGGGTAGGCCCCTGGCTTTGAGCCCACGCTCTTTCTTCAACCTTTTCAAAGCCTCTTCGGTGAGACCTTGTCGCATCATTTGCTCCACTACAAGCGCTTTACGACTCCGCTTGTCGCCAATACCGATGATGATTCCAGAAATAATGTTGCAAGTCAGACTGCATGCCAGGATGACAGCTGTAAGGGCCTTCGGTCGCACTTTATAGTAAATACCCCATGTTGTCCCACCAAGAGCAATCTGGAACATGGAGTGACAGTCAAGTAGAACGACGACGGTGATAAGAAGTCGGATGGAAAACGCGTGGTGAGTATAGGTTTCGTGCGGTCGGTAGAAGGTGTGCGACTTGGCCAGCTTGCCCTGGTGATACTCGAGCTTCTTCTGCTCTTCGTCGTTGAGAACAGGTGCCTCGATGCGCTCTTCCTCTTCGATCTCCTCCGCTGTGTCATACGGGGTTGACTGAGGCGGCATAGTCGGCAACTCATTGTGATCTTTCAGTTCATTCAGACCACGCTCTTTCCGCAGACGCCAGGTTTTGTGCGCGAAATAGGCAACGAAAGACATGTGGTAGGTGTCGTAGAGTCGGAAAGGGAACATGGTAATACCGACAACGCAGAATAGAGCAGTCAAAATCTGATCGCAAATCTCGACGAAGTACGCCTGTCGACCTCCCACGGAAATCCAGCCGATAAGGAAGAGCACCCACGCAGCTCCCCAGAAGGTGATTAAGAAGAAGTAGACAGTGACGATGAGACCAAGGGGGTTGCGGCAGTAACGACCGAATCCGCGCATACTCCGCTTGAACTTCGCTCTTCGTGAGTGCAGCAGATGGCGCACATGATCGTCCAAAGCGTCCTTCTCTTCTTGAGTCCAGCCTGGCAACGATGCGCCATGCGGTAAGACTGCAAAGTGGTGGCCTGGTCCCTCTTCGAGCGTCGATAGCGTCGAATCGATCGTGTCAGTTCGGCGAAGCCCCCCACGAGACGCTTGTTCGTGCTCCCCGGGCTGAGTCATTTCAGTCAACCTGTCAGTGCGACTCGCGCCCCGCGCAGGTACTGTGCCCATCTCTTCGTCAGACGACTCCGATGCTGACTGCATGAGATCATAGGTCGGCTGGCGATTGTAGAGCCATGGGAGATTAGGCAGGAACAACGAGTTCTGAACGTTATTCAGAGTTGTCAAAGCAGACACCTCAGGGTCTGTCTTACAATCAGCATCAGTTCTTAGTAGATTGTAAGTGTGCTTACCGATAACATCGAGCATATCAACCATATCGTTGTCAATCTCATGATCCTTTTTCTGGTGGTCTCTGCGACGAAGGTTGATGGCCGAGCCCATCCTATTCATACCTGGTCTCAACCTCTTCCTACCACCTTGTGAAGGCGGTGGTCCTGCGCCCACATTGGGTCCAGTCTGCGTTGCATCCTCATACAATGGTTGCAGCGGGGTGGTGGCTGTTGGATGGTGCCTCAACTCGTGCTCCTGCTCCAGTAGTGCCACTGATGGACGCTGGGGCTCAGAGCTGCTCCTCCTACGGTTGCTGTTTCCCTGCCAGCTGTTGTCCGTTGCCGGCGCCGGTCGCGGTGTGATAGGTGCTGCTTGGGCCTGTGGTATCGACTGCAACGGGTGTGCAGCCGGCGCAGGCTGCGCGAGCGGGACCTCGCGCCCGGAGGAAGGTCGTCGTATGCGGATAGAGCCAGTACGCGTCCGAGTAATAGGCGCAGCCGTGGGTGCCGGCACTTGAGGCTGCGGTGTTTGGGGCTGTGTCTCGGGCTGCGACTGAGATATCTGCGTCTGCGTTTGGGATCCCTGGGTGGTGGTCGTTATCGTGGGGTGGGTGATGGTAGTGGAATTCGGCCCGTGGGTAGTCACGGCTGCCCCTGGCCCAGCTGAGGAGCTGGTCGTTGTTGTTGTATGTGGGCCTGAGGTGGTGGTTGTTGAGGTCGTAGAGAACGCCAGCGGCTGCCCATCATCAGAGGGTCGGTCGGCCATCGCGTCTCAAAGAACAAACACCGTGAAGAGGTGTTGTTTGAGACACGCTCCTTCTGGAAACCGATGTTTTGGCGAAATTGATAGCGCTGAGCTTGGGGCGCGCGGGATGATGTATGCGCTTCTAAGCACGTTCCGGCCGCAACCGGACTGTTCTTTTAGCTCGTTGTCCAGTCAGCGGTGCATACGTTTTGCCAACCGTCAGCGAACTTGAGGCAGCAAGAGCGCGACAACGTTGGAGAGGGCGCAAAAAAGGGTTTGATGCATGTGCGACTCCTTTGCGAAAGTAAAGAGATAAAGTTGTTGTTATCCTCAGACGTTCTTCACACACCCACGTCATATCGCGCGTTCGCCGCACAGACCAAATCTTGCAACGATCTACCGGACCCCGGCTCTGGGGCTGGCACGATGGGGGCGCCGCATGCATCCTCCAGCCTCCGTACTCAAGCAGCTTGCCGAAGGAGCGGACCTTCAAATTTGCTTCGTATCCGTGTCCGAATGCTTGCCCAAACGACAGAACGAGACCGTCAGTGTTGGGCAACCTTTCGCAAAGTGCTCGAACTATCACTCAATCATGGCTAAGCAACAACTACACTCATGTACCAAATACGACAAGCCTTTCATATTTCAACGAAGATTGAATCACAATCTTCAAGCAATACATGCAAAACTCAAGCTTCACAGGCAGCATGCTCAGACAATGCAATGTCTTGTATTCCAGGATAGCTTGACGGCTAACTCTAGCGAGACTTGGCTCTTACGTCAGTACTCTGAGAGCTCCTGTTTGAACATCTGCAAATGCGCCTACGCTTCCTGCAATTTCAATATTCGTACCACACACCCTACGAGAACATGAAGTGGTCTCTCGCACTACCAGCCTTCCTGGCAACTAGCCATGCTGCTGCTATACCTTCATTGCGTGGACAATTGCAAGAAGTCCTCAAGACTCCCTCCAAGCCCATCGGCGTCGGTCACTTTAGCGAATGGAGCCGCGCAACGAAGAAGGCTTTCCTGATGGACTGGCAGGCTGGAAAGTCTTCAGAATGGACGGTCGTTATGGGAAACGAAGGAGGAGACATGGACAGCATGACAGCCGCAATCGCCTGGGCATATCATCTTAGCCACTCCACCGAGAACGATACGCACCCAGTCAAGGCCATTGCACTACTTCAGACCCCTTCCCATGCTTTGGACCTTCGACCTGAGAACAAGCTCGCGCTTGACAATTCGCAGATGACAGTGGGACACGAAGACCTTCTGACCTCTGACGAAGTCCCCGAAGATCCAGAGACGCTTGCTTCGAAGCTCAAGGGCATTATCCTCGTTGACCACGGCGAACCCCGCCGCAAATGGCGCGACGCAAAGATTCTCAGCATTTTCGACCACCACAAGGACCATGGCACTGCGCCAGAAGCCTCGCCACGCATCTTCGAGAAGGTCGCGTCTTGCACAACCATCGTTGCCCGCGAATTCCTCAACGAGCTCGAGAAGCTGCCCCAAGAGTACCATCTCAACCACGAGTTCCTCGAGCTAGTTCTCTCCGCCATCGCCATCGACTCAGGCGGCCTGACCAGCGACAAGACCACCGATGAAGACATCTCAGCCGCCAAACGCGTCCTAGCGCGCAGCAACTGGAAAGATGAAAAACTCTTCAAAGTCATGGAAGAACTCGACGACGAACTCTCATCCGCACAGAAGGACATCTCCCACCTCAACCTCCGCGACCTGCTGCGCCGCGACTGGAAAGGCGACCTAATCGACACGCCCTCGCCGCGCACACCCACCGTCTCGCTTGGCTTTGCAAGCATTCCGTACTCCATGGACGAGCAGATCAAGAAAACCGATTTCGCAGAGCTGTTCGACTGGTTCGCCGTACACGCTGCCTGGACCGCCGAGGCCGGCGTTGATATCAGTATCTGCTTGAACAAATACAAGATCAAAGACAAGAAGACGGGCAAGAAGGAGAAGATCCGGGAAGTCGTGCTTACTGTGCGCGATGATGTGAGGGTTGATCAGGAGCAGGCGGATGCGCTGTTCAAGGTTGTGAAAAATGCGTTGGAGAATAATAAGGAGGGGATTGAGTTGGAGCCGTGGCATCGCGCGGATGAGTTGAGTGCTAGGCAGATGGTTTGGACGCATAAGAGTGGGGCGGGGAGGAAGGTGTTTAGGCCGATTGTCGAGGAGGCGGTGTATGGGTGGGATAGGGTGGGTATGGAGCTCTAGCGTAAGGCAGTGTTGGTGACATGTGTATATGTATGGAATCGATCTTGACCCTGGAGGTCTTTAGAAGCTCGATCCTCCTATAACTATCGTGGAGCTTGATTCTCTACTTTCAACTCTGGCCCTTCAGTCCAATCCTGGAGGTCGTCACCTCTTTCAACTTCTGCACTGGATACTAGGATTGGTGCTCCCTGATTTTCAATCCTAGACTCTTAATCGAATCCTGGAGGTACTCAGCGACCCAACTCTCCTGCTCGAGATCGATAACTGCATCTTGATAACTGCATCTTCCCAATTTCCAGTCCTAAAAGTCCAAATGTGAGCCCGGCGGTTCTCAGGTGTTTTGCACTCTGGGCCAGCCTGAAGAATCAGTGCGCCTGTAACCTTATTCTCAGGATCCAGTTGCCTTGATAGTGGAGGTGCTCACAGCCTCAACTTCTCTCCTGTGCTCCGGAGTCGCGATCTCCCAGTTTTCGAACTTTAAGTGGTTAGGCGTGCTCCCGTCGACCTCACAGGGTTGAGGCTCAAGTTCGAGTTCGAGGATGGGTGCGCTTGGTTTCCCAACTTTGGGCTCATAGACATGATCCAGGCGGCCTTTGACATCTTCCATACCCTGATCAGATCCAAGAATCGCCATGTCTCCGCTTCACGACCTTCAGGTCCAAACCGGATCCTCGAGGTACTCACCACCTTCTACACCCTGTTCAGGGTTGAAAATCGAGAGGATCCATATCTCAATCTGGAGATCCAATACGTGCACCTGGAGGTCCTCCACTCCGCTCAACTTGAGACTGAAATCGAGAATGGAACGCGACCGATACTTCGATTGTTAGTTGCTGAGAACCATCCTGGAGATTTCAGCACCTCCAGTGTTGTTATCGTATCCGAGAATTGTAACGTCCACTTTTCCAGTCCTTGAGTCTACTGTCTGACCCTGGAGGTGCTCACCGCACTCAAAATCCTCCTCAGTCTTCAGAATCGGACTGTCCAAACTTACAATCGTAGAGCTTCCATGTGTGACCCTGGAGGTGGTCAGCACACGCAGCGTTCTCCATGAGCTCCAGAATTGACGATTCTAAACCCTAAGTCACTGAGTAACCGGAGCCCTTAGGTGCTCGAATTCTGATTCCTCAAACTGGGCCTGGAGGCCATCAGCCCTTCAACCGCTTCGCTGAACATCGAAGTCAGCACCTCCAGTCATATCAATCACCTGACTTCACAGTGCATTTTGATGGCTACAACATATTGAGAACTTGGTCGTTCCGCTATCTGAAACCCAACCTCTACCAGGCGAGGTCACCCCCAGGAGCGAGCCCTTGCGGGCAAGCTCAACCGAGGAGTTCTCGAACCTGGTGAAGGTGGGGATGGCCTGAAGACCACAGTACATGAAGAAAGTTGCAAAACCCAAAACGCCTTGTCGCCATCATAATGCCCTGGGTATCTAACAAATGAACCTTCTACACTCCTTGAAACGCTCCAGCCATCCAAATCAGTAAATTTATCGTGGTCGGACGCTGCGAGTTGCCGGCTTCGCACGGCTGTTGTTGTTCTTTGGTGATAGTACGTCTGCGGGTGCAGTCTTCCGCGATGCTGCGCGTGTTGATCGTGCGGCCGGTGCAGCTGGTTTGGCGACTACAGGCTGCTTTGTGGTGGTAGTGGTTGCGGCTCGGACTCGCTTTTTGGGGACTGCAAGGTCGGCGGAGACATTCTCTTTGTCTTCGCTTGCGACTTCATCGCTGCTGCGCTTCTTGCCGCGTGTGGAGGTAGACGGGACAGATTTTGAGGGTGCATGCTTTGCCACAGGCCTGATTGCTGACTTCGGTGCCGCTTTGGCAGTTGCTGGTTGTGATGTTGTGGTGGCCGGAGCAGCTCGAGTCTTTGGTGCTGGAGCAGGGGCGGGGGCAGATGCAGCTGCCTTTTTGGCGGGTACCTTCTTGATAGGTGCTGCTTTGACAGGTGCAGGCGCAGGCTTCGCAGGTGGTGGTGGGGGCGCCAGAAGTTCGACAAGTGGCATCTGGCGCTTGGTGGCTGGGACCCGATTTACGCGTCGCTCGAGGCGCGAACGGAGACTGGCACACTGGGCTTCACACATAGCGCGCAATTTCTCTTTGCGGGCATTGACTGTGAAACGTTAGAAGAGCTCCAATCTGCGCAGAAGGAGCGACTTACTCTCAAGGTCGAAGTTGGCAAGCATGGCGCCCTTGGCCTCTTCTGTGATGGACGCGACCATGGTGGATGTGAAGGTGTAAACAACGCGTAAGCACGGGTGTTCTGGCTGTCTGAGAAGAGAATTGATCGCGGGAGAAGACTGTGAAGTCTGTATAAGACAGTAGAAACGGTATGGGAGTGTTTGCGAGTGGTGTTGGGTGTGGTCGCTGCTTCTGATGTTTGTTCAGAGTGTGTTGTAGAGGGAAGGATCGATGGACTCGGAGGGGCCTTTATACTGGCGCTGAACCTCCCACTGAGCAATGAGCGCAGCGCAACTTCACAGCTGGAAAGGAACACTGTACAACATATGCGCGCGTCTGGACGTTGCCACTAATGCCTGTGGCCTGAAAACAAAATATTACGTTCGCAACCAAGGCTACATCAGTCAAGTCGATCTGAGCTTCACCAGACAGCCACGCGCTCACGTGCCCACTTAGCTCCCGCATTCCCTGGCGCGGCGGCGTTCCAGCTACCTCCGACACGCCGCCTTGAGCTCATCATCAACATCGTCCACTTGCCGCTCCACCAAACAAGTCCCCACAAACAACCGTCAAGATGGTGTTAGAAGCTACTATGATCGTGTATGTACTCTCTGTATCCTATTGTAAAGCTGTGCGTACTGATCCAAGCAGTGTGGACAACAGCGAAGCCAGCCGAAATGGCGACTATGTTCCCTCACGATGGGAAGCACAGTCCGACGCCGTGAACCTCATCTTCTCCTCGAAAACGAACGCGAACCCAGAGTCGTCAGTCGGCCTCATGAGCATGGGCGGCAGCACACCAGAGATCCTCACGACCCTCACCACAGATATCGGCAAGGTTCTGGACGGTTTGCACAGGACGAAGATAAAGGGCAGCTCACACTTCGTGACGGGCATCAACGTCGCCGCAGTAGGTTAATCACAGCACCGGTCTGCTGCGAAGCTAACAAAGTGATTTAGTTGGCGCTCAAGCACCGGCAGAACAAGTCGCAGAAGCAGCGGATAATCATCTTCAACTGCAGTCCTGTCGAGGAGGACGAGAAGAACCTGGTCAAGCTGGCGAAGAAGATGAAGAAGACCAACATCAGCATCGACATTGTCGCATTCGGCGAGCTCAGCGACGAGACACTGAAGAAGCTCAGGGCGTTCAACGAGAACTCGCAGAGCGCGGAGGGCTCCCACCTCGAGGCAGTACAACCAAGCGGCAACCTTCTCAGCGACGCGCTCATCACAACACCCATCCTTGGTGGCGATGGTAGCTCTGGCGGCGCAGGAGCTGGGTCATCTGGAGGCGATGCTGGTGGCTCAGGTGGAAATGACTTTGAGTTCGGCGTAGACCCGTCAGTAGATCCAGAGTTGGCGTTGGCGCTGAGGATGAGTTTCGAGGAGGAGAAGGCACGGCAAGAGAAGGACAAGAAGGCAAAGGAGGCTGCCGAGGGCAAGACAGAGCTCGAGGGCATTGCAGAAGGCGACGAGAAGCAGCCTCTGCTGGGCGACCAGGGAGAGGGCAGTGGCAGCAAAGACAGGAAGAAGGACGATGACGACAAGATGGACACAGCATGAGCTGCGATCACGCATGTGCATGGCACTCAAGGGCGAATATGTGTAGGCTGAGAAAGCAACATCAAACGAGCATCCACGGCGTCAATCATCTAGATGAGGTTAGCGCACACCATAGCAGCTGCATGGTTGAATGAGATTACGACAATTGCTACACTATGAACGTCCCACATGCGCATAGGCCTTCAATGGCTAATAGTCGCCATCTTTGTACCTCTATGCCCCACCATGAAGCTGGGCGCTCTCTTGAGTCTTCAACGTCGTGAGGCTATTCGGCCTTCCAGCGGCTCCTTGACTGCTTGCTTACCGTTCGTTGCTAGCAAGAGTACTCTCTCAGGCAGGGCCTTCGTGATGCCGTTCCCTGTCCAGCCTGTGCCATTTGGCCGCGCATTCACACCTCTTACAGCCCAGCCTCGTTCTCTGGCTGCCGTGATAGTGACCCGTCCCATCATGGCATTTTGCTTGTGGTTCCCAACGTCTAGATCCCGCTTCACCCCCTAACCTTGATAAACCCATCCAACCCCCTATCAAACTTCTCACACCGAATCGGCATCTCGACCGTATAAAACGGATTCTTCATAACATAGTCCGCATACAGCTCATACACCTTCTTCATCATCGTATCCACATTCGGCTGCTGGGGCTCCGTAACCAGCAAGAACTTGGTCCCTGTCTGCGTCTGGAAGCACTGCAGCCGGAAGTGACTGGACTCCATGACCTCGATACCGGTAGGCCTATTTGGGAAGGGTGAGGGGGCCAGCATGTTGTTTTGGGGCGTTATGTAGGGGATGCGAGGCGCGGGCGAGAGTTGGGAGGTTATGGCGTGCATGCCGTGGAAGGAACCTGCCAGGATTAGGTAGTCGTTGGATGTGAGTTTGGACAGGCCGGTGTGGAATTCGCGGTTGTAGATTAGGCCGCCGGATTTGGAGATGATCATGAGGGCGAATACGACCCTGTGGCGTGTTAGCTGTCGGTCTGTATAGCTTTGGGGTGTCCGTACATAGTGACTGATGGCTGATTATTGGCTACTTTCTGTACGTGAACTAAAATTCCGATGTCTCCTCGAGCAATGGCAAATAACGGAAAGGAACGGGGTATGGGAGCGCTCAAACGTGGGTATCAACCGTGGATATGGTGGTGGATAGCTGCTGTTGGTGGTGAAAGTGACCTGTCGCGCGAATGTCCAGGTTGCGGGGAGATACGCGCGCCCCACATCCTTGTGTTTGCTCGATACCTCCGCTTCCCAGGTCACCACCACTTCGACAGCTCGACTGGCACTTCACGCACCTACACTGGACGCCGTGAACTTGCCGTCTCGGCGTCCCCTCTCGCTATCGCGATCCCGCAGCCACCACAAAATCCGCAACTGCGTCGCATAACCACCGCATCTGCCTATCCTTTGGCTTCGCTTGAGGCTCGCAGCCTGAAGCTCCCATCATGTCGAACCAGTCAATCCTTCGAATTACCCGCGAACTCCACGAGATCCAGAGTGGCTCTGACCTCTCGCTTGCAGTAGCTTGGCGCGACGTTGACGTACGCCATGTTCGTGCTCTCATCGTTGGCCCCCCAGACACGCCCTACGAGTTCGGCTTCTTCGAATTCACCGTCAAGTTCGGTAGAGAGTACCCCACCAAGGCACCGAGCGTGCTAGCGATCACCACAAATGGCGGACGGACACGCTTCAACCCGAACATATACGCTGCCGGCAAGGTGTGCCTGTCGATCCTAGGGTGAGTGTAACGCTGCAGACCTGTGCAGGATGGAGACTGACAGTCGCAGCACATGGCGCGGCGAGCGAGGAGAGGAGTGGTCCTCTGCCCAAGGGCTCGAATCGATCCTTATCTCCATACAGAGCTTAATGTCCGGCAACCCCTACGAGAACGAGCCTGGCTTCGAGGACGCGAACTCAGACTACGACAAGAAGAACCAGGAAGCGTACATCGACAAGATCCGACACGAGACGCTGTGCATATCGGTCATCGAGCGATTGGAGGAGTACTTGAACATCAACCGAGAGAGGCCCGGCGCGACTGTCTACAATGCAGAGGAAGAGTACCAGTCTGGCCGGGAGGATGCTCCTTTCGAGCCGTTCAAGGACTTGTGCAAGCGTCGTTTCCTCTGGTATTACCGCTCGTACCTGGCAACAATCGATGAAGCAGCCAAGAAGCACAAGGATGGCGATCGCTTTGAGAAAATGCCATTCGAGGGCCCAGGCAACACCATGGAAGGTACCTACCAGTACACGGCGCTCAGGGAGCGGCTCAACAAGATCTTTGTGGCGTTGAACCAAGAGACAGAAGGCTGGGCCTCAGAAGGCTTGCTAGCTGTTCAGAAGGAGACGAGCATTGCTAGTAACCTGCAGCGCCAGTTCGAGCAGATCGTGGAGAAGTACAAGAAGAACGACTCGGTCACGCTCGACCTGGATCTGGTCGACAAGAACCCGTTCGTCTGGCAGCTTGTTCTCTTCGGTCGACCCATGACGAACCTGGATGGTGGCATGTTCAGGATCATGCTATACATCAATCCAACTAGGTGGCCAGACGTACTGCCTCGTGTGCGCTTCGAAACTCCAATCTTCCACCACCGCGTCTCTCCTGATGGCGTCCTGTGCTATGACGCGGCGAACAAGCAAGACATGCGCTCCCACATCGAGGCCATCATTGGGGCCATTGAGGAGGAGTCACCAGCCTACGACCCACGAACGCTTGTCAACCCGGAAGCTGCCAAACTCTTCTGGGGTGCGCCTGAAGAGAAGAAGCTGTACAACCGCCGTCTGCGGCGTTCAGTTCAGGATAGTGCCGAGTAAGTACTGTAACAGCGAAGACCTGCATTCCTTTCCGCTGACAATTTTCAGGAACTGCTTTTAGTACAAGAGCTCACGGGCAGGCGGAGTTGGTGCTCTGAGGATATAAAGAGGATAAAGCTCTTCGAGGTTTGATGATGATACGGCCGATCACAAGGAAGATTGATTATACAGTACATTGATACCCACGCCAGATCTCTTCGGGGTCTCGCGGCTTGCATACTCGGCGCTCATGATGGGAACGGCGCATAGCATAGTCGAACACCATAGCATGGACGTTGGTCATTGCCATAATTCAGAACGATGACTTAAGTTCCACTTGGCTGCGATGAGTGCTCGAGGCTTCTTTAGTCATACTGGACTTACCATGTCATGTGCAAAGATCGGTTGTACCTGCATGCTCGGAGAGACGCCGTCCAAGGCCGTGACGGGGTGAAGACCCTTGACAGTTTGCGGGGGCTAGCCTGCGCGACAATCTCCACCGAATCTCCGCAAAACGTCCCATTCCCCTGCACCACCACCAATTGAACACCAGTCAACATGTCAGCTTCGAAGTTTCAAACCCTTGGTACCGTCGTCGTCGTCGGCGGATGCGGGTTCCTGGGTAACCACATTGTGAGCTACATCGTCAAGCGCCATCCCCAGACTCAGATTGCGGTCCTCGACCTGCGCACCAACTCGAACCGTCATACGAGCAGCACCGTCTCCTACCACGATGGCGACATCACCGACCTCGCGGCTATGCAGAAGTTTTTCGCTCAAATTAAGCCGGACGCCGTCATCCACACAGCATCTCCCCATTTCAACCTGCCGCCCGCGATTCACGACAAGGTCAACGTTGAGGGTACCAAGAACCTGCTGAAGGCGTCGCAAGATGCGGGCGTCAAGGCTTTTGTATACACCAGCTCTGCTAGCGTCATTTTTGGTGGAGCTGCAGAGCTTGTCAACGCAGACGAGAAGTGGCCGTTAGTCACTGGAGATGCTCAGCCGGAGTACTACACCACCACCAAGGCAAGAACCCCAACTGAAGACTGGCCGAGCTCTCTGCTGACCTCATCGTTAGGCCTACGCCGAGACATACGTACTCGAGGCGAACCGCAAGCCAGAGGGCTTCCTCACCTGCGCCATTCGTCCCGCAGGTATCTTCGGCGAGGGAGATGTACAACTGCTTCCTAAGATGGTCACCGCGTACAAGGATGGCAAAACCAAGTACCAGGTCGGCGACAACGACAACCTCTTTGACTTCACATACGTTGAGAACGTGGCCCACGGACACGTCCTTGCGGTCCTTGCTCTCCTCAGCACACACAAATTCTTGCCAACCGTCCCCATTGACACGGAGCGCGTCGATGGTGAGGCTTTCTTCATCACGAACGGCGAACCAGTCTACTTTTGGGACTTTGCGCGAGCGGTATGGCACGAGGCTGGCGACCGCCTGCCATTGAAGTCGGTATGGCATTTGGACACTGGGTTTGCCAGCATGGTTGGCTTCTTCTCAGAGTGGGCTATGTGGTTGGTGGGCAAGACACCCAACTTGACAAGGGCGCAGGTCAGGTATAGCACACTGAAGAAGTACCACAGTATTGCAAAGGCAAGGAACAGGCTCGGCTACCAGCCAATTGTCAGTCTGGATGAAGGTGTGAGGAGGGGTGTGAGGTATATCATCGAGCAGGATGAGAAGGCAGGCCAGAAGAAGGGACAGTAGACGAGAAGGAGTGGAGGTCACGACTCCATACAGCATCTCGCATTGTAGATAGTGTAATCTAATATACCCTTTGACCTGAACATAAGATACCTTGGAATCTGGTTTACCCCACGGATACTCTCTCTACACCCAGCTAGTCGCAGATCCAGCGCACAGACGCAGTACCTGAACACTTGCGGCTTGCTCCCGTCGACCTTAGATCTCTCCTCCAACCCCGCGCGCAACCCACGCCATGGCCGTCAACAACATCAACAACCAGCATGAAGTATGTCGAACCACCCGGCGCTGCCCGAGTCAGCATACTCCGCCCTCGGGCTGCCCCCCAGTGTTGTCAGGATCCTGATGAACCCCAAGCCCCCACCGCCGACCACCGCAGCGCCCGAGCTGCACCAGAACGCAACAGACTTCGCCGAGCGCCTACCGGAGAATGAATCACACATCATGCTGTATGCAGAGTTGCTGCTGCATATCCGCACTATCACGCTGTTTGCGAGCCTGAGGAGCCACCATACGAGGGAGACGAAGGTGCGACTCGATGCCGACGGGAATCTGATCACGGTGTCGCATGAGGGGTATAGGGCGACTATACGGCTCCCGATCAAAGTCGAGGGGAAGGGCGATGCGGCGCTTGAATTGCCTGCGCAGCCGCCGAGTAAAGAGTTGACGCTGCGTTTGCAGATGGAAGAGCAGGAGGATAGCGATATGCTGGGCCTGATGGCTGAGTCGCGCAAGGCGAATATTGTGCCTTGGGATGGTGTGACTCTGAGCAAACAGGAGGGCGTTGAAGTCAGGTGTAAGAATTGCGAGGGCGTGGTGCTCAAGAGTGGGACTGTACGGGAGTGGAAGGATTTGCCGAATGAGAATTGGGCGGAGATGATGGATTTTTGGCATTGTCATAAGCCGGATGAACATCATCTGCATGATCATACGCAAGAGGTTGGTGGACAGAAGGGGTATGCTGCGGGCAATCGCTTGAAGGCAACAGAGGGGGTGGGGTTCGTGGATCTCACAGGCTTCCTACTGAAAGAGCAGGACTGTGAGGGCGCAAAGGTAAGACAACTTCTTTTCTTGCACTCTATTTCTTGTTTCAGAATGCGCTTTTGGGCGCAAAGAAGGCAGATTCGCCAATACCCGTGGCATTCTCGTCGATACAATCGCCCCAGATTGATGGGCTCAACAGATACCCTCGGTGCTGGACAGATCCTCTTCCTTTGGTCGATGGGTCGCCGGTGCTGTTGGGTGAGCGGTCTGACGTTTCACTGTCTTTATGCCCTGAGATGATTGGGACTGGCAGGATATGCTTGGACTACATCCTTCTACATTTTTTACACCTAGGTCAACAACGTGCTGACATGGTGCAGGTCTCCCCTGATGAAGGGCCATCGGATGCAGCAGTCGTCTGCAAGCACTGCGGCCACATCCTTGGCAAACCAGACACATCAGCAGACGGTTGGCGAATATGGAAATGGTGCCTCAGCATCTCCTCCGGCCCAACCTCATCACCCTTATACAACACATACAGCGTCCAGAAATGGATATCAGCACGGCTCCTGTACCTCGTTGAGAACGTCGGCGTTCGCAAATTCCACATCCACCCTCCACCATCCCCTTCAACATCAGCATCAGCACCCACGTCGCCTGCTTCAACGCCTTCCATTCTCGTCTGGGTCTTCACACCAGACCTCATGTTCTCCTCCTCGATCCCGCGCCCGCACCGTACAGATCCAACCCGAGCTGTCAAATGCTTCTTCAGGAAGCAGACGTGGGCGTTGCTGCAGCCGGGTGAGCCAGAGAGCGCGACGGTCGAGGATGTGGAGTTTCCAAGAGAGTTGTTTGAGGAGCTAGGGAACAGTCTGGATGAAAGCCAGGATGTGCTGCCGGCGACGGCGAGGAAGTTTCAGGGGTGGGACGTTGGGTTGTTGGAGAGGTTTGATGTTGGTGAGGAGGTGTTTGGGGAGCAGGATGGGGTAGGTGAGGGAATGAAGGGGGTGGAGGGACTGGATCTCGGTGAGGAGACTGAGGAGGAGAGAGGCAGACGAAACAGGCGATCGTTGTCACAAGAGTCTGTCGATTAAGCTTGCGTGCTCGTGACTGGGTACTTGCTACGAAGTAAGGATATACCCAGGATAAGTCAGATACCTCACGCTGCAGCAAAGATGCAGATGAAGACCCGTAACTATCACATCTCTTCTGAATACATCGTTGAGCTCGTGAGACTAAGATTGTACTTTGAGGTGAACGCATGTTGGTGATGGCGGGGCAGCGAATATGCGCTAACGCCACGCCAAATTCGCCAAATTTTGATATTGTCGAAATCGAACAACGACTCGACCCCACACTCAAGCAACCAACATGGCGCCCGCATCACTTCTGGACCTCGTGTCCGCACTCCCCACCGCCGAGGGCTGGGGCCCGTCGGTCTCTGAGGAGACGATGCTCAACGGCGTTCCCTTTGCGCCTTACTCCAAGGCCGACAAGCTGGGCCGCATGGCCGACTGGACAGACGGCAAGGATCGCGACAGGGGCGGTCGCCAGCAGTACGGCAACCGCAACTACAGAGGTAGGCAGGCGGAAATATGGAGAAAGGCATACAGGAGAAGACGGGACTAACGCTAGCTACAGACGCGCAAGTGTACGGTGCCAACGCTGCCGGAAACCCCTTCGCCGTCCAGGTCGCCGAGGAAGAGGCTACTTTCTCCGTTGTCGACAACACACGCACATCAGCTCGCACACGTGGATTCGGGAGAGGCGGCGGTACAGTCTTCCGTGGACGTGGAGGAGCCCGGGGCGGACAGGCACAGCGCGGTGGGCGGGGCACCTTCCAGCGCGTTGGCGGCCGTGGAGGACAGGGAGGTTACGACAGCCGCGGTGGCCGTGGTGGTGGACGCGGTGGACGCCGTTTCGGCTGGAGGGACGACAAACCCCAGCGCAACCGCGACCCGTCCGTCCAGGTCAAGCCTGACTGGGCCGTCAAGGAGGAGATCGACTTCTCGCGTCTCGGCAAGCTCAACCTCGACACCGGCGAGGGCGAGGATCTCGACAACTACGGATTCCTCTACTACTACGACCGCAGCTACGACAAGCAGCCCGGCGCCAAGACCTCGGAGCGCAAACTCAACGTCCTCGAGCGCGCCGCCTACAACGTCACTACCTCCAGCGACCCCATCCTGCAGGAGCTCGCCGAGAAGGACGAGGCGACCGTCTTCGCTACCGACAATGTCCTCTCCATGCTCATGTGCGCCACCAAGTCTGTCTACTCGTGGGATCTGGTCTTCACAAAGAGGGACAACAAGGTCTTCATCGACAAGCGCGACCAGTCCAACTTGGACATGGTTACCGTTAACGAGAACGCCGCGGATGCGCCGCTCGAGATTTCTGAGGGCAACAAGGACTCGATCAACAGCCCTGGCGCGCTCATGCTCGAGGCTACCCACATCAACAACGTCTTCCCCCTGCAAGTTGTTGTCGAGTCGGAGAGCCAGAAGGTCAACATGGCCCACGAGCACCCCTTCTACAACGAGGAAGTCGAGAGCGACCCGGCTGCTTCCAAGGCATACAGGTACCGCCGCTTCGATCTCTCGCTCGAGAAGGATGAGGAGCCTCTGCACCTGATTGTCCGAACTGAGCTCGACGCCGTCGTCAAGAACAACATCAACGGCGAGGACCAGTACTTGACCATCAAGGCACTCAACGAGTTTGACAACAAGGCCCAGGGTGCCGGTGGTGCTCTGGACTGGAGGTCGAAGCTGGCCAGCCAGCGTGGTGCCGTTCTCGCTACTGAGATGAAGAACAACTCCTGCAAGCTCGCTCGCTGGGCAGTCCAGTCCATCCTTGCCAAGGCCGACACCATGAAGCTTGGGTATGTTTCTCCCAGTGTTTTCACGACAAGATCAAAACGCTAACACAGAACAGTTTCGTGTCCCGTACCAACCCCAAGAACAACAACGACCACGTCATCCTCGGCGTGCTCACCAACAAGCCTCGTGAATTCGCCGCCCAGATGGCGCTCAACCTCAACAACGGATGGGGTATCGTGCGGACCATCGTCGACATGGTTCTGCGCATGGACGAGGGCAAGTATGTCCTTGTCAAGGACCCCAACAAGCCTGTTCTGCGTCTGTACAGCGTGCCGCAGCACACATTTGAGGAGGACGATGAGGTTGAGCTGGTTCAGGTCGATGAGGATGACGAGTAGAAGTCGGTAGTGCGTGTATAGTTCGTGATGATACCATGTTAATGGCTCGCATGATTGAGGGTGATAGACAAAATATGATGATTGATGGAACTACGTTTCACGTTTGCTCTTTCGAGCGGGATCCTCGATTCTGATGTCTGCATACGGTATGCATTTCGATGCCCGTCGCAAGGCTTGTGGCTCCTCTCGTCTCCGTAATCTTCTGGTAAAGTTAGCTGTATCCATCCAAGCCGACCAGACATGTGCAATGTGGAGCTGCAGTTGTGTTAGAGTCTTAGAAGCATGCGACACTGCAACGCCCCCGTTCCATGCATGGAAGTTACTGGTGTCACTTCTCCAAGCTTGCAATGGAAGGCCATGCAACGAGGAGACTTCTTGAAGAACGCTGCGATCGACCGGCTGCTGAATTCCCTGTGCCAGCGGTCCGTCCCGCGGTGAGGATGATCTCTTGGAAGCTTCAAAAGTGATGTGCAATATCAGAATCAGTTTCTGTCCCTTCGACTCGCCGTCACTATCTTGGGAACACCAGATCGTCGGCTCTCCCCGCGGTCTGTCCCTGCGGTCTGGCGGCTCGCACTCCGCACGTAGTGTCAAGGAGCGCGTAGTGTTAGACCTTCGTGCAAGTCACTAACGTTGCCGTGGTTGCGTAGGCAAAAGGAAAACTCCACGAAGCCCTTTTCAAATCGACGCCCGCATCGGCGTGGCGAGGTACTGACTCGAGGTGGTGGGAGAGATAAGGCGTCCTGCCCTAAGATGTGCGAAAGAACACGTCCATGCTCCTGCAGAGCACCTGTCGTGCTTCACGCCTCGCGCCTCGACGCTCGTGCGGCCGTGCCTGTGTATCTTTGTGGTGCAGCACGTGGCGGCTTACCCCAACCGAGCAGGCACATGCAAACCGTGAATCTGTTCTGTTGGGACGGAGCACTCCTTCTTTCATCCGGCCTCACTGCCCCATTCCATCACAAGTCTCCGAGAAGTCTTCCAGAAGCCGACGAGTCTTCCAGAAGCCGACAGGGCTTCACATGTGCTTGACTCGCCACACCAGTACTTCTCCTCATAACCTCAGTGGTTAAGGTCTCCAGCCAAGTGGCTTACGTTAGCCATCCGTGCGTTCTGCCGCACACCCACTCTCAACAGCAACGCCATCGGTGAGCGCAGATGGACGTCCTGCCCCTGAGCATGTCACCCGGCGAACGCGGCTCGCCTTGCAATGGGGATGGCGAAGTGCGCGAAGCACGACCGCGAGCATGTGCTCGCGATCACATATCGTTCGTTAAATGTTTGGAGTCGCAGTCTGCAACACGTCTTGTCGAGGACACCTAGCTCTAGAGCGAACCATGGCTCGGATCTGCCCTGGGTCTGTCCTTTTGGCCCATCCGTTCACGAGGTTGAAACGTGGACCACTGTTTATCTCAACCTCGACCGCTTGAATGCTGCATGCGGCTGGGAGATGACGCTAGTATCGTCCATCTATCCGCTACTCCATGCGGCTCATTGGCGCCAGGATTGTCAATGGAAGGCCCGATCGCCGCCCCAGGACGATCCAATAGGTTCCGGGGCATGCCGCAAAGTGGCGGCGAGAGAATTTCGATTTGTTCCACGCAGGGCACGGCAAATTTTTTCCAGGGTTACTGTCTTCCATTTCAGCTTGGCGAGGTTTGTCGGCATCACCCTGTGAGCCTTTCGATTCAGCTTGCAACAAGTACCCCAGGAATTGCTATCAGCGAATTCTCTCCCGCGACTACAGAGACGCCAGCATCTCTAGTGTCCACCGAAAGTTTACCAGCTCCAGGGCCCTTGTCCGTCTTCCACGATTAACTTTGCGGGTCCCGGCACCTCGTCTCGTCCCTGTGATTCCAACTTTCCTCTATCTCTACAGCAATCATCAGCCTTGTTTCACGGCGGCCTGCTATCGAGCCAGATTTAACGAACGACGGGTCTCTCGATGGACTGTCACTTGTCGTGATCACCTTCATTCATTGTCCCTTTGCAAAGCCTCGGCTCGTAAGCCGCGACATCGTGCATGATGTCAATACTTCAGCCAGAGGCATGTCCACCAGCCTATCTACAACTGTTACAACTAACAACAACAACAACAGGCCGGTATTTTTTACGGGGTGTGCTGGTTCCTAGTGATTGTACGATTAGTATCACGACGCCTCCATCGTGGAGCATGGAAACGTCTGCAGTGGGATGATTACCTGATCGTCTGCGCCATGGTACGGCGATTGGGACCTACTACCCAGGCCTTTGCTAACTAGCCCTCAGCTGACTGACACCGTCCTGCTCGTTTGCACGTCCAAAGTGGTTACCACATCATCCAACCTCATTCCACCTGATGAGGATGTTTCGCAATACTCTCAAGCCGAGATTGACTCTCGCATCTCCGGATCCAAGTATGTCCTGGTAGTAGAGCAGATGCAAATCGCCACTATCTGGCTGGTGAAAGCATGTCTACTCATCATGTACTTCCGTATGACCGCCGTACTACCGCAACGCAAGTTGGTCATTGCCACATCGATATACGTCGCCGTTACATTTATCGTCATGGAGATTCTTTACTTTGGCGTGTGGTGCCGTCCGTTCAGCCAGTACTTCGCCGTACCAACGATCTCGAGTATGTGCATTGGGTCGATTCCATGGGTTTATACTGACAGATGCAGCGCAATGTTCTGCGGCAACAAATCATCTGATTACCAACGCTGTCTTCAACATCAGTTCGGATATCATCATTCTTAGCATACCGATGCCACTTCTGTTCAGAGTCCGCTTACCGAAGAAGAACAAGCTGATTTTGATCGGCATATTCCTAATTGGACTTTTTACAGTCAGTACGTTTCTGCTTCGTCGAGCTACACTAACGGATCTAGGTTGTTGCGGCTGTACTGAACAAGTACTACTCATTCTCGAACCCGTTTGGAAGAGACTGGGTTCTGTGGTACCTCCGAGAGTCGTACACCGCTCTTTTATGCGCAAACCTGCCTCTCACATACCCCCTTATCCAACGGGTCTTCAAGTTGCGCAACTGGAACTCCTACTCAGACGAGTCCCACTCGATACGAGCATCAAATACCCGAGGAACAAACACCTTTAGTACCGCAAGAAGTCATAGCCATTGGGTGAGTCAAAGCAAACGTTCTAAGTCAAAGTACTTCCGCGATGATCTTCGGAGCGCCGAAAGCCAGGAAGACATCAACGACCCGTTCCGAAATCCAACTGCAGATGACGGGCCACAATTCATCACCAGTGCGATCGAAATGGATGGAGTGAAATCGTACGAGAAGTCGTTGACAGACTTGAGTATAGACACTCCGACGAGTTGGCGGACAGAGCAAGACCGCAAGAAAGACTTCAACTACAACGCCCCGACATGAGTTTAAAGCCCGAAGCAATACATTTTCGAGTCGTATTCCGCAGCCCATTTGCAGCATTTTCCAGAGCGACAGAAGAACAAAGCTGAACTCCCAATGCAGTTTCCCCGCGCGATCATTAGCCACCAACGCCTCAGGATATCGCCCGAACAAACACAGCCAATCTCGTGATATCGCTCTCGAAAATAGTATGCCAATGTTCCCAAATGCACCAAACGGACATTGTGATGAGTTTCCTGTGGACATCGAGCTTGTCGATACAATGCATACTCGGGGAGACTTCCAGCTCACATTAGTACGCAATATCTCTTGCAGACATTTCTGCCGAGCAGAGAGATCGAAGAATCCGCGATTTATGACGCGCAGGTGTTGCGTGCATTCGAGTACCATGATGGTAACGAGCCATCAGGGTGCATGAAGCATGACATACATCACTAGACTTCAGTGCAGCCTCGCAAATCTACCTCAAGCCGCTTCGAAGCGATTAGTATCCCTCATCCTTTACATCGATTACTACCATGCATGTTCACGACGTTCTTATCATCGGTGCCGGTCCTGCTGGACTCGCCGCTGCAGCACGACTCCGCGAGCATACACCCTCGGCAACCTTCACCGACGACGAACACCAGCGATATCACTGGATCCGAAAACACGGCCGTAAGATGAACGTCAAGAACTACAAGACCAACCAAGACTCACTATCAACATCTCGTCCTGCATCCGACACCTCCGACTGCGGCTGCAACGGCGACACAGCAGCCGGGGACACCTCCATAGACATGCTCGTCCTCGACGCAGATGGTACAGACTGGATGAGCAAGTGGAACCGATTGTTCAAGACCTTCGGTATCAACCACCTCCGCAGCCCGATGTTCTTCCAGATCGATCCTGCAGACCGTGATGCACTGCTCGGTTACGCGTATGAGAAGGGGCGTGAGAGGGAGTTGCAGGCGCTGCCGGGCTGTGCAGGGAAAGAGATCAGCAAGCACAGAAAGAAGAAGAAGTTGAATTCGAGAGGCAGATTTCCAGGATCGGGACCGGATGTGGATGAGCGAGATCGAAAGGACTACTTTACGCCGAGTACGAACCTCTTTACATCACACTGCGAAGAAGTCATCAGAAGATATGGGTTGGGTCCAGATCTGCTTCGGCAGGAGCGCGTGATGGACATAAGCTACGACGAAGCAAGTAGCTTCGATAACATCGAACATGACTGTGTCATCTCGGACGATGCATCGAACAAAAATCAAAAGATCTTTCGCGTCAAAACCGACCAGGGTGTTCGGTACGCGAATGTCGTCATACTGGCTGTAGGGCCTGGAAATGCTCCATCAATACCCTCCGTACCAGGTCTCCCAACACCAAGTCTCCACGAAGGCTACACACATGCAATGCAAATCAAGCAATTCCCACCTCCACACGTTGCCGCCAAGATCAAGGCTCGTTGCTCGACAAACATGCTCATCGTCGGCGGCGGCCTCACAAGCGTCCAGCTAGCCGACCTCGCAATCAAACGTGGTGTGACCAAGGTACACCTGCTGATGCGCGGGCCGCTGAAAGTCAAGTACTTCGACGTGGATCTCGACTGGGTCGGCAAGTTCCGCAATTTCAACCAAGCTGCGTTCTGGAGCGCGGACACGGACGAAGAGCGCTTCGAGATGATAACTCAGGCGCGGAATGGTGGCAGTATGACGCCGAGATATCGCAAGGTTCTTGATGCGCATGTGGCGAGCGGCAGGATTGTGTTGCATACTCATACCGCGCTGTCGTCTGTGGAGTGGGATTCGGGCACGAAGGTTTGGACCAATGTTAAGGTTTCGACGGATGTTCCGATCCCGGCAAATGATTATGTTGTCTTCGCAACAGGCATTCAATCTGATATCCGCACAATCCCCTTCCTGCAGACGCTCCAGCAACAACACCCTATCGACTACGTAGGTGGCCTGCCTTGTCTCAACGACGACCTGATGTGGAACGATGACGTGCCGCTCTTCATCACCGGGCGTCTTGCAGGCCTAAGGCTAGGCCCTGGGGCGCCGAATTTAGTCGGTGCGAGGATTGGTGCGGAGAGGATTGCGTGGAACGTGGAGGATGAGTTGAAGAAAATGGGTAAGCTGAAGAAGGGCGAGAGGAGAGATTCGGGGTATGAAGGGAGTGTAGATGAGTATGAGAGCTATGCGAGTGCGAGGGAGAATCGGTTTGCCGGGTTAGCTGGCATGGGTGAAGAGTAAGGCAAAACTGTCAGGGTTCAAGTGAAGTACTTGGCAGCAACATCAACCCAAAGCAAATCACGTTCCTAGCTACGCCAATAATACGACAGCTGCGACTACCGCGCCAACCAGCGGGAACAAACTCCTCACGCCCTTCAAAACTACCCATCTCTCTAACAAGCTCTCAGCCTCAGCACATCCAGAAGCCGACAACTCCCCCCCCCCCCCCTTCTCCGCCCTCCTCGCCAACTCAACCAGCCGATCAAGCTTCCCCGTCATAACAACAATCGTATACGGCACAATCCCCACCGTACTCGCCGCAGCAATCCAAAACTTCCGACTTGCCTCAACATCAACACTGCAAGTGACCCTGCTGAAGTGAGCGTGATGAAGGGATTCTGGGCGTGCTCGGTTTCGTAGGTGTGCCGCCATATTTAGAGAGTGGCAGCAATGAGGACGGCGTTTTGTTTAGTAGAGGCGAGAGAGGAGGGGATCGGGACGAGGGAGTAGGCGGAGATGCTGCCTGTAAGTGGTTAGGAGAGGAAAGGAAGAAAAGGTGTGTACGGGCCTGACCGCCGGGCGGAGCCTGTGAGGCCAACAATCTCAGCAGTGGTGGATGAAGATGTCATTTTACTATTCTGTAAGCTGGGAGTGCTTGGGAATACTACGGCCGAGGCAAGGCCAATTCTTATACTTCAGAGCCCCTGAGCAAGGCGCCCTTCAGATCGAGTTGTGATTTCCAATCTGTACAGGCACTTTCATGTATCGTGCTGTCAGGCACGCCCTGTCAAGTTTACATCCACAGTAAGATGTACTAGTTGCTTGTTTTGCCTGGATAGTCACTCTTCCCGAATCAATGACTGGCTGCCACCCACGCAGGGCGATTGCTGACAGTGCAAGACGTATGTATAGACCTCGACATCAAATTGGCGTGACAGCACGGATAGGTGAAAAATCGGCCAAAATGCCCTTAGTGCATTAACGTAATGTCTGAACTAGGGATAATGAATGATTTCTGGACATCTATGCCAGGACCACAATGCTTGTAAGTAGCGCGCCAGCAAGTGGCAGCAAGCTCCTCACACTATTAAGGAACACCCATCGCTTTAGCAGTCCTTCGGTCTCCTGGCTCTCAGATGTGGTCAACTTTTCCTTCTTCGCGTAGCGCAGTAACTTGTCGTTTGTTGACTTCATAAAGATGATCGTGTACGGAACGATGCTGACAGTCAGAGCAGCTGCGACCCAGAACAGTCTCCCGTCTTTTACGCCTGATGTACGGAGATTGCGCGCGGCCCAGCCACAGGATGCAAGAGATGATGCTGTTGCGAGGGCAATGGGTGGGGCCAGCGCAAATCCGGCTTCAAAGTTGTTTCTCCAGAGCTTGACAGCATGAGCGGCAGACAGGTTGTCTTCCTTGAGTGTTCTGGAGACTGCAGGAATGGAGATTAGGGATATGGCTGCGATGGTGCCTGGGGTTTTGGTTAGAAGATGTAGAGTTGGTGGGTCGTTCGGACTGTCGGGGTTTCGGGGTCAAGCAGCGGGCAATGTCTTGCGACTGTTCAACATACCTGACAACCATGCAGCTCCTGTCAAGCCGACGATCTTAGCGGCGCTGAATGCAGATGATGCCATTCTGTATAGTACAGATGATGGTCCAGAAGGAGGTTGAGTTCGGGCCTTGAAAGCTGGCGTGTAATGTGTGGAGAAGAAAGGAGTAGAATGTTAGAGAGACGTCGAAGTTACCGAGATAGCATCGAACAAGATTATAAGTTTACAGTGATCCCATCGGTCCCACTAATGCCGCACTCGGATCGAACTATTACCGTTGAAGCTCAGAAACTTGCGTGGTGGAATTGTGGGATCGGTACGATCGGAGCACCGGTTAGCCCGATGATCGTGCCTTCGCCGTTCTCCCAAACCTTCAAATCAACCACACTCCCATCACGCCTTGAACTCGAACGGACATCCGGTCTTCGGGTCGCAAGCGTTTCTGCCCTTCGGACAAGGCTTTTCCCACCCTGTACGGGTATTGCAGCAGTCGGCGTCCTGCACCACGAAAGTCACAGATTAGCAATGAGGTTGATCTCGAAGGTCATGGAGTCACTCACGCATTGTTGTGGAGTAATGCCGAACTTTGCACAGTAATTCTCTGTGTCTCCGGCGACATTGCAGGCGCTCTGTTGGTTGCAGGCATCGACGTTGTCCTTAGCAGTCGATCCATACATCGAGTGTTCTTGCCTTGAGACTTTCCGGGTTGCCGGATGGATGAGAAACCATACAAGGACATGGTCCGGCAACCTCGATTCTTTCCAAATCTTTAAGAGATGTCAATTCGCTGAATTTTTCGTAGTCAATATAAGAGTAGCGTGTCACATAGCCCTTAGCCTTCATCGAAGTAATTCCCACTGCTCCCTTTGGCCGACTATTGCACCTGAACTTGGCCATTGATTACCGGAGGGTACCGTGTATCAATGGCGGTAGTGAACGTGAAGCTTCCTCCTGTCTCGTCGAAAACTGGCCCTAGGCATAAGAGGAAGATTAAGAGAAGGAAGGGCAAGAATGAAAGAAGCAAGGTGCAAAATGCGCAGTATGATAAGCATCACGAACAAGACACAGAAGAGGAGAAGAAGGAAAAAGAATTCCATTTGTTCTGTGTGCTTGAGTATAACTTTGCATGGTGTATACACTACAAAATCTCTAACAGCAACGGCAAGATGACAAGCAAAGTGTTCACTGAGAAGATTCTCCCTACTCTTCAAAGTGTGCTACTTCATTGGGGTGGTGAGTAGTACTTGTACATGGACAAGGACTCATCCCACACCTGCGAAAAGATGCTTAATTACATGCAATTACATGGCTGCGAGTATATAATTGGATACTCAAAGAGTCCAGACTTGAGTATTATGGCAACCTAGGTCTCTCCATTGAAGGAGAAGTTTTACAGGCCTACCTGTTACTGTTGCGCTGGATCGTGAGTGATCAGTACGCATGTGCGGAAATATTGAAGGATTGAACTGAGGTTGTATTGGGTGAAGCTACGGACAGTACATATAGGTGAGTAGCTGTAAACAACGCTAGTGTGACGTGGCAGTCACTCTCATGGCAGGTGAGGTTCGACAGGCAGGAGCACCCTGAACCGTGACAGTTACTCTAGGAATGAAAGGATGGCGCGTTTCGATAAAGTGTGGGCAGGTTTAGACCCACGCAAGATCAACAAAACAATCAAAAAATATCCCTGGTTGGCTGATTGAATGCCAGGATGTTACAAAAGGACGTGCAACAAAATTCTAGCTGTTTTAATATGCGTTTAGGCTGTGTTTATGGTGTTGGTCCTGAGGTTTAAATTGTTGATTTTCTAGATGGCCTGAGCTTATTGTCCACTTTTTGCAAAACATGAGAGCAGGACTAACACGCATCACCACGATTGGTTTGCCGTCCCTTTTCAAGATGGCAACGTCTAACGATCTGGAGTTGCTCAATCTAGCCAGATCTGGCGCTAACGTCGAATTAGCGTAACGTAACAGTGGCGCAAGCGAGCCGCGTTAAGACTTTTGTCTCGATTTTCAACCATCTTACACGTATCTATTCCTCAGCCGCATTATCATGGCAGAATGGCGCATTAGCGACGAGCAACCGGTGAGAGAACTGGACGGCCTTGACTATGAGCGCTGTGCGGCGCTTCACAATTACATTGTCGAACTCGGCTGGACACAACGAGGCCTCGCATTGGATACTCTTGACAAACGAACATGGTGGGAATGCTATGGTGGCGATGCAGCCCTTACAATCGTTTCCAATCGTCTCGAAGCCGCCGTGATCTCGTTTCTAAAGGTTGCCTGGCATGGATTTTCGATGGAAACGGCGAGCCCGCCTCACTTGTTCCATCGGTATTTAGCCCGTCTGTGCTTCCCAGACGAGCTTTGGCAGAACGTAAACTATGCAGAAGATGAAGACAATTCGAATAAGCGATGCTTTGTCAGTCTCTACATGGCAAATGGGGCTTTGGGCGCCACTCATCCTCTAGGGCTAATCTTGGATCAAGACTACGGAATGGCCATGCAGCACATGTCAATTCGTGATACTAGCATTACTATGAATGGCCGACAAACATGGCTACCTCTTGAGACGATACTTGATGGGTTCATCGACATGATAGACCAAGGCAAAGTCCTCACGGTTGGTGAGGCATACAACGGCGAACAAGAGCGCACGGAGCCCTGGATCATGCCGTCGTACACCCAGCGGGATCTCGACGACACTCTGGAGGCCTTCCAACAACTGGTCAACACAATCCACGACAAGATGCCGTCTCAACCTCAGGACACCAAGGCAGGTCTGCTTGATCTCGTGACTGGCGGTCATCCGCAAATGCTGCCCTCTAACAGCTTCGCTTACCAATTTCTCGCCAAATCTCCAATACCCTCCTTCACCTACATCGCACCTGGCTTACGCATTGCCCAACACCAATCATTTGCCCCAGCATCAGAGCAAGCGGAGTCCAACAAGCTCTACCCACTTCTGATCTTCTCAAGCACACATTCTGCTTATCAAGAGACCCTCTGCGCGCCTTGGGGTGACCTAATACCCATCTCGCCCTTCTCCTCCAATTTCAGTACCATCTCGACCTGTGCAGCCGGCCTCTACCTTACTGAGACTGAGCCCCATCACGCCCACCCCTTCGAAGATGGCTGCAAACTCGTCCTCCCATTTCTTTTGGGCGCTAACGGATTTGCGCGAACCAGCGACGATGCATTAATAGGTGAGAATGTGCACAGCGCGGGGGACAACGCCGCAGCGAAGTTGGAACCAAGGAGTACAGAGCTTTACCAGCTGGGATTTAATCACTTCATTGCAGCGCATGACGTGCAGCTCAAGTATGTGCTGTGGAACTGGGTGGCAATGGTCGAGGAGGGAAAGTGGGAGGTTGATGCTGATGGTGTTGTAGGAGGGATAGAGAAGTGGAGGGAGGCAGATACAGAGGAGCATTGGTCTGACTATCAGCTGCCGATGAGCTGGTGAAGGGCTTTACTGAACAAGGCACTGTTTATTTTAAGATCCTCCTCAGATGTGCCCCTTGTTGGCATGGTTGCGCATTGTCGCGCGTCCGTCGTAATCGTCTTTAACCGTCAGTTCTTACGTCGTACATCTTTCTTGGTGATTTCCCATGCCCTTTTAAACCACACAGGTCAGAGCCAATCACATACGCAACCGCAATTTATATCCGGATCTTCAAGGATGCCAACACTGTCGCGATCACATATTATCCAGTCCAAACCGATAGCGGGAGGATTAGATGGGGTTCGCGCCTTTTACAGTTCTACATATGAGGATGTAGGCATTCTCAAAATCTCCAATTCGCTGGGTCAGGCGGGAAATGAAGGTAATGCAGACACGCCCTCTTAAGGGCCTCCTCTAAAGTACACACAGAGACCTAGAATCTCTTAGTCGCCCTCGTATCTGCTCTTCAAACCCTCCTCGTCATCTGCCTTCGAACAGCGGCGGCAAGAATTTACTCGATGACCTGTCAAGGCTTGTGACCACAGTCAACGCCAACAACTTCGACGTCGAACGAATAATTCCTTCCCTAAAAGCGGACCTACGCAAAGACAGCGACGATGCTATGTGGAACAGAGTCTACGACGCCGTCACCGATTCCACCCCTCGACCCCGTCTTACCTCGTCTTTCCAACAAACGCCCCTGTCCATCAACACAGCCAGCTTCGCGAATTCGACTGAGCATCGCAAACACGTAGCGATGTGCTTAAGGAGGAGCTTGGATAACTATACGTCGGGGTGGCAGGTTTCTTCGAAGCATTCTTCGAAGACGTACCAGGTCTGAGAGCGGTGGCACAGGCCGTGTTTGACAAATGTAAGGAAGGAGATAATCCGCTCTACCATGTGAAGAGCGGCTGGCAGGGCTGGCCAGAAGGGGCGAAGGAAAAGATGTCTTAAGCTGGTTCGCACCGCTTACAGACCAGCTTCTGGACTTTGTGGACGATCCGAAGGCTACCGTGGATTCGAAGTGCCGATAGTCGCAGATCTTTGTGTCTGGAGAGCTCAAGAGCAACCCGTCAGCCGACAAAACGTCCAAGGCGTGGCTTGACCTTGGCCGATATGCAAGGGAGATACCCGCTGCTCAAGACAGTCGAAGGCCTACGCGATCTTCTCAATCGTCCACCGACTGTTCCTCTAACCATCACCCACACGCACACTGAAGATACGGACGAATACAATGGCAGTAGAGCTCGGACAGGGGGATCAGCGAACGAGGTCAATGAGCCCGCAGCTTTGTACCGAGACGAGTACCGCGAGCTGGCGAGGAAAACTGGTTCTGAGCCGGAATACCGGACGTACCTCTACGATGATGTGGTGCATCGTCTCGGTCGTGGGCCTCTGTGGACAGCGCAGTCGAGTTCCTAGACATGAAGGTCAAAGGTCGACTGATCTTTAGCGTGACACCCGTGTGACTCGGATCTCAGGGTTTTAGGTGTTCGCGAACACCAAACTTCTGGCATGCCCATAAGTGAGGCACTTCTGCTCAATGGCACAACTCTTGAATGCTTTGCCTCTACCTACACGGCATCCCAACAAGATAGTCAACACAGCATCGAACACATGAGACTTTTATATATAGAAGACGGTAACCAAATCGGAGGGGACCTGGCCTATGATGTGGCAAACAATCGTCTTGAACATTTCTGGTTGATGCCAACGTTTGTTCAATGGAGAAATATGAATGCCGGCTTGCCGATGTGTTACTGCTCGATGGTCAAGGGAGTCATGGAATACTCCTCGGTAGCGCATTTTCGAAAGACTGGGCGCGGGGTCCGTTTCTGATGTACGATGGTTCAACCACTGCAAGAAATGACGACTTGTGCTTATCGTGAATTCTCTGCTGCACAACACGGGCCTTCCGGAAAAGCAGAACAAATAAGCAGCAAGCGTTTCAGCGTTTCAGCGTTTCAGAGGACTGCTTGTGAAGGATTTCAGCCAATGCGGCAAGCAGTTATCTGATGTTGGTGGCAGTGACTTTCACCTGTCCTTTTGACACGCTTAGCTCAGAAATCATCTCGAACGCTCACGCTTCGTCCATCTACCCACCGCGGCCGTCTAGCTCCTACTCCAGGTGCCCCTTCTTGCAAGTGCTCACTCGTCCGGTCTCGGCGGTCGCGCATTCGGACATAGGAAGGCGGAAGCACATCACCGTTAGATAGTCGCAGTTGCCCCACACCTGGCCCCCACCAACGCCCTGCGACTACGATTACATATATACAGGGCGCGCCGCTTCAACCTTCGAGATCTCTCACTTTGGACCCCCGACTGCATTCGTCGATACCAAATCGAGTCAATCCATCCCTCAGTTTTACATATATTTTAATGGTCGCGATGGGAGGCGGACCTGAACTACCGTCCAAGACGGCCTCAAAAGAGAAGGAGCTGCTCCTTGCTGTACTGCCATGGCCGAGAGCACAGTGCCAGAAGGGCATAGATGCACTGGAAAAGGAGTTTGGTCATCTCGAAGTCCAGCACTACTACTCACACTTCGAAAACGGCAAGGTCACTGTCGACGATATCCCTGAGGGTCTGCCAGCCAAAGCATCCTACATAGCGACCCTATTCTGGCTTCCCAAGACCGCAGACGATATTCCAAAGACTAAGCTCATTCAGTTCTTCTCCGCGGGCACGAATCATGTTGATAAGCATCCGATTTATACGGACTCGAAGATCCCGCTGTGCAGCGCGAATGGCGTGCACGGCCCACAGATCGCCGAGTGGGTGGTCATGATGGATCTGGTGCATAGTCATAATTACACGACGCTGTATGACTTGCAGAAGAAGCAGGAGTGGAATCAGAGGATTGGCATGAATGTTAGTGATCGTGTGGGGAAGAGGGTGGCTATTCTTGGATACGGAAGCATTGGGCGGCAGGGTACGTTTGAGACAAATGTTCTTTTCGAGGTCTAATTGCATTGGAATAGGCTGACTGACTTTTGGTAGTGGCGAGAGTTGCTAAAGCAATGGGGATGGATGTCATTGCGTATACGGCGAGCCCGCGCAAAACGGAGGAGAGTAAGAGGGATAATGGGTATATCGTTCCTGGCACTGGGGATCCGGATGGCAGTCTGCCCAGCGCATGGTACAGCGGCACAGATAAGGAGGATTTGCACAACTTCTTGAAGCAAGAGATTGATCTGCTGGTTATTGGCGTGCCATTGACGTAAGTGTACCGCCTCTCAAACTGATCAGTCGCGTGGCTTACAGTCCTATAGCAAGTACACGACGCATCTACTCTCCACAGATGAGTTCGAACTTCTGCACAAGAGCAACCCGCGCGGCACATATATCGCCAATATCGCACGTGGTCCGATCATTGACCAGAAGGCATTGATCAAAGCGTTGGAGACGAAGCAGATCCGCGGCGCTGCCTTGGATGTTACCGACCCGGAGCCACTTCCCAAAGACGACCCTCTCTGGACGGCACCCAATGTCTTGATCACGCCGCATGTCAGTGGCGCCAGTGATGCATATGCGGAGCGAGCATTCCAAGTGCTGGCCGAGAACATCAGGAGAGAACGAAGTGGCAGGGAATTGGTCAACGAAGTGAACCGCGATAGAGGGTATTAACACGCATCACCGTAGCCTATCTTGACTTTTATCCAAGCCTACTCCGGCTCCTGATCCTTCCACTTCTCCCTCACAGCATTTACATCCATCTCACAAGCCTCCGCATGCCTCAACACAGCCCTCGCTTTCTTCACTACCGGCACGTCAATCATCTTACCTTCCAGCGTCCACGCCCCTCTCCCCGCCTTATCCGCCCTCTCATCCGCAATCACGACTCTCGCCGCCCACTCAACCTCTTTCTCCCCGGGGCTAAACGCCTTGTGACACACCGCGACCTGACTGGGATGTATGCACTGCTTCCCATTGAAGCCCATCCCCTTCCCATTCAAGCACTCCTCTTCGAGTGTCTTCAACCCCACATCCCCCTTGTAACTCGTGCACACCAAGTCAATCGTACTCGGCAGCAGCGCCGCGCGCGCCGCCGTCGCAATCGCGCTCCTCGCATACAGGAACTCTGTCAGCGAGGGCGTCCGCGTGAGACTCATATCCTTCGCGAAGTCCTCTGCTGCGAACACCAGCCCGTCGAGGTAGGGCGATGCTTCACAGATCTCCTTGAGGTTCTGGATCGCTTTTGCCGACTCGATGAGCGCAATGATGCTTACTGGCTGCTTCCCCGCTCCCACCTTGCTGGGATCGCCTGGATGTCTGTCTGGTGAGAGGTGCCGTATGACGTCTGTCACGAAGTGCAGGTCCGCGGCGCTTTCGCACTTGGGCAGCATGATGGCGTCGAGGTGTTCGCCTCTCAGGACTTCTGTAAGGTCGTCGAGGGCGAGACCCGTGTCTACGCTGTTTATGCGCACGCACATCTCCTTGATGCCGGTAGGGCGCGGTCTGGACAGGATGGAGCGTAAGTTTGAGCGTGCGGAGGCTTTGAGTGAGGGCGCGACGGAGTCTTCGAGGTCGTAGGTCACGTTATCGGCGTGCATGGCGAAGGATTTCTCGAGCATCTTTTGCGAGGATGCTGGGACTGGGTGCTGTTAGCTGCCGCTGGAGAGATGGAGCTGGGAGGGTGAATGTACCGTACATGCACGCCCGCCGGATAATTGGGGTTGCCATTGCTACCAGGTTTACCTCGAGTCTCAGTCGTCCAAAGGCACGATTAGAGTCAACGAGAGGATTGATCGCAACGACCAGCCAAAGTACTCCCGGCTATCTCCCGGCTATATGATGTCGCGCTCAGATCGTGTGGGGAAGGGAGCTCAAGCTCACACGCCGACCGCCGACGGACGCTAAGTCGCGTACCTGAGCCTCAGTGATGACACGCGGCTAACTTATCTCGCACATCCGCATCTCGCACATCCGCAGCTCGCAGCCAGCAGCACACAGCAACCCACACTCCGCCATGGAAACGGCACAACAAGCCCCCGCGCCCGGCGCGCTGAGCTGGAAACTCAGCACCCACCCCATAACACTGCTCACCTTTCTGTTCTTCCGCATCTGTACGCCCCAATCAATACCTTCCAGGCATCCCCCCTCGTTGCTGGCGCAGCATAGCTAACATAACTTGCCAGCTTCGCTCCTCGTGTACATCCTCGGCCTGCGCCTCCTAACCTTCAACTTCGTCATGATCTTCATCATCACCATCCTGCTGCTCGCCATCGACTTCTACTACCTCAAGAACATCGCCGGCCGCCGGCTGGTCGGGCTGCGCTGGTGGAACGAAGTCGACACGGCGACGGGCGAAGGGCGGTGGGTGTTTGAGTCTGCCGACCCAGAGACGAGGGAGGTGAATGCGACGGATAAGCGCTTCTTTTGGATTGCGCTGTATGCGCAGCCCGTGCTGTGGATTCTGCTCGCGATATTGGCGCTGGTCAGTTTGGAGTTTATTTGGCTGACGCTTGTTGGTGAGTTGTTCTGCTTATCTGAGGTCGGGGGAAAGAGGGGTTGTGGAGGAGTCGCTAACAAGGGGACAGTTATTGCGCTTGTTCTTACGATTACGAATACGCTTGCGTTCTCGAGGTGCGATAAGTTTAGCCAGGCGAGCGGCTTTGCGTCGAATGCGATATATGGATCTGGCCTGGCGAGAAGTCTGGCTGGTGGTGTTATCGGTGGTTTGTTCAGGCGATGATCAAGCGGAGAAGATTGTACTGCGACAAAAGCGAGCGTTGGGCGCTGTAAGAGCAGGCATGGCGCATGGAGTTTCAGGGTCACAAAGCATGATTGAAAGATATCCTACGAGATGGCGGTCAAGCTTGGTGTTATATTGAGCATATGTACGCTAAGTCGCTTCATATATATGCAAGGATACGCCGGCTGTCGTTGCGCTACGTATGATGCGTGCTGTTATTGTGTGCTCTGTCGACCCCTCTCGGTCAGAGTCAAGTGTCAACCTGGTCTTGAGCCGGTCGAATGGATAGGTTACCAGCAGCCTATTTCTGGTACACCAGCTTGTACTTGAACTGCGTTGGGAACGACTTGTCGGTGAGGAGGATTTCCTCGCCGTCCTCAACCAGATCGCTCAGCTTCTTCTCAAGATTGGGACGAGTCTGCTCTTCTAGGCCAGCCATTTGCATGTACAGCGACTTTTCACCGGTGCGGATCGAAGGCTTCTTGAGCTGACTGCGACTTATCAGTATTTGGAATTTCAAATCGGAGACCAAGACTGAGACTTACGCTTCAGGCCTCTCCGCTAGTCCATCAATGAACTCTTGCAGTGTGATGTTGGGATTGACTGGCAGTGGTCGTGCGATGTTACCAGCGCCGCAGACAGGGCAGTCGTCCTTCTTTTGGTGTTCAAACGTGTATGTATAGACGCTGTCGTCGCCAGTGTACATCATGTAGTTTGCGGTCTCTGGGTAACCGAGGAAGGGATTTGTGTTTGTCGCGATCTTGAACGCCTCGTTGCAGCAGCTTGCAGCGACGATGGCGTTTGTCGAAGCGATAGCTGGGATGATGTTCTTCACCACACCCTGTGTCATCGAGTATGTGACACCTTCAATATTGAACTCTTGAGCGCGCTTGAGGGCCTTCTGGAACAGCCAGGTGATGTGCTCCGGGTCGTCGTTATCGAGCGTGATCTCTTTGCGCTCCTCCTCCCATGCAATGATGTGCGCCCACTCGATGCAGTGCTGTGGTTGACGGGGGATGGTCGCAAGTGTGCAGAGTGGGACAGCAGCACGTGGAGCGTGCATGTCGAGCTGGCACTCGATACAGCTGGTCATTGTGGGCAGAATAACCCTCGCCTGGCCCTTGAAGCCTTCAGTACCACCATCTACCAACGGCTTCAGAGAGTCTGGGTCGTTCTCATCTACCATGCCGACAAGTGTCGCATTGATCCATCGACGGGCCTCGATGCTGTCCAAACCGCATACTATCATGGCGAACTGCATGTAGTACGCTTCATCCTTGTCTTGAATCTTGCCGCAATAAGGTGTAATCTTGACACCCTTGACGCGCTTCTCGACGAAGCGAGCTGCGACCTCGGCTTTGTAGCTGCCAACATCTGCCTGGCGGAAGAGGAATTGTCGGTTCAGGTTGCTGACATCGATGGTGTCCATATCAATCACGTGGATATCTTTGAAGCCAGAAAGTGCTAGGTTCTTGAGAATCTCACATCCAAGACCGCCGGCTCCACTGAGGTTATGTTATTGGAAGGTATGTGATGGAGTGGGACAGACTCACATGACTCTGGACATAATTAGCTTTTCAAAACTTCATGTTCGGAATTCGGTGTTCACGCACAGTACTTTGGCTCTGCTCAAGCTCTCGATGACAGTCTCGCCCGGCATGAACGCATCAGGATCCGTGAACGGCCCGCTTCGTGTCAAGATGTTGTCCAGGTACTTCCTACATCACGTCACATTAGCAATCAAAAAACGTGTGAGATTGTAGACTTACCATCGCGCTCGTGGGCTTGCTGTTGTACCAGACACAGGATTCTGAGCTTCTATCGACATCTTGCGGGCTGTTCAGAGAAAGGAAGTGAAGAGATCAAGTTGAGCAAAACGGAGGATGTAGGCATCGGTGTTAGATGGAGTTTAGCGCTGCCAAGAGCCTAATATCATCTAGGGCAAGATTTGCCGAAGGCAAACATGCAGTGAGCCTCTAGACATTCACTTGAACAACTATCGACCTCCCGAGATAACCTTGAAATCATCAGGAGCGTGTAGTGCATGTTGAGGCCAAACGCACCGATGGCGAGCACGAGCAGATGAAGTCTACTTGATAACCACTCACAAGTTCTCCGACTTTAGCGCATCACTTGTGAGTCGTGGAAATGACTTCTCTACGTGCTTGAACTAATCTGACCATTTCAAGGCGACATATCGATCAAGTGTACGATCACAATGGCTGGCTTCCTCACCGCCGTTTCCACCAAGAAGATTGTCTCCAAGCCAGCAATCGGACAGATTCAAGACCTGAGCATCCAAGATGCAGCTACTATCGATTCACCGCAATCAGCACTACAGGCTCTGAGGAAACAACCCAGTCAAGGAATAGTGACCAATGTTCTGACTTTCCTCAACAGCCCGAAAGTCAGCCTTATCATCTCAGGGCCAGTGTATGCAAGCATAGCACATGAGCTTGTTAGCAATATAATACCGACCTTCTGGAGAGTACTCAAACAACGTTCCAAAGATGCTCAAAGCCTTTCCTCGATACTACACAATCCTACCGGAATCGGGCATCTGCTCACTAGACTGCGTTTGCTCATTGCAGAGAGTAGGAAGAAGAAAGCCGCTGGGACTGCGCAGGATGTGTTGGAGTTCATCGAAGATACGTTGGATGTGCTCGGTCGAGTCCTGAGCGGTGATGATGTATCGTACTCTATTTGGAAGGAGATCCAAGCCTTCGGCAAGAACGACATACAGAAGAAGCTCATGTGGAAGGAGTTCCTTGCGCAGGTAGCATCAGGCCGAATATTGTCGATCAGAGCTGAGGCCGAAGATGTTCTGAAAGAAAAAGGGGTCGGAAGCTCATCTTCGAGCGGTAACGACCTCGCGGATTGGCTTGGGCGTAACATTGTCCACATGTTGACTGTTGGGGACAAGGGTGAGACGTACGTTACAGCTTTGACCGAACTTAGCGCCAAAACACTGAGTCTGGGGTATACAGGTAAGACGACCCGTCTGAGATTGGGAAATGTCACTGACCAACAAATAAGACCGCCTCGTCGCTAATATCCTCGCCATTGTTATCGAGCAGGACCAAGTGAACCGATTCGCAGATCTCGTAGGCCGGCTGAAGGCATTCGAGCAACGAAAGTACTGCAATGCTGTAATCGTCTACATCACAAAGCACTTCTTTCAGTCGGAGATTGTTAGCAAAGAGGACATACCTATCGACCCATCACCTGTGATCTCGGGCGCGGCATGTCTATTGAGCAGTTTCGTCAAGGACAACGAGATCTTGATGGATCATCTTATCTCTTCGCTTACAAGTTCTACCGTTCCGGCCCTAGAAGAATCACTTGCCATTCGTCGTACTGTGATTGCCACATTGGCTCAAGATGAAGGTCAGCATCGAAAGTCCAATCTATTAGCCAGACACTAACACCATGTAGACAAGCTACAAACGCTATTTGAGAACTGTATCAAGACCTTTGGAGGCTCTGTTTATGTCAAGCATACACCAGTTTTGCAACAAGAAGGTCAGTAACCGCTTCACATACCGCTGAATGTGCGTTAACATTTGTCAGCTCTTGCGCAGACATCAGCGTTATGTTGCGGCTATGTACAACGAACACAACCCATGTTCGTAACTATGATGGCGAAATCAACGTATCAAGTTAACGGTATGTCGAACCGCATCGGGGCAGCATCTCCTCGAGCTCGCTTCCTCGGAATCGCTGTTGGCACGGCAATCTCAAAGATGGTGGATAAGCCTGAGCTTCAGCTGAAGATCGAGCTTGAGGGAAGTGAGGCAACGGAGGCGAAGTGGTATGAACGTCTTACCAAGGTGGATGACAAGATTGGAAGCATCTTAGACCTCCAGAAGAAGCAGGCAACTGCATTCCCTACGAGTGGACCAGCATCCACACCTAAGCCAGCGGCCAAAGCTCCAAAGCCTCCGGTAATCACTGAGATTCAAGGCCCCCGTGTCATTGAGGTGCTTTCTGAGTCCGAGGATGAAGACGCAGACCTGATGGCTTACAGTAAGCCAGACTCGGATCCGGAGGACGATGATGAGGATCCTGCAGCTATCAACCGTAACAAGCCTACCGCGCCCGTGTACATCAGGGATCTCGTTGCAGATCTTCGAGATCAGGAGAATTACGATCGTCACGAGCTCGCCCTATCTACTGCTACATCGTTGATACGACGCAAAACCAATTTCGGCACGGAAGTCGTAGATCACCTCGAAGAACTTGCCACGACATTGACTGGTCTTCAAAATGGCCTGGAACTGGAGAACTTCGCGCAGCAAAGGCAGCAGGCACTGATCGCCGTGCTTCTTGTGCGACCAGCACAAATGGCGCGATGGTTCGCACGGTCATTCTTCTCAGGCGACTACAGTCTCACGCAACGCATAGCTATGCTCACTACACTCGGCCTTGGAGCGCGCGAGCTCGCTGGCATGAAGAATACATCCACAGACGATTTCATCCCGGCAACACCCTCCTTCCCTAGCAAGCAACTACCACCACATCTGCACAAGATGTATACAGAGGAAAAGGCCGCAAACCCGGTTTCTAAACTCACGAGCAGTATGGCACGCGCCATGCTCTCACCGATCGCTTCCCAAGCAGCCGACACACTCAGCGGGCCCAACATCCTCAAAGTGCGCACCTTTAGCTCGCGCATGGAAGTCGAAGCAGCGCGCAAGAAGCCAATACCCAACGCTCTTGCACAGATCGTCGCTGACAACTTCTTCTTTCCACTGACCGGTCGCTGGTGGCTGCAGATCCGATCCAGCAGCGACTCGATCTACAGCTCTACACATCTCCTCCCGCCATTCCTGCAGACTTTGTCGCTACTGTTGAACGCATCAGGACCAAACACGCTGTCTTTGCCGCAGATGACGCGCGAGTATTGGGATCTTTTGCTCTCCGTGAGAGGCCTAGCAAGCAACGACAAAGCGATCCTGGGTGCGCTGCTGTTCGGGTTTCTGATGTTGCTAGAAACGAACGAGAATAAGGAGAGACTGGCTACAGAGCAGGGCAAGGAATTGATGGAGACGCAAGCGTGGGTCAAAATGGTGTTTGAGGGTCTTGGTGCTGGCAGCGAGGAAGATGAGAGGATCAGGGTGTTGGCGGCTGGTGTTGTAATAAGGTGTCAGGAAGTCGTAGAGAAGTATCAGCGCAGGATGGCGGGAGCGTTGATGGACTACTAATAGAGCATCGAAGATATGGAGCTCCGCTATAGAAGATATATGGCCAGCACCATGTTGCAGGAGCATGTTGGATGCAGGCTGACCAAGTAATACAATCATTCGTCTTAACACGTTGCGCACAGAAACAGCAGCAGAACATAGAAAATTATGTGCATCAACACAACAGCCTGCAACTACTGGTTGCCAACTCAAGCACTACTCTCGCATCATTAATCTTCTTCCTCAACGCCCTGTGCATGGCAGCAGCATCAATGAAAAAGTACCCTCCTCGTACGAGGAAAGAACGCCAGCAAAAATTGCGCCGGCGGCGTCCCCGAAGGAAAGCCGTACCCCAACCAGTCCGCGCTGTGCAATGCAGCTGATCAAGGTAGAGGAAGCAGAAACATGACCCTGCCCCTCCCAACAAGGTAAGTATGCTTTCTTAGAGAAGGGGCGACCGAAGGGGGGTTTATATATGTGTTGGGTGTGGCCCCTGCGTCTAGTGTGTGGGAAGGCAACAAGTTCCCGTGACCGGAGAATGAAGGGGGCTGGGGGCACGGTTGTTTGGCGCAACCTGATTCTGGATCCAGGGTGGTCATTGCATCACGGATTCATGGTCTTCGCTTTAGACATGCAGGGCGTCGAGCAGAAAATTTTGTACGACCTATTGTTGTGAAAATCACCTAGATTTCTTCTTTTGTTTTTCGACGAGCTGACGAGACGAAGGCAAGCGTGGTTAACTGCTCTCATGCTATGGAATTTCGTGCTGCGGGAAAGCCGGTGACATGCGGTGAGGATGTTCTGGTCCTTCTGGAAGATGGAGCCAATATATTGACGGCGATCGACGCTTTTTGCAAAACTGCCACTTTGGGTATCTTCAATGCGCGACGACCAGATATTGACTGCCGTATTGAGCAATATCTGCTTCTTAACAATGGATGTCTTGCAATGTTTGTTGCATCCAGAGTCTAGAAACTACCGCGTTGGGTCTTCTTGCCGCGAAGGAACGGCTTGGCGTTGTGGGTTGATTCGAGGCATCAAGCAGTGTGGATGCGAGAACCACTGTCTGAGATTCTGCGCTGTCAGCCCCGCAACATTGCCTACCTGTACCCTGCATCAGCCTGGTCGTCGTCACAGTACGCCAAACCCCATCATTATGTTCAGGACGTCATGAACTTCGCGTGTCCTGCCTGCCTAGGTATTCCACGGAGACAGATCGAGTATCGTTGTTGGACCTGGACGCAGTACTACAAGACTGCAAAACATGCTTACTTCTTTGGAACTGCCTCACGGCCATCATTGCCCCCACGTTGGCAGATATTTCGATCACATCGTGATTCATGGAAAGACAGTAGGCGATGCGGGACCATTGAGACGTGATGTATGCGATTACCAGGGACGAAGTGAGTTCAGGATGCAGATATATCGGGCTGAAGGTATGTGGTGGTTCTTTGCAGCACCCTCGCGTATTGACATGATGTACTGTATAGAAGAATAACCACTTTGGCAAGAAATCGGCGTTGGCTGTGAGGTCGGTCCCCATGGTCAGTCATAGCAGACGACGCTGAGGCTGAAAGAACGGCTCCGATCTTGCATCGATCACGATGATGGACACACCGACTGTCCTCACTTCGACTAGATTCAGATGCGACTCCCAACACGTGTTGTCGATGTCGATTCGAGATATGATAACAGAGTGAAGCTGATCGTATTTTCCGAAAATCAAGCTGTCAGGCAGGCACCTTCACTCAGGCCTATAGGCTATTCCAGAATATGCCCTAGTGCCCATATATATAAAGACCACGTAGCAGCCCATCAATTCATCACGATTCTGCCCACTTTCCCTCCATTGACACAAGCAGGAAGATATACGCTTTGAGTCAATACTGGTGTGGAAAGACCCCGGTGATGATAACTACACAGAACCTTCAATGATATCCAAGAGGAATCTGTCGAGGCCAGCATTGCTGAGAAGCCATGGCGACATGAGGCAACAGAAGCAGAAGAGCAAAAGATACTTGAGCAGGAAATTGCGCATGACGGCACGAAAGAGGAAACGTCATTGACCTCCACCACCCCTCAATATACAAGCACACTGACGCAAAGTACTGCGGTCGCGACACCTAGCCCAACGCTACCTGATCGCGTCGTAGTAATAGCAAAGCTTCCCACAGACGACACACGCTAGGTACATACCGACCTGCAAGACTGGCAATCAGCCATCTACGACTTCGATACCGAAACTCCGCACAACACATCGACCCTGGATCTGCTCACTAACAGCACTTTACGTACCCTTCGGAACAAAGTGATGGAAGCAGATGCATACCTCGCATACATCGTGCAGAATTACAATAACCTCCCTTCAACGATCGCGTTCATTCATCCGCACAAAGATGGCTACCCGACCGCCTAGCACACCGACAACATCGAACATTCCAATGTAGTCTCTCTGCAAACCCTCAACATCAACTTCATCCAGAGCAACGGCTTCGCGAATTTGCGTTGCGTTCACGATCCCGGCTGTCCGCACGAAGTGATGCCGTTCCGAAACCCGCCTGAGGATCATCGAACAATCGAAGCAGCGATGCCGGATGCGTGGCGAGACTTGTTCAACAATACGGATGTACCGCACGTACTGGCGACCCCTTGCTGTGCGCAGTTTGCCGTGTCGAGCAAGCAGGTGCAGAAGCGGCCATTGGACGTATACAAGAAGTATTATACGTGGTTGATGGAAACTCAGCTAAAGGATGGGACAAGTGGACGGGTGTTTGAGTATCTTTGGCACATGTTGTTTGGTCAAGACCCCGTTTAGTAAGTACTCGATGAATTAGAATTGGGATGCGCGGCTGCTAACTTTGATAAGCTGTCCCACATACGAGAAGTGTTATTGCGATGTGTATAACAGATGTTGAAGATGTTCTGTTTCGTGAACGGACCAGACAATCTGGCACGTGCCTGGGTATGTGTCGGCGACATCTTCGATTGTCTTGAGAGATTCAAGTCGATACCGTGTCTGTGCACACAATGCGCGCGTTCACACGATGCGCGGGGTAACCCATTGCGCGTCAAACTTCATTACTACATAACACCACACCTATGGCTCCAATCGATGATGCGCTTGATGAAATAGATGCTTTGAAGCCTGGAAAAAAGCTCTGTTATACAACAATAGCCAAAAATCATGGTGTTGTGCGCTCAACTTTGACATGGAGGCATTAAGCCATCACACTCGCTATCGCCCCACCGTTACCGCCGCTATCACTTCGCCGTTACCTTCGCTATCGGTCCTGGCAGTATACCCCTTACCGCCCTCATAGAAATTTCACGGTGAGAGCAGACTCTTCGAAGGTTAACTGTTTCAACGCGAACCAGTTGGATTCGAGGCGCATGAAGTCCATGGCAACAGCGACGACTTCCGCCTGTCCCTGAGTTGTCCACAATATGGGGCGACCACCGGAAGGCGAAGGCATCAGAACGTAAGGAACGCGGACGCTCAAGCTGAATACCATGGCACAAGTCGTGTTGTTTGAGGTGCAAACACTGAAGTGGAAACTGGCGCTAGGACAAAAGCCCTTCGGTCTGCCTGTGCGTTCCCGCAAGGCGGTAGAAATGCCTCTTTAGACTTCTGGCTGCAGAGTAGAGTCGCCATTCGGTTAGCCAGCACCCAGGAGTATCGCCCACTGCTTCTGAAGCGTCATGGCGACACCTTGGCCTCGACGGTCGACATGGCCAAGCTCAATTTGCGAGCACGCTACATGCCTCAGCACTTTTCTCCACAGACTTTGCTCGACACGAACAGCTGACACATGCACACATGCACATATGCAAGAGCATCGATTCATTGACAGAGAAACTGTATTGATACTGCTGTATGCGCAAGGATCAACTGCCTACCCGACCACAGCCGATACAATCTCGACTCAAGAGAGCCACGAGGCCGATCCATGATGCTTGACCATGGCGAACTCCTCAGTGGACACACTTTCTATCAACAGGTATTAGTACATGGTGTTGATGAACTGGGAGGACATGTCATACCTTCAGCCCTTGAACTTCACCTCCACCACACCCTCCACCGCATCCTCATCCTCCTCATCGCGCTTCCACTTATCCCGTCCATCACAATAGATCGTCGTGTCTTCCTTACAGCGAGTCTTACTGTAGCCCAGATCCTTACATCCACCATTCTTGTTGCACCAGTAGACATTGAAGACGCCTCCGTCACCATAGTTGGTCACTGCGGTGCAGTAGCCGCAGTATAGGCCTTCATTGGACACTTTCTTGCAAGCGCAAGCGGTAGCGGAGCCGGTGAAGGTGGTAAGAAGAGCGGTGATGATAGAAGATGCGCGCATTGTGTAGGTAGTGGGGCCGTAGTCCTTGCAAGAGCTAGTCTGAAGTAAGAATGCTTGATGGAAGCTTCGAGGTTTGGACTGAGGAATAGGCTGGCTCGAGAGGACACATTCGACGATACTTGTATTCGTCGCTGGCCATGCCCCTGTAGTTTGGCCCCCAGATGCTCCGCGGACACTTCGACTATTTGAAGAAGCAAGATTCTCGTACTCTTCGCATTCAACGTGCGCTTTGTCAACGCGTGGACGCTTCGATATTGATGTAGCATTAGAGCTTCCCAAGGGGGATACAGGAATGTTGTCTCGTGCGGGGTACTGTAGAACGAGCTGAGATTTTGTAACATGATGGTACTATCTTTGGCAATGCGTGCATCCAAAGACGACTGCAGGCCAAGACACTCTCCCTATAGGCTGGATACGGCAAATATGTTGTCGCCTTTGGCGAACAAATCCTTTTAATAACTGTGAGCAAACCAGAGCAAGTAGTCGAGAAGTAACATCACCAGATTCTTTGCTACCCAAGGTCTGACAGGGATTTCTTTATGTATTGCATTCAACAAAAGGGATCTCCACTGGCGCAAGCGCCAGTATATCTACTTGAATTTTAGGACGCAGAACTGCGCGTTCTGAGATCCCACCTACACCATATCTCGGCTGCTACCGCAGCAAGACATTTCGTTGCAGATGGCTCAGAACAAAGCACCTAAAATTGCAATAGAGATAACGACGAGCAGAATGATGAGCCAAACAGGAAGAGCTTCCGACATGATTGTAAGTGGCTGGAGTGTTGTGAACTTTCGGTGTTAGGGTTCGACGGTGTTTTGCAGCGAAGATAGTTGGACGATGATGAAGCAGTTGAATGTTGAAGAACGTGGTAGGAAAGTCGAGAGGCGAGAATATATATACACAGCTGATAGGACAAAGACATTGATCAGTAATCAGGGACAGGGTAGTGTTGTGAAGACGCACAGAGTCCATCGTTGTTCGTGAATGATTTGATAATGACACTCAGGTGGAACATAATTGACATCATTGAATACTTTAGACGAATTCATGCTATATCTTCGAATGTTTCGCCATGCATCGAATGAAAGACAGGCCATAAGGGTACTGGAGGGCATTGGACATGTTACTGGCAGGCGGCATTAGGTCAGACCTGCAGCGAGACTGCAGTTCAGCTCGGAGTGCTTCATCGTTGTGCCCGGATCGAGTTATGACTTTTACCGAAATTGCGAGAGGGATTTAGTGCTAAACTTGCCGTTTCTTTCAGACTGATAGGACTGATGGAGGCTACAATATCTCGCAGGTCTTAATTGACTCTCCGGAACTGAAGCATGACTTGGCGGAATGGGTCCAGCGCTCCTCTGAACAATGTTGTCCTAGTTGAAGTGGCCTTCATCATTACCTTCAAAGAGTGAATGGCTATGCGTTGACCGAGCTACCCTCCGTCACTCGATAACGATAGTTTCTTGGTCCTAACCATCTGTCACCTGACAGGTCCGGGCGCCGTGCGATTTAAGTCTGTCGGCGCACTCCAGATGCCCCGCCAAAGAGCTTGATCTAAGGGCGTTTAACAGCCGAGAACACTGCAGCTGTTGACTCCGACCCCTATGCCAGTCGAGTACCAATATAGCAGGCGCCCCAGCACTTCTTTGTTCCCTTTACAAGCCGCGAGTGAAATTGGGGTGGCTCCCCTATGACTGCGACGGACATAGGTGTGGCCTTCAAGCAGCTTCATAATCTCGATGTGACCTTCTCTTGCGGCGTACCAGAATGGACTAGGCAGCTTCTTTTTGTCGTTTAAATAGTTGAGAGTAGCGGGATCGGCATCGACTAGGTGTGTGACCATACATCTGACAACCTCGACTTGACCACTGCGTACAGCAGTGTGTAGTGTTATCTTGCAGCATCGTGTCAGGGTTTCTCCTTGACAAATACCATATAGTGGGCCGTGTATGCTCTTGTCGTTCTACTTTCTCTGCAAGAATTCCACAAGATCGACACGCCCACACATAGCTGCTAGGTTGAGACAGTCGTTGTCTTCGAAGTCGACAGCTTCGATGACTTTGTTGTAGCGCAAGATTCCCCCATCAAACAAGTCAACGAAGAGCTGTAAATCACCATCGCAGGCAGCCATATGAAAGGCAAGGGTCGACACCAGTTCACTGTACCACAGCCTAATTGCAAGAGCAAGATTTTCCACACGGGGTCACGAAGAGTGAGGGGGCATGATCAGATGAGAACCGAATTAAACTGGCAAAGTGCGTAACAGACTCAGCCCAACCATGGTTCGGAAGGACCCCAAAATCGTCAACAAATCAAGACTGCAACGCGACGAAGATATAAAGGCTGCCCATTTCATCCACCTCAGCCCATCCAGGTACTTCCTCGTGACAAGGACCCTTAAAGGAAGTCGCCAATACAGACCGGTGATGACAAACAGTCGCTGACATGAAGATCTGAGGTCTGCAACAAGGAAGCCCTAAAGGGTAGTTGTCAGGACTGCGCAAAGTTAGTAGGCTACGGTCCTAGCAGTGATGTAAGGGCCGATCGACGTCGAGGACTGATTGCCAGAAGACAAGATTGAGTGATCATCCTAGAGTCAGCTGATTGATGTTCTATAGGGGAGCGTCTGCGGGTACGAGTGCTATTCGTGCAGATGCCATGTGCGTGTGTGCAGATGCTGAGTGGGAATTTGCAGATGCTGACTGTGTATTTGAAGTTGCTGGCTGTGGACTTGAGGGTCCTGGCTGTGTCAAGGGAGCTCTGTCTGCTCAGTCATACCCGCGAGCTCGAATCTCAAGATCAGGCGGGAGACCCAAGCAGAAGCAACGTATCGGACCACAATCCAGATCGCGTCCGATGGTGCAACAAATTGATAGCCTGACAGGATAGCAGTGCCATAGATGATGTGAGCTACCGTTCCGAGAGTCAGTACTTGGGAAAACCAGAAGAACCATTGGTTCTCAGGATCCCAGTAAAACCATCGCGTACTATGGCGTTTGCACACCGTGATTTTGTTGTTGGCAGCCGCTGGGAATTGCATTATCCAACCTGGCAATTTCTTTACCCATGCAAGCACTTTGCCTGGAACTTCCTTCCACCAGGCAAAGAATCAAGTCCAATTGAGCTTTTTGTACATGATGTTTGTAACACTCCCTCCTTGTTGATCTTCCCAACGCGCTCAGAGTCTGAGAGTAAGGGAACTTGCCCAGCACAGTATGGCAACAAGAACATTCCATATGAATATGTGATAACAATGTCTGCAGGCTAAGATAACCGACCACGCTTCTGTGAACAGTTGAAACGCTGCAAATGTAACATTGAACACTGTGGCACCTGCAAGTAGATATTCGAAAATGACAATAATCCCTGACAGTTTCATTCCAGGGTCTTTTGATGTTGTAAACTCTGCCTTTCACATTCTTCAGTATGGTCTTGGGGTTGGCGAAATCAAAGAGGTGGATTGGGTTGATCACAGGTGCAGCTATGGCAAACAAGAAGCTCAGAACTGGCCGACGTGTGCTGAGCAGACCAAGCTCCACCGGGCTTGATCCTAGAATTGACAGAATGGTGGGCAGAAGGCCGAGTAAGACTCCAGTGCTAGCTGTCTGGGTTTCCATGTTCTTGTCCGTGGTCTTTAACAAGCAAAGTGCTACTGCGCAACAAGCGTCGCTGTGTCCATTAGGATCCCTTGGATCGGCCCAATCACGGTATGTTGCTAATTCCGTGCTGCAATTGGATTTCAATCGTCCTTGCCAGTGTTACGATCAAAGGGCAACCCGCAACAACACTGAACGAACAGGACTACGCAACGATACGAGAGGAGCCGAGTGTTGAAGTCGTGTCTTAAGCAAAGCTCGTAGACACTATTCGATTGGTTCTCGGGAATGAGCAGAGGTACAGAAAGCCGTCGGGGGTTGGTTATCACTGAGCGAGCTCGGAGCGGCAGAGGTTTGACTGTGATAAACCGCTGTGATAATCAGGGGGTAGTCGTCTAGTCAAAGACCATGGCGACTGGTTGCAATGAGTAGTACAGAGTATACTGTCTGGCTCGAGAGCAGGTGAGATTCCAATAACAAAGTTGATTGACGAGGTTGAACACGATGCCATAAGGGCAGCGTGTCTACTTGCTTATATACTTGACAGGAGGATTGATTGTACTGCTCATATCAAGTATCGTCAGTGACTTGATACTCGGTCCAATCGAGCGTTGTTGACGTGAGCTCAATACTCGGTCCTCGGTGTCCTATTGATCGTTGTCGACGTGGGTCCTCTGCAAGTGGGTCGGTATATGGGTCCGTGATGATCGTTTGTGTACGAGATCCACGTTGTATCCACTGCAGTCCTTTTCGTACAATCTCGGTTCGTATAACAGATATTGCGAGTGTTGATTATACTGGGTATCACTGACGCGGCTTCACAGCTCGGTCAATCGATACTGCAGTTCCTTGGCTGCTCTTGTCTCGTTGCGTAGTCCTGTTTGTTCAGTGTTGTTCATGGATCGTAACACCGAGGAACTGTAGTATCGATCGACCCAAGCAGTGGGCCGCGTCGGCGATACTCAGTATGATCATCACTCCAGTGGAGCAACTCAAGCGACCCGAGCAGTGGGCCGCGTTGGCAACACTCGGCACGAGCAGTATACTTGGTCCGATTGGTATACTTGGTACGATCGGTATACTCGGCACGGTCAGTATACTCAACACGAGCAGTATACTCGGTACGATCGGTATACTTGGTACGATCGGTATACTCGGTACGAGCAGTATACTCGGTACGAGCAGTATACTCGGTACGATCAGTATACTCAGTACCGAGCAATCCGAGCAATCTGAGCAATCCTTTGCTCATGTATATAGCAAGTAGACACGCTGCCCTTATGGCATCGTGTTCAACCTCGTCAATCAACTTTGTTATTGGAATCTCACTTGCTCTTGAGCCAGACAGTATACTCTGTACTACTCATTGCAACCAGTCGCCACGGTCTTTGACTAGACGACTACCTGACTATTACGAAGGTTATTACAACCCGCCCGGATAGTCTACCCCTGACCACCCAAGCCTTGCTTAGGTGACTGTCAACCCCTACGGCTTTCTGTACCTCCGCTCATCCCCGAGAACCAATCGACTAGTGTCTACGAGCTTTGCTTAAGGCACGAATCGCAACAGCCAGAAGCCGCTCCATTTTGGGAAGAAAGCATAATAGAGCCCAGTATGCATGGGAGTAATGTGTATCGAGTAAACTTTGAAGAGCCGTTGACGAAAGCCAGATGGCCACAATGAGTCAAGATGTGAGTTATGAAACAAAAATCTTTAGCCAATGGCTGAGATACAACTGCAAAAGTTCAGTAGTTGCTGGAGCCTTGTGAAGTCTGACCTTAATAAAAAGCAGTATACCCTGCAGTGGGTGTGATTGGTGAGCTGACATGCCGCAGTGCAGTATGTTCCACTGCTGCCACACAAGGGCATCTTCCAAGCCTCCGACTGCTGGGCCCCTACCCCAACTCTGGAAATGTATAAGCTTGGAAGCGAGATGCTAAAAGATTAAGCGAAAATACAAGAACGCCCTATCAATGTCAATGTAACTTCTCTGCACTCAGCCTTGCAGCTTGCCAAGCAATTACTCACAAGCTGATGGGGTATAGTACATTCTCTTCTTGTCTGACGGGAAACAGATCAGGCAGAGCAGCTGGCGCTTATTGGGTGTTTGAGATGCTACACGATTGGATCATGCACAGTATGATCCTGCTCAGCTGCAAAGGCGGGCATGTAGTTGACTTGACTTAAACGTAGCATGAGCGAGAAGCCATAAGCTGCCACCGAGACACCATTCCTGGTGTTACGACAACTGCTGAGTGAAGCGAACCAGTTAGTCCCCAGTGTCTCGTGATCCTCCATGGAAAGACGACTGGAATCAAGCACATGTATTGTAAGCGAGGGATGCATGTCTGTATGTCTGTGAATGGATGTGAGGTCGCAAACCCCGACTGCGGTTTGAAGGCAGCAGCTTCGGTGCACGACCAAAAGATCGAAAGTGAACCTGACAAGCTCACGGATCTCATGTGCGTCAGCCAAAAAAAAAAGACATACATACAACAGCAGGTATTCGCTAGTGGTCACCCACCTAACTACTTGTAACGACTCTGCACACAGCAAGGCTGTGGGGCAGACTAGCTTACAGCAGCTACTGTACTAAGGCATTAATCTGTTCGCGGCGCACGGGCCGAACCCCAACCACCATGAATGCAATGACCAACATCACAACTTCAACCCGCTACTGCACAACCACAATGAGGGCTTTTGGAGCTGAAATTTCAGGAGATCGCGTCCCAGGTGGTGAATTGTCTGTTCGCCAAAGGGATAGTATTGTCTCCAAGGCAGAGGCAGGCTGTACTACCAAGGAACTGGCAGAAGAATTCAGCTGTTCACGTCGCACAATCCAGAAGACAATCCAGCGGTACAACATGACTGGCAACAACCAATCTAAGCCTCGGCCTGGTCAACCTCCACATATATCCCGTCGAGAAAGACGTTATCTCCAT